GGCGGGCAATCATCTCGCTCAGCGGGATGGTGTCGCAGTGCTCCAGCGCGCCGTCGGTGAAACGTGCTCGCGTGAAAGATACCGACGACGCAGCTGCCGGCGATGGCAGCTGTCAAGGCCCGCCAGACTCGTTGGCATCCTCTTCTCCGAAAATCGCGAAGCGTGATAAGGCCTCACGGCGCGCGTCTTCATGAGGCTCACCTCCGCGGGGACGCAAGTGCCCCCAGGCGATCAGATATGAGCAAGCCGAGTCCCCACCGCCGCATGCGCAGCCACGGCTTGGTGAGCGAGCGAAGAAGATTGTTCGTCTTGACGCATGAGCAGTCTTGGCAACACGAGTACTTATATTCCTGTTTAATACTATACTATTACCTAGTATCGTATGCATTGAAGCTTTGATAGACAAGATTTTGAGATTTTCTGCCTTTCGTGCACCCTGGTCGAGACGTTCATAACGGTACTTGTACTACTTGCAGCAATATGTTCATGCATAATTATTCATTACTAAATAAGTAGTGGGCATCATTATGTGTTGATATAAAAGTTTGTTGCGGTAGTTCTTGATCGCTGCAACCTCAGGCGAATCGCTTAGGCGACGACTTCGTCTGCCACAACTCGCATGGCGTGAATGCCGGAGCTGAGCCCGATGATGTTGGACTCGTCAATCCGGAGCACAGTGCCGCCGTATTTGCCGTCAATGGCCCAAGTGTTGACCTGCACGTACTTGCCGTCTTCGTACTGCGGGAGAAGCGCGATTTCTTGATACACGATTGTGTCTTGGTCCCATTTGCCGGCCGTCGCGCTAATGAGCTGGTGCTGGCGTCATAAATAGAGACGTTCGCACCCGTGCGGCCCATCACGGGCTTGGCTACGTAGCCACCAACATACGTCGCCACTGCAGCTTCATCGAAAGACGCGCGGAGGAGGTACGAGTTCTCTGGTGCCAGCTGCGAGAGGATTGGAAGGATCGCCTTGGAGCTTGGAAGTACGGTCCAGAGCGGCTCAAAGACGCGGACGTCGTCGTGCAGCATGACGTCCATGACCTGCACGCGCTTCTGTGGCGCTTCGAGCGACGCCTCAAACTGGGAGATGACGGTTTGCCACGCCCACGTCTTCCAGACGTTGCGTATTTCACGGCCATTGGCATCGACGATGGCGCCGTTGGACCACGAGAGGCTGTCGACGCCGACAACAAGAACGCAGTCGATACCGGCGGCCTGCGCGGCCGACATCATGTACATCGAGTGGTATCGCTCTTCGTGGTCGTCATCGCAAAGCAAGTGGAGAATTCCATCCACGTTTTTGCCCTTCCACGCGTCGACGAGCTGAGAGAATAGCGTCGTGCTCGAGCTGCGACCAATCGAGTCGACGCCAGCGGCACGCGACCACTCATCCTGCGTGTGGCCGCATTCAAAGAGACACGACGCCGAGTCAGCGTTGTACTCGTACACTTTGATACCGTCTTCTGTCAAGGCAAAGTCGAAGCGCCCGGACACTATGTCGCGCTTGCTACAGTACAAACTGCGTATGAGACCACGGACGCCAGTCGAGGCGATTTGTACTTGTCACGGAACGAGCGCTGGATCTTGGGCCAGAGCGCCGATGGAATGTGGAAGAAGGGCGCCATCTCGGCCTCATGCGCCAGTACATACGCAGTGGCCTCGAAGAAGAGCTCGTGAAGCGACGTCGTTGCCGCTTCAATACCCGCTTGGCCCGACTCGCTAAGCGTGTAATAGCTCGACGTCTCGTTTGCCGTCAAATGCGTGCCGTACTGCTCCTGGAACACGGGCACGTACGGCTTGGAGGCGTCAAGCCACGGCGAATTGGCGCCCGACGGCGGGATCTGCACTGTGCGCACAGCGAGGTCGTGCTTGTAGCTGTTGGGCAGCTTGGCGACGGTCTTGGCCTTCGCGGGCGTCGTCACGGGCGTTGGTATTACCACCATCTTCAAGTAGTTGCGACTGCGGAGGAGGGCTCGGATGGTGCTATTGCGACTTGGCAAATGCCACTCCCGCCGCCCTGGGCAGCGGAACGAGGACCGAATTCGTACAGGTTCGAGTGGCCGTACGTACAGCGCCGTGCGTCCATCCATAAGCCTATAAAATCTAAGATGCCCAATACATTTCGTACATGTACAGAGTGCTGTACGGCTTTGTACGTCTGTAACTTGAGAATTGTATACTTCGACCGTGCCCTTTCTACTTTAGTGTGTTGGAGGAAGTGTACACCCTAAGTGTACGGTCGTACAAGAGTACGAATACTTACGATGGCATAAAGCGTACATTGAATGTATAATGCTTGCACGTCTGATTTGCTACTATTATTCGATCCATTGATAAGCTTGGTATTTGTATGCTGAAGTAGCGAGGCCATCGGGAGAGTGTTCTTTGCGACCCAAATCGTAGTTCGAAGAAAATCGACCTCTGCGAAAGCCTGCGCAGTCTGCAGCGCGATCGTGTCGTCTTCATGACAAGTAGTTCTTTGGTGCGACTGCAAGCAATGAGGTAATATGCCACAGCGCTACTTGCGGTTCACTGCCTGCGGTTTGGCTTTGCCAAAACGACATCACGTGTATTCTACTTGCCTCTGGTCCATTTCTGAAACCTATAAACTTCAGTTTCCGTTTTCACAAGTCGCGCTGATTTATACACTACTAGTACCATTGAACTAGTACTGATTTTAACTGCGGTGCAGCAGCTCGGTGCAGCGCAAAGTGGGCTTTCATAGCTTCAGTGAGCTGTGTCAGAGTTGGATCCCTTGTCGCGTTTCGCGCCACCAAAGGACAGGACCTGTTTTCGGCAGCCATCACTTGCGCTAGATAATTGTCCAACTGCGTGAACACGATCGTTCTCGCCATGACCACGGTTGCAAACCAAGAAGCCACGACTGCTACTTCAGGTACAAACGAGCCCGCACATCTTCAGGTACAAACGAGCCCGCACATCTGTGTCCTCGTTTTGGCCAAGCGTCACTTTTGCAAGCTTTCAGGTGGGGAGCGTCGCTGTTGGATACTAGTACGTCGTCAAGCTCAACCCCGGGTCCTCTCTGCAGCCCCGGCTACAACCTATGAGCGTGGCGCCGACTGAACGGCTAGCCCTTGAGCTGCGCCGACTTGTTGCACTTGCCTTGGTGATAGTACTTGATTCGCATCGCACGAAGGATTCTACTCATTGATGGGTGGCGCTAAAGTTTAGGCTACGCGACAATGCATGTATAGCTGTGCTTCGAAGACCGTGTGCAGCTCGCAAGGTCAATGAATTGCATGCGCAAGGCCGTCAAATGTGCACCGTTTTTTCGTTTTAGTTAGTCGTTCTCTGGATATTAGTCGGTCGGATAACATATCCGTATCCGGATGACCTCATGCTGGTTCGTTGATTGTGTGGCAGCGCGGCTAGGAAGTACGCGGACGAGGCAGCCATGCACCTCATGAACCTTACGCTCCAAGAGGGCGGCGCGATCACGCACGCCGTCTACGGTAACTTCTGCGGAACGAAGAGCCAAGACATCGTATGCAGCGGCGGCTCGTCGCTTCGGCTGCTGCAGACGCAGGCGGCAACGGACCCGGCGACCATCAAGCAGCTCACGACGGTGCACAGCGTCAACGTCTTTGGTGTCATCCGGTCGATCCTGCCCTTTCGCCTCACGGGCGGTACGAAGGACTACCTCGTCGTGGGTACGGACTCGGGCAAGATCACGGTGCTCGAGTTCATGGTCGAGTCTTCGTCGTGGGAGGTGCGCCACTCGGAAACGTTCGGGAAGACGGGCTGCCGCCGCATTACACCCGGCCAGTACCTCGCAGCCGACCCCAAGGGTCGCGCTATCATGATCGGCTCGGTAAGCAACATGCTTGTTGCACCGGTCGAGGCCAACACCGCGATTGTAGATTGAGAAGCAAAAGCTCGTGTACATCATGAACCGCGACGCGTCGAACCGCCTCACCATCTCGAGCCCGCTTGAGGCTCACCGCTCGCACGCGATCCATTTCGACATGATTGGCGTCGACGTGGGCTTCGAGAACCCGATCTTCGCGACGCTCGAAATCGACTACTCGGAGCACGACAGCGGTAGCGTCCCAGCTTCCGAAGCTGTCAAGACCCTCGTGTACTACGAACTTGACTTGGGCTTGAACCACGTGACACGGCGGTGGAGCGAGCCCGTGGAGCGCTCCGCCAACAAGCTCATCGCGGTGCCAGGCGGCTCGGAGGGCCCCGGCGGTGTCTTGGTTTGCTCCGAAGGCTGGATCACGTACAAGAACGAGGGCCACGCTCAGGTAGAATTGTTTTTTCATTTGCAGACTGGTCATGTCCGAGGTGGTAGATCCCCTGTCGCATCCCGCAGCGTTTCCAGCGCACAGACACGAACGGCCCTGCAATTCGCGGCGATGTCTTGATTGTCGCGACAGCGACGCACAAGCAGCGTGATCTCTTCTTCGTCATTGTGCAGTCGGAGCTCGGCGACTTGTACAAGGTGACGTTGACGTACAACGGTTCAGAGGTCTCGACCGTGAAGATCAAGGTTCGCATCTTGCTTCCTTCAGCACTAGTCTTACAGAGAACGCATAGTTTTTCGACACGCTGCCGACAGCCAACGCGCTCTGCATCACGAAGACGGGGTTTCTCTTTTCTGCGAGCGAGTTTTCAACGCACTATTTGTGCCAGTTCCAGTCCATTGGCGACAACGACGACACTGCCGAGTGCGTTTCGTTCCAGGAGTACTACCCGAGCTTCCACTTGCGTCGACTGACGAACCTTGCGGTCGTTGACACGATCGACAGCCTCTCCCCGATCACGCAGCTCCTTGTGCGCACCTTCCTTTGTATAGCCCCACATTTCTCACGATAGCATCGGTAGGTGGATGATTTGGCGAACGAAAACACGCCGCAAATGTATGCGCTCTGCGGCCGCGGCAATCGATCGAGTCTCCGCGTGCTTCGACACGGGCTCAGCGTCACGGAGGTTGCAGCGTCGCCACTGCCTGGTGTCGCCAAGGCGGTGTGGTGCCTGAAGCAAAGCGAAGCCGACGCGACGCACAAGTACATTGTCGTATCGTTTGAAGACGCCACGCTCGTCTTGGTATGCGATATATCTCGCTCGAGTGGCGGCTGAAAACAAGCATGTAGGAAGTCGGCGACAGTGTTGAGGAGGTGACCAACACGGGTCTCGCCAAAGACGTTGGGTCGCTCATGGTCGTCGTACTTGCAGACGACTCGATGGTACAGATCCATCGCAACGGCTTCAACCACGTGCGCCAGTACCAGCGCGTGACGCAGTTCAAGGCTCCCGGCAAGAAGGTTTAGCTTCTAATGACGACGCGCAACCGATCTTAATGGGCATTCATAGGTCATCGAGCGCTGCACCGCGAACGGACGGCAGGTGGTGCTGAGCATGGCGGGCGGCACGATCATCTATTTTGAGCTGAGCCCGACAGGCGAGCTGGTCGAGAAGGGTCGCACGGAACTTCTTGGCGACATCTCGTCACTCGACGTGGGCGAGGTGCCAGAGGGGCGACAACGCTTTCCCTTCCTCGCTGTTGGCAGCTACGACGGCAATGTGCGCATTTTGAACTTGGACCCGAACAACCTCTTTGCGGACCAGACCTTGCTCGCGATGCCGGGGTCGCATCCTCATTCGTTGTGCTTCTCTCTCTTGCAGTTTGAGCCGCACGCGGACGCCAATGGTGGTCATGCGCTTTTCCTCTCGATCGGCCTCGAGAACGGCGTGATGCAGCAGTCGCGCATCGACCCGCTCACGGCCAAGGTTCTCGACACGCGCACGCGTTTCCTTGGCACCGATCCCGTCAAGCTGTTTCGCGTCCTCGTGCAGGGCAAGCGCGCAGTCCTTGGTCTGAGCTCGCGCTGCTGGCTCTCGTACTTCCATGGCGCGCGGCGACAGCTCACACCGCTCTCGTGTGAGCCGCTGGCGTACGCAAGCGTCTTTGTCTCAGAGCAGTGCCCCGAAGGCATCGTGGCCGTCGCGCAGGACGAGCTCAAGATTCTGACGCTCGACGCCCTCGGCGACGTCTTCAACCAACAGACGATCTCGCTCAAGTACACGCCACGGAAAGCAATTGTACATCCGCTCACGCGCCGGCTTTTGATCCTGGAAGCCGACCACAATGCTCTCAACGATGCGCAAAACGGTGCGCGTTTCGCTCTAGTACATAGCTTTCTGATGCTGACACTGTCTTGTAGCCAGCGTGGGCTTCGAAACCGCGGCGCCGTCTCGCCCCGTGAGCCCCGATGACGACGATGAAGAGGACGACTTGCAAGCTAACTTGCTCTTCCTGCACCCACCGATCCCGCAAGCCCCGGGTACATACATCCTACCTGCGAGTCGATGATGGTACTGATAGAGATGTAGGTGCGTGGGTCTCGCAGCTTCGCATCGTGGACCCAATGTCGCTCGAGACGCTCGTGTGCCACCCATTTGACCAAAACGAGCGCGCGCTGAGCCTCAGCACCTGCGTCTTTCACGATCGTGGTGGTGAAACCTTTCTCGTCGTCGGCACGGTCAAGAACATGCAGCTGCACGCGCCAACCAGTGATGCGACGGGCTATCTGCGCGTCTACCGGCTCATGGACGCAACGCTCGTGCTTGTGCACGTCACCGAGCTTGACGGCATCCCGTATACGATGTGTGAGTTCCAGGGCCGGCTTCTCGTTTCGCTCGGCAAGACGCTGCGCATCTACGACCTCGGGAAGAAAAGATGCTGCGCAAGTGCGAGAACCGGACGTTTCCCAGCATCCTCATTGGCCTCACGACCGCGGGGTCGCGCATTTACTACTCGGACGCGCAAAGCTCGTTCCACTACGTGCGCTACCGCAGCGAGGAGAACCAGCTCGTGCTATTCGCCGATGACTTTGTCCCTCGTGCGGTTACGGCATCGGCGCTTCTTGACTACGACACGATGGCCGGCGGCGACAAGTTTGGCAACATTTTTGTGACGCGGCTTCCGTCCGAAGTCTCGGACGAGGTTGAGAACCCATCGGGAAACCGTATTCTCTGGGACGCGCACCACGGCGCGCCAAACAAGGTCGAGCAAGTGTGTCAGTTCCACGTCGGCGAGGCAATCACGAGCATGGTGCGCACGCGCCTCGTGCCCGTGGGCATGGAGGCAATCGTGTACACGACAGTCATGGGCCGCATTGGCGCGCTCATCCCATTCAGCTCGCGCGAGGACATTGACTTTGCGACGCATCTCGAGATGTACATGCGTCAGGAGGCGCCGCCACTCTGCGGCCGCGACCACCTAAGCTACCGGTCGTACTTCATTCCAGTGAAAGACGTGGCCGATGGCGACCTCTGCGACCAGTTTGGTGCGCTGCCGAATGACAAGCAACTCAAGGTTGCGCAGGACCTCGACCGCACGCCGCTCGAAGTGCTCAAGAAGCTCGAAGACATTCGCAACCGCCTGCTCTAGGTCAACAACGACATAACGAGCGTGTATTTGCATATCAATCGCTTTAATGTGTGAAACCGAAAGTCTGATACTCCTCTGATCCACAATGATTGCTCACCTCGGCGTATAATTGGCGGAATTTTTCTTAATTTTGCTCTGTTTCGCACGCTGATTGGATGAATCGAAGGCGCGTGATCTCCTCTACGATTGGCTCTTTGCGGCGATCGAATCCGAGCTGTGGTCGAGGAGAAATTGCAACTTGAAGCTCGTGCGTCGGTCTGGGAATCCTGGTTTTTTTACGTCCACGCCCTCAGTTCTCAATTTGCCTCGCAGCCACTGCGTCAACGTCTTCCTCTACACCCAGCCCATGTCCCACAACATCGCACGCACGCCAGCGGCCCTCACAGACAAGCGTGTGAGTCATCGAAACCTTACCGACGTCGAGCGCTGCGGTGTCTACCAGCAGCTGCTGGAGATGACGACGGGCGGCGTCCTGAGATGCACGGCCTTCCAAGAAGTCGCCGTCAAGTATGCATGCCACCTGGGCACCGTAAAGCGCATCTGGAACAGAGGACAAGCGGCCATCAAGGCGGGCAGTCCCGCGGCCGTCGTTGCGTCCAGAATTCGCGGTATGTCCTCTACAAGTCGATTTTTTATCGCTTGGTGGGAGTATAAATTGTGACGGTTGTACTGGATTAGGAAATTCTGGTCGCAAAGCCGTGCGCTCGCATGACGCCATCAAGGCGGCGATCATGGCCGCCCCTCACAACAAGCGCCAGACGTACCGGTCGATGGCGGCGCAGACCAACATCCCCATGACGACCCTTATACGGCACAAGAAGGCGACACCCAGCCTCAGGGCTCGCCCGAGCACCATTAGCCCCCTTTTGACCGATGTCAACAAGGCGTCACGGCTGGCGTGACGCCTTGCTGACATCGGTCAAAAGGGGTCGAGACTCTTACACCAGCGCGTTAGCTCAGTTGGATCAACGCCTTGGAGTGGAAGCTCGCATGGAGGACCAGTTGACGGGAAATTCAACAGAAGAAGTACTCGAGGCAGAGGAATAAAATACATTAAATTTGTTGCCACCTTTATCAATTCTAGCAGGTCAATACAAAAATCAAGATGTCGATTTCGACCAAAGTATACTTTAATCAAGTATAAATCCCTTTGAGCAATCATTGTGGATCAGAGTAGTAACAAATCGACGAGGTAGTATAGCAGCAAACTGGCTTGTGCACCTTGAAGGCTGGTGGACTTTCGACACAGTGGCAAGCGCAATGAAAAGATGAATCGAGGTTGTCGCCATCTTGTAGCACGTAGTGTCTGCTAGCATTCATGCTTCCTTTAGCGGCGGAAAAAGTGCGAGTTTGTGTGAAGCTCGTAGTTTATCAAGATTTTAAGCGGCAATCGTGATCTCGATAGCTCCGTACGTCGTTGGAGCACCGCTAGTTGACTTGTTAGCGTCGTCGCAACTCGTCGGGCTTGCCGCAGCCGAAGAGGTGGCTTGGATAGTGCGTACTGCGTCTTTGATAGGGGACAGCAGTGGGGTGTCCTGGACCTTAGCGTCTACGCGGCTCTGGATGATGGAGGCGGTCGCCTCGAGGCCCCAGAGTGTCCACTGGTGCTGTTTGTGCTCAAGGATGCGACCCTTGATAACGTGCTGGAGAAACATGAGCGCGAGCAAAAATGTGAGCAAAAGAAGCATCGAGTGCAGCACTGTGTGGAGACGGATGTACTCGAAGACGAGAGCGCACGCGAGGAGCGGCACAAAGTAGTAAAATACGTTGGCCGTCGCCGCCCGGCGGTCGCATGCAAGGCGATGCTGTTCCGCGAATGCTGTTTCTTCTGTCGCGTCGGCCGTGTCGATAGGGAACTTGTCGTAGAAGCCGCTTGGCAGCAAGTCAAAGAGGCTCGTCCAGAGGACTGCCATGATAAGCCAGAAAACGAGCATGTCTTGGAGCGGTGTCGGGTGCGGTGGTGTACTGTTGCAGGGATTTGGAAATGGCGAAGTGTAGAGGGGTCCAATCTTTCGCCTCGTCCGCCTTCTCCCGCAGAGAGCCAATTTACGTGTCACGGTAGTCCAATCAAAATTTGGGCTCAAGGTCCTATACATCGTTCCAGGTCATATATGGTTCCAGGTGCTTGATCTCGAGCTTGCGCGCATCGGATTCTATGTACAACTGGAATATGTGCTGATCCAACCGTGCCTAGAGTGGCCCTGTTCTACCTACCTACTAGTACATGCGTTTGTGAGCAGGACACCAGCTACTTTACTACGCCATAATGACAAAACAATGCACCAGCTGCCTCTGCTGAGCATACTGAGGACTATTATTCAAGCAGTTCATGCCGACGCATTGCGCATTGAGAGCACTGGGCCCTCTGTCGCAGTCCCGAGTGCAATAGACCGTGAATAATCGAGTGCCAAGAGTTAAACGCGCTACGCTAAACTCGTCGTGCTGGTTGAACGTTACGCAATTAAGATCTTATGGATTTGCATTTGCCAAACGACGGAGAAGAAGCGATGGACGGTACGAGGGCCTCGCCTGCGATCGCATCTATCTCATATATACGTAGAGCGGATCAAGCGTCTGGCGCCAAGCATCACGATCAGGTACGGCTGCAAACATTGGTCTCGAGATTCTCACCGCCCAGCAGCGAGTGCCCCTCGGAGGTCTTTTGCACCCGCTTCTCGCCGGACGGGTCTCTTCTCGCCGCAGGCTGTGGTGACGGTGCCATTCGCGTACACTTCAGCGTCGATATTGTGCGGGCTAAGCGAACGTAGATTTTCAACGTCGCCAATGGGGCGCTTGCATACACACTAATGCAGCCGCACCACAACTACGGTTTTGGCATGCCGTGCACTGCCCTGCGCTTTCGCCCGCTCACGAGCAGCTCCAAGACCAAGAATGTGCTTCTCGCCGTGAGTACGCCAGAACATATTTTGCTCACGTCGAAATCTTGGTCTCACATATCTATAGACTCGAACGGGTCGGTCGAGCACTGGCATATTACGTCTGGCAAGTGCTTGCATGCGATCACCGACGAGCAAAACCAGCTGTATGCGCTCGACTACCGCCCTGACGGCGCCATGTTTGCTACGTCCGGCAAAGACCACACGGTGCGGCGACGATGACTGGTCTAACGGGCTGAAAATTCTGCGCCTGCAGATCCGTGTGTATGACGAAGCGACCAAGACCGAAGTGCTAAGCATGAAAGGCGGGTGGGTAACCGCCCTGAGATTTTATGCCACTCATGCCTCATCCTAGTCACGGCACGCTCACGGCCGGTCACAGCAACCGCGTCTTCTCCGTCAAGTTCCATCCCGTTGATGAGAATACTATTGTCTCGGGAGGCTGGGACAACACGGTGCAGATTTGGGACACCCGCGCGGGGCACTCTGTGCGGGGTATCTATGGTCCACACATTGCCGGTGCGTGATTTCATTTTACGACGCCGGTTGACAGCGGCACCTACCTTCTACCTAGGCGACGCCATCGACATCAACGCCAAGAATGAAATTCTCACGGGCTCATGGCGCCCCGAAAACCCGCTTGAGCTCTGGGACTATGGCAGCGGGAAACGGTTCGCGGCGATTCCGTGGAACCAAAGTGCGCTCAAAGGCGAGCCGTGCTTCCTTTACGCCGCACAGTTCTCCAAAGACCCGCGTAGCCGCCTTATCGCTGCGGGTGGCAGCGGTTCGAATGAAGGCAAGGTGTTTGACCACGATGTCAGCAACAAGGTATTCACTTTTATACGACAGTATGCGTATTGTAACTCGGGTAGCTCGTGGGCACCGTCGCAGGGCTCAGCCGCGGTGTCTTCACATTGGACTTTGGGCCATCTGGCGACAAACTTGCCCTCGCCGGCGCCGACGCAGCGATTCGTATCATCGATATTTATGACTTCGTGCCGGGCGAGAAGGGCCGGGAACGCCCCGTGACCCCGTCGATCAAGTACACACCAACAACGACAGAGGAATTGCAACTAATGACAACGTTAGGAATGCACCACTCACGCCGTCGCTCGATGCAGCTCCGACGGGACTTCGGTCGCCCAAGGCGACTCGCGGCCCGCCTCCGGCAGCCAACGTACTCGGTGTGCACAAGTAGGAACATGCGTCGAACGGGGACGCTGCACTGTACAAACCTGTGATCGCTCAATAAACAAAACATCGGTGACTACTCGGGAGTTGATCAACATATTTATTTGGATGTTTCATGGTCACGCCACGACGCAAGATCGAGCGACGTCACATCGTCGGCAGGCGCGACCACGCTCTGCAGGTACGTGGCGAGATGCAAGAGCTCTGCGTCCCGCGTCGCAGCCTCCTACACACGGACAGATGTGCGGGCATAAGTAAGAGGATTGGAATGTGTCGTACGTCAGTGCAGTCGTAGCGCGTAATCGGAATGCCGTTGCGCGGGTTCAAGTTGAAGTTATGAGGCAGATCATCGACATGTACCGTGTTGCGTGCGTGCCACAGACCGGGAAAGTGGCTCCATATGATCTCAAGCGCCTTGACTTTGCTCTTACGCTTCTTTGTCGTTGAATCATCCATCGAGGAGTGGTAGCTAAACATGTTTGTCTTGTCCAGGATAAAGTTGATGCGGTAGTCTACAAGTGTGTTTGTTTGATGAAAACAAATGGGATGTCATGTACCTGGCGTCGTGAGCATGCCAAGCTCTGTGAGCTTAATCTCGATCCACTTCCACGACGTCTGCGACCAAATACACACGTCGAAATGCGACCACACGGCGCTCAAGAATGTGTGCATAAACGGCCGCATGAACCGACTGCTCGGAATGCCATTGCCCTTTGTCGCGCTACGTTCTCATTTCTCGCACGCGCGCCGAATTGCAGCGACATGATGTACCTTATATCCATGAGGGTATGATCAAGGTCGAGTACGAGCAGTTTCTTGGACGGACGGGGCGGGTGCATGACATGGATCTGCGCCGTTGCAATGGCGCTCGCGAGGGCAAGGTTGTTCTCTTTTGCCTACGAAACCCCGTAGCATTTGTTTTCTTGGGAGCTCCGAGCCTACGCTGTGCCATTGCGCCGAGGTGGGCGCAAACGCGCAGTTAAAGTCGGAAAAAACGGGCGGTAGGGCGCAAGCCGGAAGGGCATCTGGGTCCACAAACACTTCGCTTTCCTTGGTACCAATGAGCATGAACTTTTGCGGGTGCTTGAGAGTCATGTCGCCAAGGCGTACGTTGTCGCCAGCTACGGCAACACCTTTATAATCTCATCTTGCAGGGCGGGGTGCCATCTACATACCTGGCCTTCCATGGACGTTCAGACCGACGAGCTTCTGCCGCGCAGGCTGGATACCCGTGATGGCCTGGATGCGCTGCTTGACATCAAGGATCGTCGCCGATGGCCCCACGTCCAGGCGCATCTCTTCCTTCTTCCACTTACCCACGAGCGTGATGGTGGCGGTCTTGGCCTCGTCGTCAGCCATCTCTCCCAGTGCTGTTGAGATTTTGTTGGGAAATGCAACTGGTGTAGCATCATTCTATTTTCTACAATTTGAAATAGTATGAAGCCTCTAAACCTGGCTTAGTAAAAGGGTATGATACCGTCGTACACTATATGAGGCTTGTCCCCTCGCTCCAAATTGAAAGATTGCATCGTCGAAGCGTTGAACATCATGTCGTTCTCACGTACAAGTGTAGCTAGCTGCACGGGTGATGGATCGTCAAGACTTTTCTCCATAGAAGCAGCTCCTGCCTCGTGTCTGAGCCACTATCCTTGTATTGTATTACCTGTGCTGAAACGCGACAAGGTTTTATTATCTGCTGCGCCTTGTTAATGTGGAGTGGTAAAAGTATAAATTTACGACTACAGAATGTGCTTGTGGTCCGGGTGCTGCGCCTTCCACGATGCCTTACTCGTCAGAAGCACCTTGGAGTTGGCGTCCCAAGACTTCATGCCGCGTGTGATGGCGAGGTCCACTTGCGACCAGTTGTTCCGCAGGTCTGGAAGCGTACACACATGACCAACCTTCGGTTGCCCGCAGCGCCCGCACTTGTACGACTTGCGGTTCCCCGCGTCTTCAGCGGCAGCATTTTCTTCGCGAAGGTTCAACGCGATCTGGGCCATGTCCATGGAGAGGCCCGTGGAGCGGTTGCTACCGCGCTGCTTTCGCGGTGGAGGTGGCTTCTTTTCTTCCATGCTCAGTAAGTCTGTGAACGATGCGGCCACTACGCCATGGTTGTCGCAGGTGCACGACGGGACATTGGATTGAACGTGTGGTACCTGGATTGTGCTGGAACTGGCGAAGCTGCTGCGCGTGATGAAGCAAGTTGTCGGGGTTGCTCAAATGACGTTCATGGCGGATTTTGTGCTTCAGGTCCATGACGTTCTCTTGCAGTTGATGCGCATGGAACGTCTGTGCAAGCTCTACACAAAAGTCAGTTCATTGTGATTCATCGCAGCGACGGTCATACCTGTGTGTTGTTGCACGGGCTCGTTTGCAGGCAGAAAGTCGCGCAAGATATTTTCGACTTCAGCGTCGTCGACAAAGCTCATGCCCGCCCAGCTTCCGTGTGGGTTGTTAGACTGCGAAAATGGCATGGGCTCCGGCTATACAGGACACCGTTAAGCGAAGGTAAGCATTAGCACCATCTCGCGCGTACGATCGTGAGCTCTATGTTTCCGTGAGACGTTGGCTCTGGGTGCAGCGGCGGCATATCGCTGATGGAGAAAATCCCTGTTGGCGGCGCAAACGCCGGCGGCGGCACAAAGTGGTTGAAGAAGTCGGGGTTGGACTTGTGACGCTTGTGACCGCTGGGACGCGAGTAGGAGGTGCGATCGCAGGCTGCGTTGCCGTCGGGCAGCATGTTGAAGTCGAGGTTGAGCCCTGCGAACAGATTGTCTCCCATTGCGGCGTCGTCTTTGCCGTCGTCGGCCGCGGCCAAAATGCTGAATCCACGCCGAATAATCGGGGCGAAGCGTATCCGGATAGTTCAGTCGGCTTCTCAACTGATGCCGACTGACGATCGACTAACTAAATAGCCGACTACGGCCGTACGGTGGCTGAGATCGCACGAGGCTGCGCTAGACAAGAGCCAGGCATTTCGATAGCCAGGAGCCCTCGCATTGAATACGATAATAAGACGTTGTCTGCTTTTTATATCGAGACAACTAAACGGTATCTTTGGCGTGGTGTCCTCCATGTAGCGGGTACATGGGGGCTGCCGGCAGCCCGTAGAGACACCGACGGACACGCTTTCACTTGAGGCGCCCGTCGTGACGCTCGAGCAGCCGCCGTTTGCGCCGCGTTCTCGAGCAAGCTCCATCTCCAGCACTCGCTACTGAGCGCCCAAGCCATGCGTCTCGACGACCCATGGCAGCTAGACTATCTATCTATACACGCGACGTAGTCATTCGGCTTGCGCCATCCTCACGCCGCAACCACAACTGCTCAGTCTAGCCGCCGCCGTTTGGTCACATCTCCCTTGATGTAAAAGATAAAGATGTATGTGCCCTTGATAACGGTAATGCTCGCCTCGATAACCAGTTCACACAGTAGGCAATAAACTTTGTTTAGTTAGTCGATTACCTATGTTCAGTCGGTCGAGAGAGACACACTCGAGGACTTGAAAGATCGGGCGGTCAAGATGCACAGTGCGATCGTGACGACCGAGAAAGGTCACGTGCTCCTCGCGCGGTACTTTCACGCGACGACGACCGAAGAGAAGCGTGTGTATGAGCAAGCACTCTTCGGAGCTGTGCCGTGGCCTGCGCTCGCGTCAACTGAGTCGGCTACCGGCGACGCTGCGTTCTTGGCTGTGTGCGACAGCCAGTACGTTGTGTACCGCAAACTTGGGGACCTCGTGTGGTTCCTAGCCGGTGGTCTGGAATATGACGAGCTTACTTGTTCGTCCCGAAGCATATATGATCGCGCGAGTTGATCTCGACGTCCTACTAGTGCACGACACACTCGTCACGATCCAGGCCGTCGCTGCCACCCACATGGAGAAGCGTTGCACGGAAGCGCTCTTTCTTGCTCATCACTCGAAGATTGTTGTCGCACTTGACGACATGGTCCATGAGGTAGCATGCGACGCTTGAAACGCTGGGCGTATGAGGCGACTAGGGTCATCTCGATACGACAGAGGTGCAAAGTGTGCTGCAGATGACGAAGCTCAAGCCATATCCAACCAGGGTTTGATTTGCACGAATCACGTGTATATATAATAGTCCGCTACCACTCTAATCACAATGAAAGATCTTGTATGCCGGGAGTGAGCGATTTCTATGCGTCGTGGCCCGGGTGCTGCGCAACCCATTTCGACTTGACCGTGAGTATACGCCATTCGTTTGTGTTCGACGACGACGTCTCGCTCTGGCACGACGAGTCCATCATGCTCTTGATTGACGTGCAAATGTGCCCGCTCTTGGGTTGCCCGCACTGCCGGCACTTGTACTCCTACGTTGACATGAGTGCAATACATGAAGCTTCATTGAAGACCCACCCGTTTTTCCCGACGCTCGCTGCCATCGGCTGTGCTGCTGCTGGGCGAGTTGGGCACCGATCGGATGTTAACGGCCTCAAAAGTTGAGGACAAACCTGAGCTCAAGGCCGGGCTCGCGGGCATCGGTGGCTGCATGTGACCCATGTCGCCACCAGGGTACATCATGCCCGGGTATAAGTTGTACTAGTGGATCATCGTGAGATAACGTTATCGTGTGCGTCAGAATCATACCATTGGGGGAGGCGCCATGGACATGCCCATTTGGAGTGGTGACATCGATCCCATGGCCATCGGGTTGTGCACCGGTGACGTCGGAGGGAAGCCCAGGGGAGTGCCACCCGCAAGAGGCGAGCCTGGAAAAAAGCCCGGGTTGGGTTGCTGAAGCATCTGCGCAAAGTTGGACGAGAGGTGCGAGAGGTCGACCGAGTTGTTGTACATGTGGCGGTGGCCGTGGTTCGGCGGCGCCATAATAGGGAGAAGCTCCGGAATTGGGTTCGGCTCCATGTCGTCTTCTTCCTGTTTGAGGGGCGTGTACGGGATCGGCTCCGGAATTTCCGTCGGAACGAGAAGCACTGGAGGCATCGAGAGGTCGAGACCAAGGCCTCGAATCGTCTCGGCTTTCGCTGTGGGTGTCACAAACGTCGTGGTCGTCGGCTCCTTTGAGGCGCGGGGAGAGTAGAAGTCTTGCATGAAGTCCTCGACTTGGTTGTTCACGGCGGCCATGTCGATCTTGTCTTCGGGTGGCCGAGGGTAGAAGTCGAGGTTTTGCGATCTCCGCTTTTGGAAGCTGATGCTGGGCTTTCGCTTAAGCACATGCGGTCGCGTCACCTGCGACTTGGCTTGTGAGGGCGGCGGAGGCGGCTTAACCTCGACGACAATGGGATCGTCGAGGAAGGGGTCATCGTTGTATGAGATACCGCCGCTTGAGATGTCGAGGAGGTCCGAGAACGTGAGGTTGCTTCCCATTTCATTAAGAGCGTCCGCGCTGGGGCCCGTCGTTGCCATCGCCACTTTCCTGGGAATGGCAGGAGCAAGAGCGAAATGGTCATCCGGATGTTTGCCCGGAAGCGTCTCATACAAAATGAAATTGCTTTCGAGGACGCGTCCGGATAAACTGGCCCAATCAGCAGCAAGTCTAAACTCACCCACCAACGTCGGCGGAGTGCACAACCGGTCAAAGGGAGGAGCTGATCGAGATTCGCGTCGACTACCACGGATTGCACCAGAAGGCGTCAGCTAAAGGCGTCAATGGCATCGCGAGTAGTACACTCGCATGATTCTTGGAGCGACACTTGTAGCCGTGGGCTGTTGACGGGAGCAGTGTCTATTGCTCCTCAGCTGGACGACGCGAAGAAACTGATGCAGCGCTTGCGGCTCGCATAGAAAAGCCATAGAGACTTGGGTGGTCGACTTGGTACAATAATGATTAATTTGGTGTCTACAGGTTTACTAACTTCGGCTGCTACTTTCTCCTTCGATCGGATATGTTCTACACTACAATGAACGAGTGCTCGGTCAACTTTAAGACTCAGCACGACCGCGACCGCTTTCCAATGGGCGGCTGCGTTGGCTCGGGGAGGCTGCGCTTCATGGTGGCGTCTTCTGCGACGGACGGCGGTGACGATGTGCTGCGAACGACCACTGCGTTAAGTTCGCACGGAAACCGCTTCGCGTCTTGCGACTTGAGGGGCACGAGCGTCACATGCACAATCGTGCTGAGCGTGTCGCCGTCCAATACAGCGTCCATGACGTTGGGTGTGTTCAGGAGCGCGTCGGGTAGCACGACTGCTGTGTTAATGCCTCGGATTGCAAAGCTACCGTTAACTTCCTTTGGGAATTGGTGGCGGCACGTCGGGCAGGTGCTACGAAGCTCCAGCCAAGGCGCAAGGCAGGCTTCGTGGAATATGTGACCGCAAGCCACGCGTACGGCCACGCCGTCCTCGAGGCTCTGCATGCAGACAGTACAGTCGCCGTCCGTGGCGAGTGGTGCGATCTGCTCGAGACGCATCGCTTTTTTGGCGGGCGTGCTGTGCTTGAGGTACGGCACAACGTAGCTCGTGATGAAGGTGACCCACGCTGGTGTGTGCAGCATCGCGACGATTTCCGAGAGACGCGAGGCAGCCGGCACCGTGTACTTGAGGCTCATGCGCACGTGCAGCGAGGCCATGTCGCTTGCGAGATACGCTGGAAGACCAAGAATAATGCTACGACGAAGGACCCGCGATGAGTGGAAGCTTACAAGAAAGAAGGGATGCGACATGTACAACGGCCTGTCTGGCCGGTCTGACTCGTGTCTTTACAAGTGGCATATATATGCTCCCCAGTGCTGCTACGAGCGAAGAGTATCTCCCCAGTGCTGCTCTTGTTGCTGTTGTAGGGACGGGGTTGGGTGGATCGAAGCGTCATAGTCAAATTGCCGCTTGCCAGTGGTGAGTGGACGGAATGTGCGAAATGCCATACCTCGTGCCACTCTGCGCGTCCGGCGCCTGCACCTTGTTTGCTTGTGCGAAGGGACGTCCCTCGTTTGATGTAAACGTATCGTGCGCGACATGCATCCTACATACATTGTGGTCGCCCCCAGAGCTGCGTTGGCGTCACCACTGCGTGAGTGTGTACAGTGTAATGACTCAGCGTGACAAACGTGAATTTCACGTTTCCCACAATGGTTTTGCAGGAAATACGGAGGTGGGAAACCCAACCATGAAATAAAGCACACCACTTATCACGTTGTGAAGCCTACTGCGAGCCAGACACGGGGTTGAGAACAGAATCTAATAAGTGCTGGAGATCGTAGCGCGCTAGGAGCAGGGTACGGACAGTCCTTGAAGCTGAAGGACTTGAACGACGCTAGCTGGTCGTAAGTGAGCACTGATTAAAGTGCAACATGGGCAGGCACCTTGTTTGCTTATTGTACTGAGTCTTACGTCCCGACAGGAGCTCTCGCCAGGGCACCTCAGAGGTACCGTACCGGTACCCGGTACTCGTGAATCGACTTGTTCGATGACGACAGATGATGTGATGCACGACAAACGTTAACGTTAACATAAATACAGTACATGTACTATACTTTATTCCGACAGATCGGATACAGCACAGTGTACCGGTGCACTTGTACAGTATGCTATTTAGAACTTGCTTGGTACATGCAGCTTAGACGACGCGCGGATGCTTCGTGTCGACAGCGACAGCGCTGTTTTTACGCTTCGCGACGCGGGCTTCTATGTGTTGCGCAAGCGCGGATTGTGGCACGACGACCGCATTGAGCTCGCAAGGAAATGTCTGTCGCTCCGAAAAGTGCGCGACTGGAACGAGCGACACGTGCACAATGGCCTTGACCGTCTTTCCGCTCAGATCAAAAGCCTGCAGGGCCGAGGGGGCGATAGCATCATCGACGTCTTCGACAATGAGTGCCGTGTTGATGCCGCGAAAAGCGTACCGCCCCGAGAACTCGTTCTGGAGCCGGTGGCGGCAGGTTGGACAGGTACTACGCATGCGCAACCAAGCGTCGATGCAGTTCGTGTGGAAGAGGTGCCCGCACGGCAGCTTCACAGCATCCTTCATAGCACCCATGCAAATGACACACTCGTCGTCGCCAGCACATTTCACGTGTTCGAGGCTGGCGAGGACCTCCTTGTTGACGGGCGTCGACGTCTTGAGATATGGCACGACATACCGGATCATAAAGTTGACCCAAGCTGCGCTGCGGAAGAGACCAAGAACGTCGCGCACCGTCGCATCCTCGGGCGCGGGGTATCGCACAGTCACGCGCACGTTGAGGCCGCTTAACACGTCCTTCCTCGTCATGAGACGATCTATCCGAAAATGATGATTCTTGCTTCTATACTGGTGTTTTATATGCAGCCCAATCCACCTCTGTCGAGTAACTTTTTTATATTCAGCGGCTTCGAATTTTGGATCGACTTAATCTTTGTATATGAAAAATCGAACGCGTCGCGTGGGGAGGTTCGAAAACGGCAAAGTCGCTTGATCCATGCCCAGTACGCATGCCCAGAACGGGTGGCAACATCAGCCAGAGCCGAGCTACTTCTTGTGCCGATGTGCACTCGAGGGGCGCCTCTCGGCGCATGTATCCGTTCCAGATACGTCAGAAGACGTTCATCTCGACGGCGTTCGCACGCCAAGTGCATCGAAGGTGGACGGCTTCGGCCAAATCGCAGCGGGTACGAGCGCTCAAGGAGGCTCGAGACTATTACGAGCTAACGTAAATAAATGTACTGCATTGTGTATTGTAGCTAGCTCCGTTGCGTTGGTGTCGTCCAGCATGCTTGCTTCAAGGTTCGCCAATGCTGGCGAATGTACCATAAATGTTGCAATCTAAAATTTTATGGACACGACGCGAGAGAAAAGAGAAGGAAGGAAACAGGTGCAGCCACTGGGAAAACGGGCACTCGTTGTACAGTAAAGCTGCTACACACCAGCACTGCGCTCTTGTGGCTGGTGGTACGACAAGGGCCTTGTTCATAAATTAGACTTGAAATTTGTATGAACCAAGTAATTGCAACCCGACCAACTCTAAACCTACCCCCTCCGAGCCCTTTTTGACCAATCATATGGCTAAGAAATGATATATTTGATATGACTGGCCGAGACTTCTGCTGCTGCACATTCATTGGACGCGACTTGTAATTTCGTGGCGAAAGCCTCCAGCGTGTCAGAACCACACAACGATGGAACAGCGCAATGTCCGAGCCGATCGACCGGAAGCGAAGACTCGGGTCGTAGCGCCGAATGGAGTTCAGGTCTGAATCCGCTGCGGCATCCGCCGGCAGCACGCGGCGCACTGCCCGCGCACTGTCCGTCGTCTCGCTCGCGTGGCCGAACGTCCGACCGCGGCGCTCATCGCGGAAGCGCCACGCAACGAAGCCACCGACCATGTGGACCCCGCTGAGATTCACGATGCGGACGAAGACGTCGACGGTGAAGGCGATGGTCCCGACGTCGAAGATACACCGGACGCAGAAGACGCCGCCAGCTTCACGCCGACACCCAAGAGCAAGCCTTTGGACGACATGTGTGAGCTGCGGTGGCCATGGAAGAAGATCAAGCTTCATCTCCCGCTCTCGCGTCGCAGCGCTCCGACGACGAACCAGAAAGCTCAACCGAGTAATGTATTTCCTTTTTCATCGATGCCAATGGGCGCGGCGACGCCCGTCGACTTTCTACTCGCCGACTGCAACATGAACGTCGTTTGCACGTTGACGTTCTGCGGTGCGTACTTGAGCGCCATCACGACCAAGTGTCCATCGTGCAACAGCAACAACGTCACGATGCACGGATGGAGCAACGGGTTTCGCGCGCTCGTCGACCTCGACTGTACAACGCTCTTGAAGTCGAGACGCTACATGCACCGCAACTGCCCTGACGTGTCCTCATCTTGTCGTCGCGAAGGTAGGCAAGCAATCATACGCCGCGGCGTGCGAGAAGATGTGGTTGGATCTATCCCGCGAAGCGCCGATCGAGATGCACAACTCCTGCAGAGCACATTACAACTGCAGAGCACATTACAAGCTACCATAGCCATATATCGAATACATCAGTCAATATATAAAGCTTTGCACAATTATCATGCAAGATTCGAGGTCAAGTTGGTCGGAACTGATGACTGCGACGCGTACAGCACGCGAGCAAGAGCGCGGCCATTGGACACGTTGGCCGCGTCATGCATCACACTATTTGTTTCCACCAATGGCGAGCAGCGATTTATGGCCCATATATGTCCCTCTCGCCCAATCAGATGATGCGACTTCTGTTTGGATGCAACACGTATGGAAGGTTCGCCCAGTCTGCTTCGCATCGCATTAGATAGCGCCAGCACATCTAACACTATATCCGTTGTCCAATCAACGGCTGCCATGTTTGGAATTGATTTTGGTTTTCAGCCAATGAAACGCAGCGCTATCTAAATAATTGCAACGGGAGTCGAAGGTTCGCCGAATCATGACGTGATGCTACGGGAGAAGTTCGAACCAATCCACACTGCAGTCTATTTCAATTTTAGTTCACATCAATCGGTAATAGTGTGTACTGGAGTGTAGCCGTCAACACCGGGCACGTGAGCCGTAGAGACAGACACGTCTGTAGCGCACACTATTAGCAAGAACGTATTGCGCCGAGATATCGCATCTGCCTGCATTACCGGTACCTTAGCTCCTGCATTGCGCTCGTCTGATGTGCCTGCGGACCAGCCTTGGAGTGAATGTACCACACTATTTCAGTAGATAAGCGGGGATTGGCGTAAAATGCTAAAAAATGAGCCAATCATTTGCGATGCTGAGAACGCGTAGGTGATTGGCACGTCAGGATTGCTTCGTGGGCATTCCTTGCCGCCACCATGTTTCGCCTCATCACCTGTGGTCTTGGCCGCGCCGCCCGCCCAGCGCGCCGGCACTTCTCGTCGAACCTCAACTTGCCCGACATCATCATCACACGGGACGCTGTCAAGGTACATGCAGCATCGACGCATGGTAGGCTAACGCAGCGTAGCAACTGAACAAGTTGAACACGACGGCGAACCCGAAGCAGTACCTGCGCGTGGCCGTTGAAGGAGGTGGCTGCTCCGGCTTTCAGTATATCTTGACTTTGGAGCACGACACGCGAGGTACGCTGCTTCATCATACCGAGTGCAAAATGGTTCTCAATCTGCGTGGGCAGAGGAAGACGACCAGACATTCGAGAAGGATGGCGCCGAGGTTGTCGTCGACGCCACATCTATGGAGTTTCTCAAAGGCAAGATGCTTCTACTCATGAAAAAAGCCTCGCTCAAGCTACCACATCTCTAGGCAGCACTGTGGACTTCGTGCAGGAACTCATTCGCAGCTCGTTCTCTGTCATCAACAACCCCAACGCTGTCAGTGGTTGTGGTTGTGGCACATCGTTCGAACTCAAGGAGTGATGGAACTACTGCATTATTTCCGTGTAATTGCGCTCGTGCATTTTACTCCCAGAGTACCAGGCACCCGTTCTTATCACAGGATGCGAGGAGACGACCGTTGGGACTCCACATGCAGCTAACAACCGCACCCGTGTGCGTATCCTTGTTCTCGCGCCACACCTGCTGGGAGAGCGCGTCCCAGATGAGCACCGCCCTATTTCAGTCAATGTTTTGCTCAGTCGGGGCAAAATCGTGCGAGGGTTACCCAGTCGTGCTGCCGGCAGCGATATACGCTCCATCCGGCGTCAGCGACGCTTTCGACCAGTTGAAGCCGCAGACGTAGCTTGGAGCGGTGTATGTCCCAAGCTCACCATACGTCCTGGTATCGAGTAGCTTGAGGGTGTTGTCGCGGGAGTTTGTGAGCAATTTGTAACCATCCTACATTTTGGGACGCTCCGGTGCAGCCATTGATATAGAACGAACGGTACGCTGGCATACGACACGGACGTAATTTGATCGCTGTGCACGTCGCTGAGCTCGTGAATGGGCGCTTTTGTGCGGGCATCCCAGAATCGCACGGCGGCGTCTTGATGCGCACTTGCAAACTGCCCGCCTACGCCGACGGCTATGTCGTTGCACGTCGACCTGCACGAGCTGATATATAGAATTCTTCCAGTCCCGAGGAACGCACCGGCAGCTAAAGCTTTTAAGGTTGCGGCCGCTTACGACGTCCCAGACACGAATCGATCGGTCGGCGCCGCCCGTCAAGACTTCGTTGGTTCGATCGAGGAGGAACTCGGCGGCGTACACTTTCCCCTAGTACACTCCATGTATTCAATGGTCATCAATCACATGATGGGCGCACTTTGTGTCCAAGCAGCGTGTGAGCAATGCGCCCCGTGCCTACGCGCCAAACTTGGCAGATGCGGTCGCAGCCAGTGCCTACAACAACATATAGCGATCATGTGCATCGTCATTAGGGTCTTACCGAGCACGAGCTCGCCGTCCTCAGATACGCGGACGCAGATTAGAGGCTGGGACATGCCGAGACCGCGGTAGTCAGCCTTTGCTTGGCACGAGTGAGCGTCCCACGCGCGCACAGTACCATCACTGCTGGCGGAGAAGACGATCTTCCCGGACCCGTTGAAGCAAACGCTGTTGACTTCGGTCGCATGTGCCCGTATGCTTTTTCCATGCTGAAGAGAGACGAGGCTCGAAGGCCCTCCGCCGGCTGGAAGCTCGTCGCGCCGCATAGCTTCCTGTCGCAAGGGCACAGGCTTGAGCTCCTACAAGACATCAACGTTCTAAACACAGGCTATCCATCAGTGCGGCCACCGGTTCTTGCAGCACGAGCTCCGCCATCATCTTGCTTTTCTGGACGAGCTGCGACTCGAGTTCGCGCACGCGGCGGCGAAATTCTTCGGTTTCTTGCTCCGCAAGCTCGGCGCGAACGCGCTGGCGGTTAAGCTCCTCACTACGCATGATACCTTGAGTTTCTTAAGTGGAGGCGAATGAGGCGTACCGTAGTACATGCATCTCCTTTTCCATTTCTTTGCCCGTTGAATCCATGTCATAGATCTTGCGCTGCAGCTGAAGGAGCTGCTCGTCCTTCAGTGCGACCGTCCGTGTTGGCGACGCAAGCGGCACCGTCTGGAGCTGATGAAGCTTTTGGTTTTGCGAGGTGACATATTGCAACTGCGCCATCATTTGCTGGTACGATGCGATGAGTGCAGCGAAAGAGTCTGTCTCGCGCTGGTTGCGCTGGTTCAGACGTGCCGCCATAGCCGCGAGTCCGGCACGATCTTCTGGTCGCATCCTGCGTTCAAAATTGGATTGCGATGAAATTTGTGTCCAGGCAAGAAGCTCTAAACACACCCAAATAACTGACCGGTCCGTCGTACACAGTGCATAAGCAATCATCCCCATGACAATATAAACTCGATGAACTTTGAGCCACTTAATTTAGTATTGCATACTGAGCTAATGCAAGCTACCATAGTGCGAGGTGGGTTGCAGCAAGGGTTGCAGAGAGAAATAAGTTGGGTGTTTTATGGCATCGATGGGCCCAGTTTCCGGATACCAAGAATGCTCACGGAAGCCTCCTTCTGCGGCAGCGCTATTCGGCGATTTGAACATGCCCAATCTCCAAAAGCAGACTTCATGTTGCAACCAAGGGAATCCCCTTGGTGCGAGATGCGTCGCGAAGCCAAAAGCCAATTGGGGCAACTGCATGATAATGAGTATTTATAGGATATCCGCAGCTGGGATATCCGTTTTTATTCCGTCAGAAGATGGACAGAATAAGCAGCGTGGAGCTCTGCGTGGCTGCGAGCAGACGAAACGAAAAAGGGTACTTGTATAATATTATCTATAGTTCGCGTCTAAATTGATCGTGCCGTTCGCATTATCTTAAGTAGCGGCTACTGCTTCGACGGTGCGCTGATGGTGATTCGCTACGTCGTCGCTTGCGCTCCTTGCTTCGACGTCGTTCATCCTTCTTCTTGTGCTCCTTCTTGGGCTTCTTCTCTTTCTTGCGCGCCTTCAGTTCGTCTTGCAGCAGATGCAATAGGCGCTGCGGGTCGGGGATTGCCGCTGTTGTCGCCATGTCACTGAGGTCTCGACCGAGACCACGGAGCTTTTCAGTCGCCATGGCATGGGCTGGATCCAATGAGAGCACCTTCTGCAAATCTGACCGCGCCGCATCCAACTTTTTTCGTGCAAATAGAGCAAGGCACGCGCGTAGTACGTTTCGCCGTCGTCTGGATCCATCTCGATCGCAGATGTGTACTCGACAATGGCTTCGGTGACCTTGCCGTCGCGCCGCAAGGAGTTTGCTCGCTTTCGCCGATCGATGGCCCACATGCGAATCTACGCCTGCTTGCTCATCACACGACGCTGCCCCTCTGGGCACTGACCTGTTGAACACTGAGCGTCTTGTACGAAAGCGCGTCGTCCGAGTAGAGGGGCGGTCGCACAATGTACGAGGTCACAGCCGGGACTTGAAACGTTTGGAGCATCCCGTCAAACGCGTATAGGTTGTGGCGCGTCGGATCCCGAACAAGACTATCGTTGAAGGCTGTCGGGCTGGGCGTACGCTGTGGCGCAAATGGCGTCGAAGGAAACGTAAACCCGCCGAATTTACACCCTGGTGTCCATAGCTACAGTAGAATAGTATTTTGACACTCAGCTAAGAGGCACAGTACCATGCATGCTGCGTCGTCGGGGAACGAAGCGTTGGGCTCATGGACGCAAATAAGTCCTTCCTAGCGCGACGCGATAAACAATAACGAGGATGGTCCTCATGATTACCATTGGATCCACTGCGGCTTGTAGGACAATGAGCTGTGCGTCAGTGGCCACCGGCAGCGTGTCTAACCTATGGAAATGGTGAGTTGCACGCGAAAGAGAAAACAGTCGAACCGCAGTCGCAACGAGAATGGTGCAAGCGCCGAAATGTCGAGGGCCGAACCAGCGTACTGTCCAGCAACAAATGCAATCGCGTGCAGTTGCACAAATGAAGCTGTCGTGGCTTGACCGCGAAGGCGCAGCGACGTGTGGTGGCGCCGCAACAGTGCGTAGAGAACGCGCTCGTGGCTCTTGGTGTAAGCGTACGCGCCTTGAGCGCATGAGGCAAACATGTAGCCGTATGAGTCGACTGCACGCTTCTCGAATGCCTGGTCCCGCGCCGCTTCCTTCGCCGCGACAGCTTGGACTGGCAGGCGCAGCGCTGCCCGTATCGCGTCCATGCTGGGTGTTATAAAATAGCGCCTCAACTACCTTGCTCAGACTATGTATAATTTAGTTTGCATGATTTAATTTGACCATACGTTGTGGTCGTTGGGCGCTGATGTTTTCCACTCCTACAATAAAATACCTTGCAATTGGTATGGAATCCTAGGAAACACGAAGACATTGGATCGAAATAATAATCACCACAAGAATGGGCTCGTTGCCTGCCATTTTTCCCTGCCATTTTTGAAGGTGGTCAACATGGCAACGACGAACCAGCTCCAAGCGCGCATGCTCGATGTGATGAAAAACTCGGAAGCGATGCTCAAGGAGCACGAGAAGGTCAACGGCGGATGCGTCGTGACGCGCTTCCCGCCAGAACCCAACGGCTACCTCCACGTTGGCCATGCCAAGTCGATGTCCATGAACTTTAACCAAGCGTTCGAGACGCTTGGCGTGCCCGCGGACAAGCGCCGCACGATCTTCCGGTAGGGTCACAGAATATTTCTTGTGCCTATGCCAGCAATGCGTAGGTACGATGATACGAACCCGGAGGCTGAAAGCCAAGAGTACATCCAAGCAATTCGCGCCAACGTCGACTGGCTCGGCTGGAAGCCGTGGAAGACAACGTACTCGTCCGAGTATTTTGATGAGCTGTACGAGTTTGCGATCAAGCTCATCAAGAAGGGGCGCGCGTACGTGTGTCACCAGTCCAAGGCTGACATCGAAGCTTGCCGCAGCGTGCTCCGCGATCTTCACGGCCGCGTGGCGTCGGAAGGTCTCGTGCTCACGCCCCAGGTGCTGGCGGCTGCCGAGAGTCCGTTCCGCAACCGATCGGTCGACGACAACTTGAAGCACTTTGAGATGATGCGCCGTGGCCAGTACGCAGAAGGCGCAGCGTCGCTTCGGCTCAAGATGCAGCTCGAGTCGCCCAACCCCAACATGTGGGACTTCGTGGCCTACCGCATCAAGTTTGTGCCGCATCCGCACATTGGCGACAAGTGGTGCATCTACCCGACGTACGACTACACTCACTGCATCGTGGACGCTCTCGAGCACATCGACTACTCGATCTGCACGCTCGAGTTTGAGACGCGCCGTGAGTCGTACTATTGGCTGCTCGACCAGCTCGATCTGTACAAGCCCATGGTTTACGAGTTTGCGCGCCTCAACATGACGTACACCGTCATGAGCAAGCGCAAACTGCTCAAGCTTGTACGCGTCACTGAGAATGACCAAGAAATCAGCGGCTCATGAGATTGCGTAGGTAACGAAGGGCGTCGTGCGTGGCTGGGACGACCCGCGCCTGAGCACGCTGAACGGTCTTAAGCGCCGCGGCTTCTCGGCGCCGATCCTCAACGCCTTTTGCAAGGGTATACCATCTCTTTCATGGCTCGGAGCTGATTAAACTGTTCGTGCTTAGAGATTGGCGTGACGCGGACGCAGTCGACGATTGAAATCGACCGCTTGTACGCGGTTGCACGCAATATGCTTGGTGACGCGTCGGCGCGCGCGATGGCGGTGCTGGACCCAATTCCGGTGCGATATGCTTGGAGTAGGCAGCAATTCTCATGGTGAGATGTGGTAGGTCGAAATTGAGAACCCACTTTCGACACCGCTCGTGTGTAACGTGCCGCTGTATCCCCAGGACAAGACGCGCACCGAAGCGCACGCTGTCGAGCTCACGCCGACGTTCTTCTTGGACCGGTGTGTGCAGCTGATTCCTTCGTGGAAGGTTGACGCCGATTTAGGTCGGACGTGCGAGCGACGGACGCCGCCGACTTTTTTGGCGTCGCGCCACTGAAGAGTGTGCGCCTCAAGTACGCGGCCGTCTTTACGTGCACGTCCGTGATCACGGATGCGGCGGTAGGTGCATCTACTTGGGCCAGGGTATTGATAGATGACATGGTTAGGGCAATGTTACCAAGGTCACGGGCACGGTCGACTGGTCGAACGAGAAGGGCATTAGCCCGAAGGGCACGATGACGTGGGTGCCGTCAAGCGCCCTCGAGTGCGAAGTGCGCGTCTACTCTCACCTCTTCACGGTCCCGGTACGTCACTAAGATGTGTTTTGATATGGATGCTAAAGTATTGCTAGGAACTGGGTGCGGTGGATGACTGGGAGTCGCTCATCGATAGCAAGGGCAGCGAGAAGGTGTATGCTTCGGCCCGCGTCGTGAGCTCGGTGGCGTCGGCCGCGCACCTCGATTCGTTTCAGTTTGAGCGCATGGGCTACTTTGTCGTGGACCAAGACTCGACCAGCACCCGCAAGGTGTTCAACCAGGTATATTTCACGCACCCATGCTTCCTAAACCAAAAATCTTGGTACGTGGGTAGATCGTGGCGCTTAAGGACGCCACGGCGGCCCCGGCCGTGTCCCGGAAGGAGGAGCAGATGCGCCAACTGGCTGAGAAGCAGGCCAAGATGTCCCTCAAGCCCCAAGACATGTTAAGACGCCCGCGTACTCTGCGTGGGACACGGAGGGCGTCCCTACCCATGACGCTGCGGGCACGGCTCTCACAAAGAGTGCGATCAAGAAGCTCCAGAAGGACTGGGCCAAGCAGAAGAAGCTGTACGAGTCGAACCTCAAGAAGTAACTTGTAAGGCAATGCCCCATGGTATGGTCTCTACAAATGAAGTTTGCAAACTTGGCCGAAAAGTTTATCACCGTCTGGACGGCACGTTCATACGATTGTTGTTGGGTTTACACAGTATTCTTGGAGTAGGGTTGGAACACGAGCGCAGACCCTTGGCAGTAGCCGACGCTGAGTGCGAGGACGACGGAGGCACCGAGGCCCGACAGGACGGACCGATGTACGAGGCTGCCCGACACGACTGCCCAAAGCATACATAGCCAAACGGACACGACGAAGCCTCGTGTTGTGTCGGTAGCAAGCGTCAATGGCACGCGATGAAGTCGCGAGTCAAGCGTAAGCTCATCATCGTCAGCGACAGTGGTGCTATCGTCGTCTGACGCGCTTGGTGCTGGTGCAGCTGCTTCATTGATCTCGGACGCTTCCGGCGACGAGTCCATGACGAGTGGCGTCGTCGCTTCCGGCAGCAGATCCAGCCCATCATCTTTGCAGCCGAACGAGCACTGAAGGATGTTGGGTAAGGAACCATGCCGCGTGAGCTCGCTATGCTCGAACGATGGGCGGCCTTCGTTCGAATCACGGAATGGCGACGGTGGGCGAAGGAACGTCGACGCCGAGAGGTGCGGCGAAGTGCTGGAGCGCGCTAAGGGCGGTGCACGGTAGGCGTCCTTAGCATGGCACTCCTTGCAAAGCCGGCGCAGGCAGCTAGCGCACTTGCGCTTCTTGGCGAAAACGCTGATGCGGTGGCTGCACCGGGCGCATTTCGTCACCATCACGGCGGTCGTCCGAACTGGCGAGGATGATGATTCGAGTCTAACCGCTGCGTATCCGGACGTGTAACACACGGCAAGCGTCATTTCCGGATGCCGGATACCAATGAGATACACTATAGCCAGATTCACATCAATCGCCATCCTGCAACACGACGACCATGGTGCGTTTCCCGAGCCTCACAGTCGAGGAGGGAAAGCTTGTGACGAAGGGCCTCTTCTACGAGACGGGGGCGGGTAATATCAAGGTGTACCTCAAGTCGCTGCCGAAGTATGCCCACAGCGATGTCCGCCTCCTCTTCGACAAGGAGATTGCCCTTCACGAGCAGTACCGACATGTCCTTTCTGTCAGCATCACCGTATCGTCGTGTGTAGGTTACGTCATCCCAACATCGTCAAGCTTTATGACGCGTCGCCGTCCTCGTCCAAAGAACCAATCATGGTATTCGAGTACATGGACGAGGGATCGCTAGACACGCACTTTGGCAGCGGCGCAGACTCGTTCACGGACGACCGCAAGGTCCGCATCGTGCGCGACATCGCACAAGCGATTGCGCACCTTCACAATAATGACATGACGCACGGCAACCTCCTCCCGTCGCACGTGTTGCTGGACTCGGTCAAACCTGCGAAACTCACGGGCCTTTGCTCCAACGAGCAAGCCGACTCGCAGCTCGAAATCTCGGCCGTACAGCTCAATGTCGCCTCGTGCTTCTACGTGGCACCCGAGGTCATTCTGGACGACGCAACGTACGAACCACCGGCGGACGTTTTCGCATTCGGCTGCTTGATGTGGTGCGTTGATATCGTGCACGAGATCTACCCTACCAACGGTGGCGACGTCATCGAATTTCGCCACATCATGGATTGGATCTCGTCCGGTGGCTTTGACGACGTGGCCCGCGATTTTTCGCCTTCGTGCCCTGGCTGGTACGCCGCAATCGCAAAGCTATGCATGCGTCGCGACCCGAACGAGCGCCCCACCATTCAACAAGTACTGCGCCAACTCGAGAAGGACGCTCCATGATGTTTCCTATGATTCATTGACGTTTTGTTCTTTCTCTTTTTGACGTAGACTCTTACCGAGAGATCAGGGTCTAATGCATTTCCACGTATAATCACAGTGTAGCTCTCGGTAATGTGTACGAACAGCAGCACAATAGCGGTCAAACACCCCCGTAACCAGAGGTTTTTGCTTATAGCGTAGAATACGCTCTATTAAAGGCCACCTATACGGTACTCTCCAACGTACACCTTGGTGGCACGCATTAACACATATATTATTCACTTCCAGTGACAGGGGTACTACGGAAGCGGCACATCATGGTTGCCATCAGGCTTGTTGGCACGTACAAAGATGCCACGACGTGCAGAGCAATGAAAGTAATCAATGCCGTTCACAGATCCGTTGTGATTTCCAAGGGGGTCGCACAGCTCGATGCCAATCCATTCCCCGTCGGCAAAGCGGGTCGGGCCAACGAAGCGTACCATATCTGAGTGCAAACTTACTTGCTTTTATCCGACTACCGTGCTTCCGACAACGACAGATCGACCGACATCGATGCCTTGAAGCACGCGTGGCGGTGGTGATGACTTCTACATAGGTTAGAAGCTCGTTTGCTGAATATTTAGGTTGTAAGGTACGTCGTCGTCAATGATAATAGGCGGCGGGATTGCATGCACTGACGTTGACTTCACTCGGAGATCGTTGACGTTGTAGAATGACACGATACGCGGCCGGCGATGTACATAGCTCGCGTCTCCTCGGCTTTTTCGAGGCGGAAGACTTCCTGGAAGGAGCCGTCGGCGGTCATCTGCCAGCGTCGGTACGTGCAACATTGCCGGGTCGTAGAGCACCACTTTCTTTCTTGGGTCTACAAACCTTTGGATCAATCTGGTTCGATATGTTTTGTTAGCATGCACTACCGGGGCCCGCAATAAATGGCGTTGTACGTTCAAGCGCAGAGGCGGAAACACCGCTGTGGTGCGAAATCGACGGAGGAGGGTCGGACGCGATGCCAAACTTGAAGAGATGCCACGTTTCGGCATCGACTTTCGGTGGCTGCATGAACTGGTCATGAATAGGCTCGCGGTGGTAGAAGCTAAAGGTTGGAGCCTCGTCAATGATTGTCTCATCGTTGTTGACATCGTCTCCCTCCTCGCGGGCGCATTTCTCGGGAGACGGCGCGCCACTATCGCCGCGTTTGTCGTCGTCGATCTCCGTCGTCGTAGCATCTTCTTTGAGAACAGCAGTAATGTCTTCGTTGTTTGCAACCAGCGGCGTCGTCGCAATACTGAGCTCAAGATCGCCGTCCGGCGATAGCGGAATCCACGTCGATGGGAACTTCGCCTGTGCCACCGGTGACATAATCGTCAGGTATGGCGCACAACAAATTACCTCGTTTGAGATGCTATTCAGCGCGAGCTCTGCGCTGGCGAGTACCAGGCTCCCGCAGATAATTTCAATATGCAGAGTTGCGCAAATCGCCCCTTGGTGTAGGCGCATGGTGACGATGCCAGTGGTGCCAACCCATTCCAAGACCGTTGTATCTTGAAGCGACGTCCCCGTGACCACTGCGGCAGCTGTTGGACGTCCAGACGAGACCACGAAACACTTTGCGCGAAGTCCGTGCTGCTGAAGGAGGCTTGCAAACACCTTTCGTCCATTGGGCAGGCGCACTTGACGGACGTGCACGTGCAGATCCACGCCAAGGCTAGGTCGGCGCTCGTAGACATGTGCTCGCGGTTCGGCGGCTATCGTGTCCAGAAGGCTCATCCCGGCAGTTGCAGATTCTGAAAATGGACTGAACAGTGTTTCGGACCATGCCGTAGTGGACACGGAAATCTGAAGGTAAATTTAGGTTTGAACTCCTGTACCACAACACAAGTTCTTTTAGTCGGGAAATTAGGTGGGATTCTATTGAAACTTCAAGAAAAAGATGGCTGAGATGAGCACCACGATCAAGATATTATGAGTCCAGAGTCGATCTGAAGAGAGAAGCGTACGAATAAAGCTACTGCTGCCCAAGAGCTTGGCTAATGCTACTTGGCTCATTGCTACCGCCACTGCCGTAGCTCGGGGGGATAAGTGGAGTCGGTTGTTGGTCCATTTTGGCGTGAAGTTTGGCCTTGTAAACCTTTGTTGCGATTTGTGGCACCAGGCTCAGCTTGGTCAGCAGCGCTATTGCATAGCACGTTGCGCGGGGTACATCGCCATTACATCGATACGAACCTTGGTGAGTCGAATTGGCAGCGTCCAGTTGGCTTCGAAATACGTCTTCTGCGATGGTGGCTGCGGCGAGTTCCAACTTCAAACGGGCGCATCGCTTCTCCAGCGCCCTAAGACGACACGTATTCGATGTTGAGCTACTTGCATGGAGTCAGAGGTATATCAACCGGGTACTAAACCTCTCTTGGTCCAAGTCTGCCTTGGCTTCAGCCAACGATAGCTTTTCATGAGCCTAAGAGAAGTAGTGAGAGTTTGATATTGAAGCGATTTCGACGAACAAGCAGCTTCTCATGCAGCTCGATTTCTTTCTTGACGCATTCTTTAGTGTCGGACCGACCTCGCGGCCATCCAAAATTGAGCGAGATTCCCAAGCCCTGGGAACCCAACAATACTCTGGGCAATGTATAAGTCTCAAACACACCTTGCGACTTCTTGCTGGCACGTCATCGGTGTGCAATCGGGCAATTGTTTGCTCCAGAGCAAACTGATCGGCAATGGACTCTTCTCGGTCTTGTAGCTGCCGCAAAATCGTCTTCTCCAGCCGCATGATTGTAGCTGGGTACATGTATGCAAGGTGTTCAGTGTACAGTCGTGTAGGGTGCAATAGATGTCACCTTGGTAGTTGAGTTGTTCGAGCTCAAGCTGGTCCACTAGCTCAAGCACCTCGTCGCCCTCACGTTCGAGCTCGAATAGGGTATCGACGAGCTCTTCGGAGATGGACTCAGCGGCCGCCAACTGGAATTTCGCGAGGGCAACGCTTGGTGCCTGAGCTTCGTCGGCCTTGATCATGACGTCAAGCACGTCAAAGTCATTGGGCCATGCTCCTGAATCGTCGAGCGCACTTGGGGGCGAGTGGAGAACCCACTTGACGAACTTGTCGTATGATGCCAATGCCTCGGACGGCGGATCGTCCTCCAAGAAGCAAACCATGTCGGGGCCGTCGCAGTCCATTCTTGCTTGCTGTGCCAACAGTTACAACGTTCTTAAATGGAATAGGAAAGGCCGAATGTGGTGGCCCCGACAGTACACGAACAAGAGCAATGATACCTAGGCTTCTGCAAGCCCCAGTCACACGCCACAGCCTCTGGTTGCTGCTGGATATGATTATTTCAAAACTTTATCGTCTTCAAATCAAGTCATCAAAGTCACCTCCGTCGGAATTGCAGGTCTCGAGGTAGCAAGCAACGCTTGGCAAGAGGTTTCCAATCGCCGACGGGGGCAGCCGCGACCGTACATGGCGTACCAGAGACTTTGCTACAGTGCTGGTGACAAAATAGAGTAACGTTAGCAATGAACGTAGTATCGGTGTACTGCAATGTCCATGCACCCGTCCGCAATGGCGCGAGCGACGATCAAGGCTTGACATCGGGTTGGACGTCAAGAAGAATTTCCGAAAGTCGAGGCAAGAAATGCTTCTGTAATCATCAGCGGCAATACGTTGTCTGAGACGTCAAGTTGTCTACCGTCCTTTTCGATAGTCACTTTCAATTTTGCATAGTTTTACTTCGAGCCTGGGAGTTTGGCTCCCCGTCGAGCCAAACTCCCAGACACCGCTTGTCGCTTAAGCTTTTCTTGGGCATTGTGCAACGTTAGCTGCCCATGATAGACGTCCGACGCTGCCCTGTCAGAACCAGCTTTGGGATGTCGATGTGACGCAGTTTTGCAATGTGCTTCTGCGCGCGGACGCACAGACGTACAAAAGCGGCAGTGCTCAACACCAGATACAATTTATGACATTGATTGGGTTACTGTACAACGTTGCGATAGGCACTCGAACGCATCAAGGCTCGTGCGCTCCGAGAGCTACAGTGCGTGCTTTGCGTACTGCCCGCCGTCACTGATAAGCAATGGCATCTGTGCTCTGCACAGCTTTTGCGTGGTCGTTCGATTAGCGTGACTGTGCAAGCCTGTCTTTGTTTTCAGCTCATTTAGCGGAACTATGAGTCATCCTCATCAATTTCGTCGTACATCTACGGCACCATATGTAAAGGACGATGTAGCAGCTCATGGACCTTGGCTTTTGTTGTCTTCTGAAAGCGCGCGAGGTCCGTGTGAATTGTCGGTGACAAAGGCTGCACGGGAATGTCGACGCCTTCGCGACCCTGTACATCCAATCGTATACGTAATCGCAAGAAGATCATGTGCAATATTGTACCGTGATCCATGGATGAGCAAGTACGTCGGCAATCGAAAAGCGATCGTTTGGGTCAAGGACAAGAAGGTTCTTGATCAAATCTTTTGCTTGAATCGAAATGCCCACCCAAGCCTATCCATGCGTCGCCTCGCGGTTCAAGAGCACTTGGGCGGCGCCCACCTCATCCGCGTAGTCGAACTGACACTTTTTGATTGCTGCGATCATATCATTGTCGGACCGCGTTCCATGAGGGTCAAACGGATGGAAGCCGCAGAGCCTACAAATGTCTTGGTCGATAAGCGCATCGTGATCTCCGAGCGTACAGGATGTAAAGGATGGTGCCCAGGCTCCACGAGTCGACCTTCGCGTCGTAGCCGAAGGTACATCCAGATCCCGAAATCATTTCTGGGGCAGAATATCCCCACGTGCCGCACTTCGTCTTCATGGATGTGGCGGTCGTGATCTTGGCGAGGCCAAAGTCGGCGATTTTGATGCACGCCAGCGTATCGTCGGGGGTGCCTACAGTTTGAGGATGACCGTACGGCCTGGGCTAGAAACTTACTTAAAAGAATATTCTCCGGCTTCAAGTCGCGGTGCACAATGTCATTGGCGTGCATGAACGCTACAGCCTCCGCCATGCAGCGCACGTGTCGGACGCAGTCCATCTCCGAGTACGGACCTTTCTCTGCCAATCGCTCGAAGAGTTCGCCGCTGCACAGGATGAAAGACGTGCATAATGTATCGTCAATATCGACTCGTACCCCGTGCACAGCTCCATAATGACATACACGTCGCCGGCGGTCTCGAAGACATCGAGTAGGGTTACAATATTCGGGTGCTCCTGAATCTTGCGGAGCGCAGCAACCTCCGACTAAGGATTTGCAGCTAAGAGTCACGGTATACGGGTCGAAAGTACCTTGAGCCGCATCTCGTCGGTCAGTGCCCGGCGAATCTTCTTGATAGCTACTGGTTGGTTCGTGCGGCGGCTTCGCCCGCGATACACGGTTGCGTAGTGACCGCTAGGAGCGCAGAGTGAGAACCTAATGCTCTGTTCTTGCACAAATACCGTCCAAGGCGTGTGTTCTCCAGGACATAGTAGTCTTCAACACGCCGAGGTCGACCCGATGGCTCTACGTCTGTTGCTACGCACGCGTTGGGCGGTGCAAAACGTACCTGGGCCTGTACCGGGAAATGTCTTGGTCCATGCCATCGCGCTTTCGACCTCGATGTCAAAATCTGTTGCTCGGAGTTGCTTGGACGGTGTCGATTGGCACGCATTTGCGGTCGGCTGGATGTGAATCTCCGTTGTACTCATGGGGACAGCCAAGGAGTCGTCCAGGCATCCTACGCTGGAGCATCGGGCGCTTCCAGCCCCGGCATCGTCGGGGTCCGCTGCCTTGACATCGGCGGTTGATGGAGACGACTTGGAGTTGCCCATGTTCCCAACGAAATGTTCTCGTTCGAGATTTTGGAATCGTTGGATTCGGATATGTCCTAGTTCTATATTTTCATTTAGGCGCGAAGACTATCTTTAGCAGGCGCGGACTCTGAGGATGGCGGACGCCCTGGAGCCGCGGATCCGAAAGCTATTTGTCGAGACCCAAGACGCCTACGATGAGATGCTTCACCGACCTTTCACGCCGCAGAAGGTTCGAATGCATCCGTTCCCTCACGAGATCGATCATGTCGTGCGACCACGATCGCCACCGAAGTCGCCAATGGTAAAGATGCCGACAGCCACGGACTCATTCCCAAAATCTGCCAGTTGCAGTGTACGGATTATTCCTGCGGTGGTATGACGTGAAATGATGCTGCGCATTAGTCGCTACCACGGGCCAGGGTCGCTATCGATAAACACCTTCCACGCATCACGAGCTCTGCATTGCGCGAGGGGAACGCCAACAAAGACGCCGTCGATCGTCGAAGCACGTACGTTGTACATATTTCACTCTGTCTGCACAAATGTTGCCATGTGGTCTAGTTCGCGGGGGTCGGTTGTGACCTATCAGACGGCAAACGAGTCAGTGCTCGATGAAATGCGGGGTATGCAATGCAGCGATCGTGGACGCAGCTGCGATTGTCTTCCGTAGCGTTTGTGGAAATGAAGCGCCGCGAGCGCAAATCGGCAACCACAGCAACGGATGTGGACGTGGCAAAAAACGGCGTGCAGCGCAAAGTCACTCGGGGTATTGAGCTGCACATGCAGTGCCACCTCGAGTTCAACCATTTGCACAACCGTGCGACGCGCCACCTGAACGTGCACCCAGATCCGACGACAAACTTTGGCGCTGCCCTCGAGACGCCACCCGGACGCAGCAGCCCGTTCAAAGTCCAGCAAAAAGACACGTCCGAGGGCAGGAAGAAGAAGAGAGGTAAGCAAGCCACTTTCTATGTCTCATAAAACTTGCGTGCAGAGAGTCTCTCTTATCAAAAGCTGCTGAGAAAGCTGTCACCGACGATCACCAACTCCGCCACGACGTACATCAATCTCTTGCATTTACTCCAGGCATGTCGCGTGTGCGGTGGCCGCGTCACTTTTTGCAACACGTGTCAAACCCACGCCAACGAGTACTTCCACACGTTCTCGCCAGCAGAGCTTGAGAAGACGTACGGAAAGCAACTGTCACCGCCAGACAGCACCAAGGTCGCCGAGTACAGTGCCTATCTGCGCGCCCGCGAGGCTGCTACCGTACGCAAGGGTGAATCAAAGCAGCTCGAGGATCGCAATTAGGAAGTTTTAAATTCATCACAAATGGTACTTTCTGTTGCGCAGGATATAGAGCCCTCACTTTTGTCGGCAGCGGTCGGCCAGGGTATGGTTGACGACAACTGCGTCATGCATATGGGGTGGGGCTGGCATACAAATGAGAAAAATACGGACCTAGCCGCGTCACGATGATGCAGCACCACTCGCTGCGGCTTGTGCCTGAATGGTGCTTCGGTCTTGAAACGCGATCGTGAGGGGCCGCGCCTTCTTTAGCGGTGGCGATTCAGGCAGTGACATTGGCTCGAAACGACGCTTTGGTGCCGCGTTGACGACATTACGTGCATCGCGAAGTAAGCCGTCGACATCAACAGATGCCGTGAAGTTTGAAACAATCTGGTCGTAGGTCGAGCTCGGGTCCGTTGCGCTGGTCGGCGAGAACTCAGGCACAAAGCCATACGCCTTTTGGTCGCGGTGCGCATGGTGCGCGAAGTATTGACGCACGCTGCGCTCGCAGTTAGCAAGGCAGTAGTACCCTTCAGCGGGCAGCCGATTGAAAACAGCCCCAAGAACGCGAAGACCTGCGGCCTCGAAGTAGCTTGCGTTGAGATTAAACGAGTCAACCTACGCAAGGACGCATGACACAAAATCGGCATCACAACCACCGTACCGCATCACCAACGCCAGGTTTACCAACGAGCAAAACTGAGATTGGGCGTAGTGCCGAGGCGACATCGGCGTTAGAGACACCGCAAATTGACCCAACACTTGGATAGCCCACGCCATCGATGACAACGATGCGTTTGCCCCGGGACAGGTCGCGAACGGCATCGCGAATGCTATTAAGCAGCACGCTGCTCGCTGCTTGTTGGTCCGATTGGTCCAAAACGACCGTGTAAAGCCAGAGTAGTAGACGACGGGACCGATCGGAACAGCGGCAATTCCTAGAACCCCGTCGAATACAATGCACCAATCTCATACAAATGCGATACCGTGATGAATACAAAATGCCGATATCATTTGCGGCGCCTCACATTGTGTCGCGGGTTTGATGTATGCGAGCTCGTCGGCGCGATATCTAGCGGAAAACAAGTACTAGTAGAGATTACGAGGTCCCTAAATTCACTAAATTCAGCATACCCGAGCTTGAGAAAGGCGCCGAGTAGAGCCATGCACGTTGTCGATTTGCCGACCTGAGACTTGTCGCCTGCGACAAAGAGTCGAAGCGGCTCGCTGGACGGCGGCGGCAACCAGTGAATCTGACGACGAAGAAGCATGGCAAGCTCGTCGACGTTGGCGCACGTCACTGCCGAGGCGCCGTCGCCGACTGTGATGATGAGAGGGTCATTGCTCAATGCAATCGTTAGATGTACGTCCATGACAAGCTCGAGGCCACGGACGAGCGCGACCGCCGCTCGGAGGGCGCTGGATTCGGGACCGCGGACCTCGACAGCGACCATGGGGAGCGGCTACAAATGGACCAAGATGACAGGCGATGGTATTATTAACAAGGAGATCTTATTCATATCTTACTCATACAGGGCCTTTGTATAGAATCACAAATAGTTATTTTCTGCGACGTGGGGCATGAATGACGGCGTTGATGAGATGTTGCGACGATTCAACGTGAATCTCTCAGTTTGCAGGCCAATTTAGCATGGGCTGGACACCCCTTTGTCATTATGGCCCTTTGTGATGAAATGCCTTTGTTTGCTTGATATTTGTAGGTCTATGAATGATCAAGGCCATCATCAATACACAGAAGCGAGAGCAGCGCGGTACATACAAGTGCTCACCAACCATTTATGACCTTGGTTTAGGATGCAGCCCTGTTGCGCTCGTTCAGGGTTCACCATTGTACTGGTAGTACATCAACTACCTCATTGCTCCAGATTGAATGATCAGGCAAGGCAGCTTGAAGCATTTATACAATTTCGATGGATCGTCCATTCATCAGCGTGTGTAAAATGAGCATCCGTTCGAACAATAAAAGCGCAAAAACCAGCGCACCCACATCGCAATTGAGAGTCCGGCGTCCGAGAATTGTTTGCAGGCACGACAACGCTTCTGCCGAGGCGGCCATTCGTCGGCGAAAGCAACTGAGCTTCCATGGACGTGCCGGGATATCACACTATTTTGTTTTACGTCCAGGAAAAGTGTCGGGTGGATCCGGCCATACACTATTTTACAGTAGTGTATTATCCGGATGCGGTTGGCCGCATGGTTGTTGTATTTGGGGTCACGAGAGATGGACGAGAAAGATTCTCCGAGGAGCGACCACAGCTCTGTCGCGTCGTTCGGGTCCATCGATACGGATGACGCTGACCTCAGGACGGCAAAGACACGTGGAAGCTTGTCGCGATCGAAGCGTAGCGCCATCGGACTGCGCACAGCCGCAGCGCGGAAGCGACGGAAGCTGGAGTCGGCAGTTGTCTCGCCGGAGAGCCCGCTACCCGATGACGCGAGTGCAGACGAAGTAGAAGCCCTGCAGCAAGCCAAACAAGCTATCGTGGACCAGCTGGAGGCGCTCGACCGCGTTGCGCCCGCATCGCCGTTGTCGGTGGTCGACGGGGCCGTGACGACCGCGGCTCCTCCGGTCGTACTGAGCCGCCAAACAAGCCGAGCAACACTGCCAAACGCGCTGCAAACGGACGCCACTGCAAGTTTCCGGCACTGGGACTTTCTTCTCCAAGAAATGCAGTGGATGGCGACGGACTTTACGCAGGAGCGCAAGTGGCGCTTACGGAAGGCAAAGACGCTATCGGTCTCTGTGCTCAGCCACCACAACAAGAAAGCAACGGCTGCAACACGCTCATCCCAGCATGAAGAAGCGCACCGAAAGCGTTTAGCGGCCAAGATTGGCCGCGACATCAAGAAGTTTTGGCTCCAGATCGACAAGGTCGTCGCACATCAGTTCAAGGCCGCGGAAGATGCGCGGCAAAAAGATGAGATGGAGTCCCAGCTTCAGTTTCTTGTCGCGCAGACAGAAAATACGCCACTGCACTCGCGACGACGTTCGCGCTGCCAATGGACGCCGATATGTCGGAAGGAAGCGACGACGAAACGACGGACGAGCATTCGCCGCACAACGACGCCGACTCGGATGGTGACTTCGTCATGCAGGGTGACGACGTCGCTGATGACGAAACGACCATTGCCATCGAAGAGGCTGTCCAGTCTGCCGAAGACACGGCGCTTGAGCTCGCGCTGCTTGATGAAGAAGGACAACTCTCAATTGACGAGCTTCGGAAGCGCTATGCTGCTATGGCAAGTTGTGCCACCGGCTCGCCCGTGGGGGTACACCATGTCGCATACGGCAACACTCAAGTCGGTGACCGTGACGGTGACGACGAAGACTTCTCATTGGGCAGCGACAGCGATGATGACGACGAGACGACGATCGCGGTCGAAGAGGCGGCGCAGTCGGCGCAAGACACGGCAGAAGAGCTTGCTGAGCTAGAGGTCGACGCCAACCTCTCGATCGATGAGCTGCGGGCCAAATACGCATCCGCGGGGGCAACATCGGATGTTGCTGTATCGGACGATGGTGACTTTGAAATGGAGACCGAGTCTCTAGACGACGAGTCGACGATCGCGATCGAAGAAGCGGCGCAGTCGGCGCAAGACACGGCAAAAGAGCTCGCTCAATTAGAGGCTGACGCGGACATTTCCATTGAGGAGCTGCGCGCGCGTTACGTTGCAGTCGTCGAGGCTGCGTCAGAGAGCGGATTGAACGACATCGACTTGGACACCGCGACCGAATATGTCGACGACGAGATGGTGATCGCAACCAAGCAGGCTTCGCATTCGGCGCCAGATCCAACAGGCATACGCGCGCAGCTGCCAGCAAGCACCAATTCGTCGGGAGATGTGCACGCAGCCCAGGCGTCCGCTACGAGCATCCATGCCGCGGTCTCACAAACGGAGCAAGGTCTTTGGGATGCGGTTGGCGTCGTGCGCCCATTTTTGCTGCGCCCGTCCCTGCATCTTCGTGCATACCAGACGGCAGGTACGTTCATTATTGAATCGATAATACGGCACTAAATGGCTTGTGGAGTAGGCGTTGCGTGGCTGCTCTCGCTGGCGCACAACCGCATGAATGGCATCTTGGCGGATGAGATGGGCCTCGGAAAGACGATCCAGACCATTTCTATGCTGGCGGCGCTCGCGACGGAAGGGTATGTGTGCTTTTCGTCTCGCACATACGAGTATAGTGCGCTAGGATCTGGGGGCCCCACCTCATTATCGTGCCGACGTCGTGCATTCTCAACTGGGAGATGGAGCTAAAGCGCTGGTGCCCCGCGTTCAAGATCATGGCCTACTATGGCAGTGCCAAGCGGCGAAAAGATCTGAGGTACGACCAGTGATTCTCTGTTGCGGTATAGAGTCAGAACGTACGTACTAGAAATGGGTGGTCCAAGACAAACGCCTTCCAAGTTTGCATTACGTCGTACCAGCTCGTGGTCGCAGACGCACCGTGCTTCAAGCGCAAGAAATGGTACTACCTCATTCTGGACGAAGCCCACAACATCAAGAACTGGAAGTCCCAGCGCTGGCAAACGCTCCTGACGTTTAACACGCAGCGTCGACTTCTTCTCACAGGTGCACCATTTGTACCAGAGTCGTATCCATGACCATCTGGATGTAGGCACGCCGCTGCAAAACAATCTCATGGAGCTCTGGTCGCTCATGCACTTTTTGATGCCACACCTCTTCCGGTCACGGGCACAGTTCACGTACTGGTTCAACAACCCGCTCAACGCAATGGTGCGTTCATTGCCTCGGGAGCGTATTCATCATCGACGTAGGTGGAAGGTGAAGCGGCCGTGAACGCGTCGCTCGTTGCGCGACTTCATCGCATCATCCGTCCCTTCGTCTTGCGCCGCCTGAAGAAAGACGTGGCCAAGCAAATGGTATTACATTACGACGTTTCGAGATACAATACTAAAAGCGTCCTCAGCCAGGCAAGTTTGAGCACGTTCTGATGTGCCCCCTCTCCAAGCGGCAGACGTTCCTCTACGAAGACTTCATGGCCCGCTCGAGCACGCGCAAGGCCATGACGGGCGGCAATTTTGTCGGCATGATGAACGTCCTCATGCAGCTGCGCAAGGTGTGCAACCACCCAGACCTGTTTGAGCCGCGACCAATCACCTCGCCGTGGGACGTGCCACCGCTGACGCTCTTGTACCCGCTCTCGACCAGTGTCCTTGCCAAAGACCTGCCACCGTGTGTTCCTCTTCTTGAAGCCAGCGGCGTGACGAAGCGCCTCTTGCAGTCGTCAACTTTCGTTGTTGATGACGTGTCCTTGACGCCATCAAACGTACCGCACAGTGCCCACCCGCTGGTCAAAGCGTTCATGGCGGAGCATGTCGCTCTGTTGGCGGTTGCGCGCGAGGCTAAGATGTCAACGCTGGTGGCGATCAACCGGCGTCGTTGCCAGAACCATGTGCCGCTTCTGACTCATGAGATGCTTCACGCGTGCACGCTGCCGCAACTCATTTCGGCGGCGATGGACGTTCACGCTCGGCCAGACGCAGCTTCAGACGCGCTGCAGACATTGGTGGTGTCCGGACGCCGCCGATTTATAGCGCTCGCATCGTTGCTACCCCACGTGCTATGTTACGTTCACGCCGTGCGCACGCGTTCAGTTCAAGTCGACGTTTCGGGCCGCTTACAGCTGGGCGCGTCCGCGAGGCTGAAGTCTGGGCCGAGACTTCCGCTGCGGTAACTGATGAAAGAGTGAAACGTGGGTACTAGAAGGTTTACGCTAGGTTCGCGCGTCGTTGGCGCCATTGACGACTGCTCTACACCATGTCGTGCAGCGCAGCCACCTATTCTTCCCAGATAAGCGGCTCGTGCAGTTCGACTGCGGCAAACTGCAGCAGCTCGACCGGCTTCTGCGCGACCGCAAGCGCGGGGCCACCGATGCCTCATTTTTTCGCAAATGAGCTCGATGCTGAACATTCTCGAGGTCTTTCTCAACATCCACGGGTACGGGACGTGCGATACATTACTTGGGTTCGGGCGACGAACGTGATTGATCTAGGCACACGTACTTCCGCCTCGATGGTTCGACACCAGTCGAGAAGCGGCAGCGACTCATGGACCGATTCAACGCAGACGAGAAGGTCTTCTGTTTCATCTTGTCGACACGCAGCGGCGGTCTCGGCATCAACTTGACGGGCGCGGACACGGTCATCTTTTACGACAGTGACTGGAACCCAGCGATGGATGCACAGGCCCAAGACCGCGCACACCGTATTGGCCAGACGCGGGACGTGCACATCTACCGCCTTGTATCCGAGCACACGGTCGAGGAGAACATCTTGCGCAAGGCGCAGCAAAAGCGTCATTTGGACGATCTTGTCATGGCGGTTCGATGCTATCTTGTACGTGGCGATGCTTCATGGTGTGTATAGGAGGGGCAATTCACAACAGAGTACTTCACGAAAGCAAGCCTTCGTGACCTCGTCGCGCATGAGGCAATGCGTGACACGACGGACGGCGACGACGAGGCGCTGGATATGTCAGTGGTCGAAAGTGCGATGGCCCAAATTGAAGATGTCGAAGACGTAGCGGCAATGCAGGCCACCAAGGCGGCTCAGCGAGTTGAGAAGGAGGAAGACGATGCTGGCTTTGACGATGACATTGCTGACGCAGCCACGATCTCGGTCGACACGGAAACCGACACTGCACTGCTGCAAGGTGTGATGGAAGAGCAACTTCGGCCCATCGATCGTATGGCGATCAGCTTCCGCACGCACATCGACCCAATGTTTGTGGCTCTGCCCACCGTCTCGATGGAGTCGATTCACGCGCAAGACGAGCTCGAGCTCGAGCGCATCGAGGCCGAGAAGATCGTCGAAGAAGAGTCCGTCATCGAAGACGGCGACCTTATTGTCGCAGGTACAGCACCGACATGTAGCTGCGAGATGCCAAATGATTTGCGTAGAAACGCCAATTACGTTGTCCGTGCAGCAACAAGTGTATCAACAAGAACGCCAACAACTGCTTCGAGCTCGGCGCCTTCGCGCCATCTCGGGCACGGCGTGGAAGATGCTAACCTGTGTCAAGTCGTCGCTGCCTTTTTACCTGAATGAAGACACGCGGGAGGCGCAGTGGGAGTGCCCGCGAATCTTGCTGAAAAACCAAGAGGACCGCACGGCCCGAGACGGGGGCTATGCGAGCCTCCCGGTCGACGTGCTCGCTCGCATTGCTGTTTTTACTGCACCATTGGAACGGTACGCATTCTGGCACGGAAAGTTCTTATGTGCTGTAGTTTGACATCGATGGCTCGCGTTTGCAAGTCGTGGTCGCAGTTGGCACTTCACTCGCAGTTCTACGTGCGGTTGCATTCAGAGGCAGGAGTCGAACGGCTCTCGACGCTGCTTTCTGGTGACACGGTGGTGCTGGGCAGTGGTATCCACCGAGTCCCACACACGGTCACCATTCGAGCGCGCGTTCGCCTCCTCGCGCCTCTCAACGGTGCGAATATATTTCTCTTGGTTACTCATCAGGGTGACACAGGTGGTACATCCACAATGCTTCTGGCGCCTGGCGCTCAGCTCCAGTGGCAAGCCAACGGCGGCGAGATTCGTGGTCTTCACATCGGCCGGGCGGAGTCTATTGATGCGACGTCGCAGGCGCCTCTGGTGGTGGTACCCCCGGGGGGGCACATCGCTGTGGTGAATTGTGACCTTGCCGGTGGTGATGCTTGCGTTGCAGTCCACGGTGGTGTCGCAGTGATACTTGAATCGACGTTGCACGACGCCCGCGGGTACGGGGAGCACTGATCTAAACAACTCAATAACGTCGATAGGTCGGGAATCGTCGTGGCCGGTGGCTCTGCGGTCGTCGTGGCCACCAAGCTGCGCAACCATGGTCAGTGTGGCGTGACAGTTCTGCATGGCACAGGCATCTTCCGGAAAAACACGCTTGAACGCAACCGCCGGTACGGCATCCGCCTGCTTACTGGCACACAACTCGCGACCGTCGATGGTAACCGGTTTATTGGTAATGGCTGCGGCGCCCTTGATCTCGAGCACTCGAGTCGACGCATCATCGTGCGCCAGAGTCAAATACTTCCCGACGACGCTCCGGTACGCTGTGTTGGTATGCAGACGACAATTATATCTGATTCGTTGTCGGTAGATTGTGTCAAAGCCTCATGCTCACCAAGCCGTCAAGTTGCAAGGCTTGCGTCTCGAGGATGTGTGCCGGGACAAACCAATAAAGGAGGTGCGCAAGAAGATGATCAAGGCGCCCACGGCCCAGGTGTAACGAAATTAAGTTATTTGACGTCGCAGCCTCTCCATCTCGAGGTATCACTCATTCTGGCGCACGTTTGGCATCTTGGTGCCTCGAAGTTGTTGTTTGTTGAGCGTAAGCACTGTGGTACGAATTCAGGGACTAGGGTTAACCTCGTGTTTTCTTGGGACAGTAGTTGGTCGAGCTCTTTAGTTGAGGTTTGCATTGGGGTGACGTACAATCTAGCCGTGGGATAGCGTACTACGTGCGTGTGTCGTAGTTTGGACTCGTTGGTGTACGGAATCATGTGCATTGAAGCTCAACGTACCCTGCCTCAAACCTCGCGTTTTCTAGGGTCTTTGCCGTTTCGTTGCCGTTTCGATGGGGCGTAGGGCCGGTGGGCCATCTAGCGGTCTTTCTGCGTAGCATGCTCAGTGGTTTGATCCGTGCAGAAGGTTTGTGCAGGGTACCATCGAGCTTTTATTTCGGTTTGGTATCGGGGTAGCGTGCGACCTAGCGGTATGTCTGTGCGGTAGCTCTTGTACCGGATTTTATTATGCTCTTGTACTATACTAGTACACGTTTAACGCACCTTGCCCGATGCAAACACGATTTCACATGACGAATACGTGTAGGACGCGTGCGCCGAACGCGACCTCCACTGCGGGCTGTCGTAGACCGCTACCGGGCTTCGGCCGGGAGCCACACCGCGGAGTAACCTCATCTGACCTATGGTGCACGTGGTGGGTTTGCCCAGAAGATGAATCTTTGTGTAGTGCTGCAGCGGCGTCGACATCTCCTGTTGTCGCTGTGCAGCTTTTACTCAAAGAAAACTGTGCAGGTGTGTGAGTTTTCGAGACGTAAGCTAGCTATCACCCGTAGCTGTCTAGATCGGAGTGAATTCACCATCTCTTATCTATCTATCTATCTATCTATCTATCTATCTATCTATCTATCTATCTATCTATCTATCTATCTATCTATCTATCTATCTATCTATCTATCTATCTATCTATCTATCTATCTATCTATCTATCTATCTATCTATCTATCTATCTATCTATCTATCTATCTATCTATCTATCTATCTTTCCATCTTTCTATCGAGCTATCGAGCTATCGAGCTATTTATATCGCAACACTGCCAAGGTTTCGCTGAGCATTGCAATCGTTTCTGTAGACACCGGTTGCAATTCATGTCGATAAGTGAGTTAGTTGGTGGCCAATGCGTCCATTCGGAGTTGATTGGGACGATGCAGCAGGACACGAATTATTGCCAGAAGACCAGCTTCCCTACTTATGTTGAACGATGTGTTTACAACATTTCTGTGGCCTCGCGCCATTCCCAGTTGTAGCACACCGCCCACGTTTATTCCATAAATCAAAATTGTTCACGTTGAAATCAAATTAGCAAAAACTAACTCAAAGACTTCGCATACGTATACTACGCCTGAATACGTGGTAGGTTGTCACCTGGACCTGGTCGTTGGGAGTGAGCTGCGCACAGAGAGATCCATCCTTTGTTGGACCCCACTCGCCGAGTGCTAGCTCGCGCGAAGTCGTACGCAAGCTCCTGCACTCGAACCACAGAGGAGTCCAAGCTGTCGGGTGTGTTTCAAACGGAAGTCTCCTAGCCCGCATCCGCATAAATCCGGATACCGAACGAGCAAATAGAACCGACGCCGCACGCGCAGACATGTGAAAAAATTAAATCATTTATATTTGGAGGGGGTCAGATATATATAGATATAATCTTCTGGATGGGGAAAATCAAATAATTGATCTTCAACCGGATCGCCGATATATATCTAATCTACAATCCTAAAGATTTATCTATAGATTTGAATTTCCGCTAGGTATTCTCAAGTCAAATGCAAAAATGTAACGAGTTAATATCGTGGCAGTAGGCGGCTAGCTATGAACAACAAGCATATTACATCGAGTCATCGTCGTCGTCCTCTTAATCACTGTCACCGTCGTCCTCCTCCTCTTCCTCCTCCTCGTCGTCTTTATCGTCGTCGTCGATCGAACCTTCTTCATCGTCTCCTTTGTTGATTTCTTCTTCGGATCCATGGTGAACGACATTGGCGACCTCGTCCAGCGGCCAGTACTCGCGGTTCATCTTAAGAAAAAGAACCGCCTAGAAATTGCCCGCCGTCATGCTCTTGCGACGTGCCGAGCGCACGATCTTCGCGAGCGAGAAGAAGCGCTTGACCATGTTGGACGTCGGTCGGATCACTTTAGGAATGTCGTCGTACTTCTTTGCCGGGGCATGACCTTGGCCTTCTTAGCGAGGCGCTTGGCGTAGTCCTGCTTGTCGACGACTGTTGTTATCACGGCAAAAGCACGAAGCGCGAGAAGGTCGGAATTTGTCAACAGGACTGCACTATCAACTCGACTGTGCTTACAAGACTGTGCTGTCGACAAGACAGCACGATTCGCCCAACCGCTCTGTCGACTCGACTGCGTTGATCGTTGGATCATAAATACCCTACCCTGGATGGATGCGGCCGAAGTGATTGGTCCATACGACTTTTTCAAATTCACAAATTCGAATTTTATTTATACGATAAATATTAATCTCTCCTGATTCGACAAGCCCAGTAAAAAAAAATCTAAATTCGACAGAGCCCGTAAATAGATATTTTACCGGGATTTATTTGTCGAATTTTAACATTCAGATATAGCCCGATTATTTTATTAACATGTCTGCGCACGTTGCGAGGCTGGACGACTCGTGTCGGCGGCGAACGACCGGGAGGCGACAAGACTTCGCGGACGCAGGGTGACCGCGCACGCGGGGCAAAAGCACGGGAGAGCCAGCAACGTCTCATCTTCTTGACGGCCGCCGGGGACTCGACAGGCCACGATTCATCGAGGGGCATTTGGTGCCGAGTGCGCGAAGGCGGCGCCATCGGCGCGACCACCGACCGCTGCCAGCGACAAGCACTTACACAGCAATGGACGTAAGAAACAGAGCGCACAGCACACCGGAGCGAGCCATGGCCATACGAGCGTCGCGGCAAGCCACGTCGTCTGAGTACCTGGTGCCCTTAAAATGGCGTTACCCAAATCCAGCCGAAATCATAGCCCACGTTGCTACGCGAGAAAAGGTGTAGCGTTGTGACATCGTGCGTTGTGCTGTGCGCCACAGCACCACAGATACATCGTTTGTAGGCGCGATATCGAAACGGCAGACACCTAAAAGCATTGTCTGTTCATTCATTTTTGATATCTAGCTTTAGTTGTAAGCCACCTTCTTTGGCCAATTCGCTACTTGAGCACTGTAATTAAGATTGAATGCTAGCGTGAGAGGGTGAGAGGTTCCGTTCGTATCCAATAGCGTTGTCAGTGTCATGCAGAAGTTATCTTCCATTGCTTAAAGCTTAAATATCTAGGTACACCCTCCTCGGACCGATCGGAGGCAAAGCTGACGCGGCCGCGAAGCGATTTCGCGCAAGCATTGCGCATGATTTTGGGGCGCGCAGCGCACCCGCTCACATTTCTTGGGGCTGCTCAAGACGGAGATGTTTTTCTGTTTGCATCTCCTAGCAGGGTATCTATTCACTGGTATGTTCACTGTCGAAGATTCGCAGGCCTTTTCAAATCGTGGGTTACCACTTACTAACGAGGCGATTGAGGTTTGCTCTGTGGGTATTGTTGGTTGGCTTAGTGACTTGCTGGCGCTTCGACGGGACGCTCTGGACGACGATTACTTTCCGTTTTTCGGTATACTAGGGTGAGCCCTGTGGCCCTACGGCCACACTCTATCGTGGGCGCTATCTTCTTTGGGCGGAGTAGTTGCCTGATAGTATGTACCAACTTGGTACGACGTTGCAGTGTCAGGCAAAAGGTCTTTCTGTTTGTTATGAGTAATGCTAACTCCTTCGCGTCCAGCGCAAACCAGAGTGGCAAGGAATCAATGGCGAGTGATCTTAAACAGTTTGTTCGTGCTGGTAGCTTCCTGTGCCAAGTACCTTGTTAAGAATTGTTTACCACAAATTATATTTTGGTCCGTCGTGTTCAGAAATGTGCGATGTTGATTTGTCTAAGGTCGCATACCTACTTATAGGCGAAGTCCGGAGGTATGCAAAAGGTGATGCTATGCGACGATTTTGTGCGTTGCAATCCCGCAGTGAGTTGCGTGGATATCGCTAACTGTGAATACAGAAGGGTGCAGTAGAAGACAGCCATGCAACAGTGGACACTGCGAGAGAGTAGAAATAATGCGATGGTGTCTTCGCACAGAAAGAATACAAACAACGACTGGCAGGGTACATTCAAAGACTATGAACCAAGAGCCGTGTGCACGATGCACACCACAGATCAGTGAAACCTAACTGCGGGCAGATACCACTGATATACATGCTGCTGAAAACAGATAAAACGGCAACACGAAACGGCGATCAGTAGCTTCTAATTAACGGGGCTTTCTGCGTACATGTAGTTCTGTGCAGGGGGAGGCATATTCCGAAATGAGCCACCATGGCGCTGGAAAGTTGAAGTACTTTGCTCAGCCAGTCAGTCGGTTACCATCCATCGCCCATTCAAAGCATCGCACATCCACGTACTGACCAATCACACCCATTCTTTGCACACGGTCGGCCATATGAAGCCAGTTACCGATACCCTAATCCGGCCCCATCCAGTTACCAAGAACGGTAAGAATCTTTTGTCCAGAGCGTCCTGCCAATGCGCTAGTCAATGCACTTAGCTAGCCAACGCTCTACACGTCCGTACCTTGATTGCCCCTCCAGAACTGCCACAGACCAGCACGGGCTTTGCGCGATGGGTCATTGGTATGATAACCTACCGGTGGTGAGACGATCAACCCCACATAAAGCTCGCTTGCTACGAACATCGACGTCATACTTACACGCCATACAAACACATAATCGCTGAGCTCGTCTCTGCCGCTGCGTGGCTAGCGCTTCGCGCTAGAAGTGGACTCTCTCCGCTCGTTTGCAGCTTCGGGGCATGTCGTGAGCAAGGTGACGCCTTATAGCCCAGAAAACCCGAATCGGGTGTCATTTCATAATATTTGCTCTCACTATACCGATTTAGGACAATTTATCCGGCAATGTCTAAATATCCACCTCGGTTGGAAAACTGCCCCTGACAATCCTACATAGCCCGCACAACTGCGCCGACTGATGAGATACGCAGACCTATTCATTGCGCACTGCGTACGCGCACTCGCTTTGCTCGTGGGGCCGCTTCGTGGCCGCGTCGGCTTCGCCACCGGTAGGTCCGAGCTTTGTGATCCGAGGAGGGTGTACCTAGATTTTTTTTCTTCTTCTTAAAGCAATAGGAGATAAACTTTCCAGGGATAACGGAATTTATTGGTTATCAGCTTTTTATGACCGACTGCCCGCATGGAATGGTTGTAATTGATCATGTGCAATGCTTTGATTCGGTGATCGATGGTAACCGACTGACTGGCTAAGCCAATTACTCAAACTTGCAAACTTGCTAGAGCCATGGGTAGCTAGTTCATTTCGTAATTTGCCTCCACCTGCGCCGAAATACGTGTATGCAGGCAGCCCTGTACATTACAAGCTACTGCTACTACTGATTGCCGTCATGTGTTGCCGTTTTATCTGGATTTGTAGCTCACGGCAGTGTCATCGCATAGTCCTTGCAGAGCGTTTGTACAAACGCGTCGCACAGCTCACATAGGCTTGAAAGACTAACGAAAATCAACAGCCTGACAACGACGTCACGGAGAAGACGTTGCATAAGGCTCAAAGTTGCGCACTGCGTGCGCGTAATCGCTGCGCTCGTATTTGCGGCTCAGCAGCACGTGCTTCGCGCAACACCATGGACTGCAGCTTCATGGAGCTTCTACCATTTAGAGCTTTTTTCTAATAGGCGTATGGGTGGGCAACGCTATATATGACCAATGCGATGTTGCAAATCTAAAATTGTGAAAACCCAGTATACCGCAAAAGCGGTCACCGATCTAAAAGCCTCCGGTTACCGAGCAGGCCAAAACACCACAACTAAAACCCTCCTTACGCGTCACATAGATGCGCTACCGGGTGCGCTACGAGATCCGCAGCCAATTCGGCTTTGCCTCCGGTCAGTCGGAACGAGGAGTGTGTACCTACTAGATCTTTGTGCTTCGAGGAATAGGAGACACGGCAACTCCTGCCTGACACTACAATTTCAAAACAAGCACTCTTGGGGGCAACTACTCCACACCGAAACGAGTGTGGCTATAGGGGCATATGGTTCACCCCGCGGCAAGTCAAGCTGCTACGTCGAAATTCCATCGACCGCGTTTTCACCGACTGTACGATGCTCGCGAATTGAGTTTTGAGGGTTGCGGGGACCCCCAAGACAGACCGCGTGGCTTTACGTGCCGAGATTATTCTCTTCTTGTGGGATGCGTCAACTTAAAGGACATCAACTTCAGCAGTTAACAACCTCTCGTCGGACGCCTCGAAGCCAGCAACAACACGACCTTGGAGACCGACCTTATCATCGATATTCCATTACGCACCCTGGCGAGCCTCTCAGCTAAAGTCAATGCGATCCTTGCGGCACGCGCGCATAAATCTGGACGATACGCCACGATTGACAGCGTCGTACAGCAGCATCAAGAACAAGCTCCTCGCCCAGCGCTCCTGGCCCAGTATGGCGGCGGCGTCGCGTTCCAAGCCGCCAGTGCTCTTACCGTCAACCTGTGGATCACATTTTGCACGAATACCCCAGCAAGCAACACAACCTTGTTGAGACAAATTCATGGCGCTGGCAAAAGCTATCAGATGCCGTCGCTGCATTTTGTGGCGCGCAGTTTTACGTACAAGCCTTGGCCACTTCCACGCATCCAGTGCCTGCCTTTATCACGCCTGCCCTGCAGCCGCCGCACGTCACGTCGTCAGGAACCAAATCCTGTTTGCGCACTACCAACCAGCGCCATCGGCACCGCTCGGCACCACGCATACGAACCTCGCATTGAAACGACTAGTCACAGGCTCTTCCAGCCCACGTACAAGACGCTACTGGTTGTTCTGCCGCTAGGTCACCGCTAGCGCGACGGCATCGATTACATCAAGACGTCCGCACCGCAGTCAAAAGCAAATGGATATGCCTGGTTCTGGTCCTCTATAGCACGAAGTGCAACGTAACCATCACGCCGTTGCCACGAACGCGCACAAGCACGCCAACATTAGCACTGCGAACGTAGCAAGTTTTGCACCGAGGTCATCGAGTCGGTCGGTTTAAGGGCGATGCTGTCTTGTTGGCGCACACCAGTAAACTATCAACGTATATCATGATGGTTTGGATGCCCGCCTAGAGCAAACGCGTACACACGCACGAGTCGGACTGAGGACGTAAAGGCGATCGTCGACGGACTCCAAGTGCACGTCAGCGGCAGTCGTTGGGGGTGATGGTCAGCCCCAATTCCTCGTTCCCGCTAAGCTCATCCTCAGCATGGAAGTCCAGTGCGACACTGATCAAGGCATCACGTCGAGCACGCAGCGCAAGTACATCTTCACCCTGGCGAAGCATTTTAGCCTTCACGACACGACTCATGTCTACGCACGGTTCCCGCTGGACACGCGCCGCGGCAGCAAGGACAGAGCTTTGCTCGCCGACGCTGCCCAGTGCCCGTAAGTCCATCATCGGCTCTCTTTACTACTGTACCTGGATGATGCGACTGGGCATTGCCAACTTCGTCTCTCAGATCTTGCGCAACACCAAGAACCGCGCCCAGTCCATGTCGACATTGCAAAACGCGAGATACAGCACCACATTGGCTCCCTCAATGTCGGTGTGCATAATTATTATACAAACGGCTCACCCGCCGACCAGCTCACGTGCTTTACGGACTCGAGTTAAGGCGACGACACCGCGACTGGCTGGTCCACCTGTGGCTACGTCTGGATGCTGCGACACAGCCCAATCTCATAGCAGTCCAAACTCCAGAAGCTCGCGACGCTCTCGACGACCGAGCCCAAGTACGTCGCGGCCCCGTGAACCTACTCTCCGCAACCAAGCTTGCTCAAGTGCCACAGCTGCTCATGCACATGGACAACCAAAGCGCGATCCACGTCGCCAGACCACAGGCGGCGCACCAAGCACATGGCGTTGCGTTTCTACTTCCTCCGTGATCTCGTGATCATGTTCTTCAAATACTGCCTTACACAGCGCGCCAGTGTCCATTCTCTCCATGGCCCTCGTCGCCATGTGCATGGAAGGTAGTTGTGGTTACTGCCCATAACGACTAGGTGATGCCCTGAGGTGATGTAGGGCCCATCGGCCTCAGCGGGCTTACATTTACCATTGACAGAAAGATCTGCGCAAAATATCGCTTGCACACAATTTTGAATATCATTAATGAGATCACTCTTCCTTTTCCCTTTCTGACTGCAAAATATAGACCACCCCATGCGCGCAGCTTAGTGATCGTGAACAGCTCGACACCACGCTAGCTTCGTCTTTGCACGGAAGCTTCAACTTGGAGCCACCCAACGACACCGCCATTGCTTCAATGCGCAGGCCAGCAGGCAAGAGTGGCAGATACACTGCAGAGATTCTGTGGACCGTGCGTCCGCGTGCGAACTTAGTCGCTGTCACGCCCATCGGAGCGTACTTCACTTGGACATGCCTGGTTGTTGGCGTCGTGCTCGCACTGCAATTGCTCGATCGAGAACGACATTGCCGTATCGGCTATTTCATGCCCAAAAGCAAGTTTCTATTCTTCGCCTTCCGTCAGATGTTGTACACGATGTCGCTGCGCTGTGTGTGTTGAAAGCTCTTCGATTCAAAGCTATGAACAAGCATCTTGTGGAGGTTCATTGTCACAACTCTTGACGACGCCGGTGTCGTAGGAACATGTCAATCTGCACATGCTGCATCAATATACACATATCGCGATCAAATTAGGACAGCGGGGCAGATGCGATCATAATGGCTGTGGTATTACGTGCTGATTCATTGCAGTGCATGTCGGGCATCAAGCCACGGAGCGCCAAGGTAGGCACGGCATTCGCGACGTTCCACAGCTCCAATATACCGACATCACCAGCAGATTCAAGTGATATACGTAGTACGACTCGGCCGGGAAAAGAAACATGCGTTTTTGCCAATTATCGATTGACACCATAACCCCATAAAACTTGACGTCATTCTCCTTGGGCTGCAGCAATCGCTTCGAGGGTCGCACCCATGCCCGTAGCCTCAGTGTCGAGTCGCTCGACACCTCCGTCGGTTAGTTGGTCGTGGACCTGTGGTCGATGTACTAGTAAGCATCTATCTCGTGCGCAAAGAATGACTCGCTCGTAGAGTGAAATGCTCGCTCGTAGAGTGAAATGCATTGCCCAAGATAGGTAGAGCCCAGTACCAAAAAAGTGCCGGTGGGCAGCGACCAGCGACGTCGTTCACGATGCGAAACGCGGGGTGCTTGCGAGTACTCCAGCTGGTACCCCTGCGCGGCTTGGGTAGGCGTGAATGTTGTCGAAGGTCGCGAGCAAAAGTGCCGTGGCCTGACGCACCTAGGTCGTTGTACAGCGTCTAGTATCCTTCGATGGACCCACCAGGCTCGTACCCCGTCATGCATAACAACGTGTTTCGCGCTATGTGTTATGTTTTTTACAACGACTTCGCATACGCAGAGACTAGCCATTTCCTTCTTTATTCGCCCGCCGGGATGTGGCTCTGGCTGCGCAGGCGGCGGCGCGTTTTGCTATCTGTAGTCGCCCGGAGGCACTTGCGGCCGCGAGCGAGGTCATGACGACAAGCTCCGTAGAGTCCTCCTTCCAGGTGTCGCGATCGGCAGCACAGCTGTGCAGTTTGTCAACGCCCTCAAGAGACGCAGGCGACTAGAGGTCGCGTCGATGATCGGAAACGTGATTATGGTGCGGCCTAAAATACGGGGCGCCTCGGGTGGGCGATGAAGCGGGTAGCTGCAACGCTGGCAGCGGCGTCTTTCTTCAGGCGAGCACGTGGCCCACCAGGCGCCGTTGCTGGCGGACAATAATCTCGCTCAGTGGGATGCTGTCGCAGCGCTTCAACGCAACGTCGGCGAGCGTATTCGGATGAAAGATACTGACGACACAGCTACCCGGCGATGGAAGCTGTCAAGGCCCGCCAGGCTCATAGGCGTCAGGGCCAACGTGCCACAGTTGTTCAAAAGGACCAGGAGCATCTAGCACTTGTCCAGCCGCACACGGTTGCCTTCTGAAATGCGGCCTCGGCGCATCCAGATCTTTCACGGACGTTGTGAAGGCCGCTGATCGCCAGCCGCTTCCGAGCGTGCAAATGGGCGGCGTCGTCGAGGAGGCTCCCGAGCTTCTTGGTCGTGAACCACGCCAACGAAGCGGCGTACATCGGCGCGTCGACCTGCGTCGACCGAAATACCTGCGTATTTTCTGGTCTTGTCATCGTTCATCTGGAGGTCACATCGGGCGAAGACGGATGACGCCGCGCCCTTGATCGCGGTCATGGTAGCGTCGTCGTAACAGATGAAATCCAGTGAGTTGTCCGTGTAGGCGAAAGCGCGGTTGAGGAGGTTGCCCTCCTATTTGAGCGTCTGCGCGAAATCCTTGACAGCGACGTCAAGATATTAAATGTAATACACAGCCGGGGACAACGAGTCGTCTTGTGGCGTGCTAATGTTCGTCTCGACTTGCCGCTGTGACGCAGCCGAGGCGTCGTGGTCGAGAGCAGCCTCCGAACTAGAGGCACTTAGTCATCGTTGGGGAAGCCTCAGAGCACCGTGAGGACCTTCGCGCAGTCGATCGTGTCGAACGCACAGAAGAAGTCGATACCTAGGATAGAGAACTGCTCATCATACTGGCGGATCTGGGCGACAGGCCACTGGTGCGACCACAAGACATCGGCCGTACTGCGTCCAGGAACGAAGCAGCTCTGGTACTCGCCAATCTGCTTATCGGGCTTCTCCTGGATCCGAGCGAGGACCATCACAGAGACGGCCTTCCGGATGCAGTTAACCAGCACGATCGGACAGACGCTCGAGCACAAGGCTTGGCGCTTGTTGGGCTTGGGCAGGCAGGCAGGTGAGCGTCCCTTCGCCGAACTGGATCGGTTGGCCTGTGGCAAAACCATCGTCCGTACCCCGTCATGACCGACGAATTATAGAGACACCGGGGATGTTTGTAGCGATATTGTTACAAGGACGGGCCATCGAGATGTGACCACAAGAAGATGCCACTCAAGCGAGCTAGCAGCTTGTCGAGGTCTTACCGGTTGCTTCGTCGAGCTCGCTGCCCCTGAGGTTGCCCTAGGCGAGGTTTCCATATCCGTGAGTCACGATGAGCAGCGCATGGACCTGCGCAGGCCGTATAGCGTGCTGGGTCGACACATGCGCTTGCCCCACTTAGAGCATAACCTCAACCTAACGGCATTAAACGCGGAACGAATTCGCTCGACTTACCCAACGTGGGAAGAATAACAAAAGCAACAACCCTCGGTCATGGTCATGGTGGTGCAAACGCGGCCAGACCTCTCGAGCAGTTGCTTTGTTGTCTTGGTCTATCTATGGCTTTCCGCAACCCATTGCCGACACGCGCCTTTGGCATAACTCTCCGCAAAAGACGCTACCGGTGTGACACTACCGGTCTGCCGGACTTTACGCCGGAACTTGGCGTCTTGCGAGATTCCACTGGTACCGTTCACTTTCTTCGTCATGGAGCTGCGCAGCAAGCTAGTGCACAGCCAGTACTTTGGGAGCTAGAGCGGCACAGTCATACCGTCCTGGCCATCTCTTTGCGAAGTTTGGTGATCGGTATTCTGCCCCTAGTTCTACGCGTCGAGAAAACGCTCGTGCATCAAATGCATTTTCATCATCGAGTAATGGACCGATATGTGCCCAAGAAGCCGATCGCGCGTAAGAGGATTGTCATGCCTAGCGTATTCAGGGTGTCAAGGTTACCGCAGTGCTTCGGTGCTGGTTGAAGACAAGAAACGTGGATTTGCCACCGCTACCTGAGAGACTCAACGTGTCAGCGTGTTTGGGTTGGGCGTCTTGTGACGCGCCTGATTGTAGCGGCGTTTAAGTTTTGGAAGAAAACATAGAGAGGCTGGAAACACGCAGGCTCGATTAAAAGGTGTTGATTAGTCGCATTAACTTTGCCATATTGTCGTCAGCGGCACAGCCGCGACAGCGCAGAGCGCCATGAAGAGCCCCGCCACTGAGGCGAAGACTTGGCCACCCCCTTCTCGGTGGCGTGGTTCTAGATTGCTCCATGACTTAGCTGACAACGCGCCACCATGCCAAAAATCGCAAAGTGCAATCCTCATGGATGTTAAATCAACAACGCGACCGCTAACGCGAGTTTGAGAACGGAGCTTCTTCTCTGCCTTCAAGCATCTTGTATATTGAGCAATACAACTTGATGTACACATGTACCTCTTAAAGCTCCTCTTATTAACAGCATGGACAAACTCGGACTGGATACAGTAGACTCATCGTCACCGCGACAACACAGCGATTCGTCCGAGTATAGCTGTTCTACGGTACATGTACTACCTGGTGCAGTACCGGTACCAAGAGAATAAACATTCCCTTATGTAGTACGTACGACCGCGTGCGTTTTTGCAGCGCTGCTTGCCGTGGTGCAGGACCACTCTTGGTGTCAAAAGAAGGCGGCGAGTGTGGGAGCATGTCGCGGCCGCTCATTTTGAATGGCTCGAAGGCCATGATTCGCGGCTGTCGGCCGTCGCTGCAGCTGGCCTGTGGCCTCGGTATAGAAATCCGAGTGTACCATCGCGCAGCCTTTATCCAACCAGCTGGTGAGCCACCCTATTTGAACAGCTAGTTCGGCTCACTCTCCAACTTCCCATCGGCAACCACCATGGTCTCGTCCCTCTCCGCGCCTGCTTTCGCCTCCGCGCCAGTGGCTGTGGACGCAAAGGGCATTGTCGCTACGTCGGCCATCGCTGCAGGCACCGTCCTCTTCCAAGAAAAAGCGCTCGTTGCTTCCAGCTTTGGCAACACGGACATGGACGAAGGCCACGATTCCGACTGCGACGATGACGAGTGCGGCGGTTGCATTGAAGTCGACGACGGCGAAGACATCAAGGAAGAGCTCACTGAAGACGAGGTGGACTCGGTGTCCCCTGCCGTCGTTGCAAACTTTGACAAGTTCATGGCGTTCTGTGAGGCCCACGATGTGCTCAGCATGGTCGACATCCGCAAGAACCTCGTGAAGCTCTTCCACCACTTCACGAGCGACGCATCGACGCTCGACTTTGTCAGCAACCTCTCGGTCATCTCCGATGACGTGCCATCGTGCCTCGACACGGCTCTTGCCCTCCGCACGGAGCTTCCCGAGATCATCCCCGGTGGCCTCTCGGATGCCAACGTCGCGCACTTCATTGGCGTCCTTCACAACCATTCCCAATCGCTTGAAGAGATCGACGGGAGCGGTTTGTTCCAATACATCTCCAAGCTCAACCACTCTTGCCTCCCCAACGTCAATTTGACTGTCGATGGCACGACGATTTGGGCAACGGCCATCAAGCCGATCGTAATCGGTGAGCCGTTGACGGTGGACCTCATGGATGTGTTCTACTCGGCCTCCAACGATCGTGCCGAGGCGCTCGCGACGGAAGAGATCCACTGCAATTGCGGGTACTGTACGGGTGCGATTCCCGACTTTGCTCGCGCTTTCAAGTGCAAGGACACCGCGTGCGACGGCATCGTGCACCCGACGGCCGAAAAGTACGCCTGTACGACCTGCCATGCCGCGTGGTCCGACGAAGAAGCGGAAGAAGCCGAAGCGCTGGACATGCCGCTCATCGTCGCGCTGGAAGCCGCCACGACGTTTGCCGAGTACGACGCCATCATCGCGGCCTCGCCGTTGCACAAGTACCATCACGTGTGCTACATGGCACTCGAGAACCTCTCTGCCTCGTGGTCCGAGGAAGACGATGCTGAAATCGAGGTCGTTTGCCGCCGCATGCTCGAGTGCATCAACTACGTGGTGCCCTACCCTCACGACGAGAAGACGCAGCATTACGACAACCTGGCGCAGGCGCTCATCTCGAACGGTAACGTCAACGGCGCCACGGAAGCCTACGAGCGCGCCTACGAGATGTCGTGCCTCTGCTCCGGCGCCGAGTACGAAAAGTCCGTGTTTTACAAGAAGCTCGTCGAGCACACGCCAGCGTCGCGCGAAGAATGGATGGTCGCGTACGGCTTGGACAGCGACGATGAAGATGAAGAATAGAAAATCCATAACTTAACCTTTGACGATTGCGTCGAGCTTGTGATAATACACAGCTCATCCTTCAATTCCTCATTCGGGTGCGTAATGCTGCTCAGTAGAAGCTTTTGAGAGACGCGGCGCGTTTGTTGTGAGACGTTGGACCCTTGCGCGTGGCAACTGAAAGCCGCCGACCACCAATGTATCGACTTCAAAAAAAGTATCCGTGGCTCGCGATCCAGCCGCCAACTCCTCCTCGGACGTCCTTCAAGTTCTGTCGTGCGACAGCAGCTGCTTGGTCAGCCGGCGGGTCCCAGACATCCAGTAGCGTGACACCATTTTCTGACAGATTCAACTTGAGAGTCGGCATCGTCAAGTGCAAACTCTGAAAAACGTGTCACGCGACCGGATAAGGGCATTTCCCAGGCTGTGTTACATGCGGCAGAGCGCGGTGGCGTGTCGCACGCGTGAAGAAGCTCCCTTCGTCGCCGTGACCACCAACTGCGAGGCGGCTTCCGCAGCGTAGCAAGTCACCACTTTCCAATCGCCACTCCAATGTTTGGACCTGCCTTCACCGCCGCTTCGATCTCGCAAGACATTACCAAGCCCATTGTGGCCACGGCGGCCTTTGAGGCCGGCACCGTCATCTTCCATGAAGAAGCGTTCGTGTCGTCCAGCTTTGGCAACATGGACATGGACAACTGCTGCGATGAGGACTGCGAGGACGATGATTGCGGCGGCTGCGCCGAAGTCGAGGAGGAGGACGAACCGGAGTCGCTTGATGAAGACGACCTTGAGGCCGTCTCGCCCGCCGTCATCGAGAACTTTGACAAGCTCATGGAGTTTGCCGAGACGAAGGAGCCGCTCAACATGGTTGACATCCGCAAGAACCTCTTCAAGTGCTTCCACCTCGTCGAGGCGGATGCTGGTGCGCTGGCTCCTCTGTACGCGCTCTCGGTCAACGCCGATGAGTCCGCCAACTTCCTCGACGCGGCCGTGGATCTTCGTGCCCAATTCCCGTCTGTCGTTCCTTCGTGCATGACGGATGACAACGTTGCCCATGTCATTGGTGTCCTCAACAAGCACTGCCACGCCCTTGAAGAGGTACCGAACCCACTCGTTGCGAAACGTGGAGTCTCACGCAGCACTTGTAGATCAACGGCAGCGGTCTCTTCCTCTATGTCTCGAAGCTCCCGCACGCGTGCTTGCCCAACTGCAACATCACGGTCTCTGGCACGTCCATGTGGGTCACGGCCATCAAGCCCATCGCGGTCGGCGAAACCTTGACCCTTGACATCCTCGATCTCTTCTACAGCCCGATCTCGGACCGCCGCGAGACGCTCGCCGAGGACAAGATGGAGTGCACGTGTGCGTCGTGCACGGGCGCCATCCCCGACTTTGCTCGCGCCTTCAAGTGCAAGGCGGGCAGCTGCGCTGGTATCGTCCACCCGACCAACGGCGCCTTTGTCTGCACGACATGCAACTACACGTTCTCTGCCGACGAGACGGCCGACGTCGAGATGCACGAGATCGCTGACGTCGACGAGATCGGTGACGTCGAGACGCTGACCGAGTTGGACGGCGTCATTGCGGCGTCGCCGCTGCACAAGTACCATTATGTCTTCTACCTCGCCATCGAAGCGCTGAGTTCTGTCTCGATGGACGACGATGAGCTTCCGGAGACGGAGGCCGCGAAGATCTACAACCGCGTGCTCGAGTGCCTGAACTATGTCGTGCCGTACCCGCACGACCTCAAGACGCAGCATTACGACCACCTCGCGCAGACCCTCATTGGTGCTGGCGACATCAACGGAGCTACCGAGGCTTACGAGAAGGCGTACGAAATGTCGTGCCTCTGCTCGGGCAAGGACTTTGAGGAGTCGGTTCTGTACAAGAAGCTCGCCGAGAACACGCCCACGAACCGTGAAGAGATGATGGCGGCCTACGGCATCGAAGTCGACGAAGACGACGAGTAAGTTGGAGATGGTACGCCAGATTTTACGAACCACATATATATAATATTCCCACGTCATGGAATCCTGACTTGACATGGACGCTGCCGCTACCCGTGAGTCCTCTGAATTCAGACGTGTTCGCTAGCCTCTCCACAGAATTGGTGGTGAATAGCCTTACGCGTCCGACCGCATCTAGGCACGTACTACAGAGATAGCAATGTACCAGGATACCAGTAGATACTCTACCTGGTATTATAGCCCCTCGGGCTTTGCCAGACCGCGTTCGTACGTACGTCTGTCTCTCTGGGCGCTGTGACTGCCACGTCAGACACGACTTGACTTGCTGGTATCCGGAAAAACAAACCTGGTGTTAAGAACGCGCGTCAAGAACAAAAATATATTTCCAGCGAGGTATGGAGCAGGCCGTCATGATGAAGGACCGCGGGAACGCGTGCTACAAGAAGCAAAAGTTCTCGGCGGCCATCGACTGCTACACGGAAGCCATCGTACCCATTCGCTGCGTTGCAACCTCTCCTCAGCGTGCTCGTAGTGTCTGTGTTCGACGGTCGCGGCCTTCTACACGAACCGCGCGCTCTGCTACCTCCAGGTCGGCGGCCACACGACGAACCACTCACGCCAACATGCGCGTAGCTGGAGCGGTATCCAGAAGCTCAAGATGACTGCACGCGCGCAACGCAGCTCGATTCTGCCAACGCCAAAGGTTCGTCTTGTCGCTCGCGACCGACACGGCAGTGCTTTGTAGCCTACTACTTGCTCGGGAAGGCGTGCGTTGGCGCGGCAGAGTACAGCCGAGGCATCCAAGCATTTCAGACGTCGATTGAGAAGGCTCAGAGCTCGGCGACACCTGCGACGTTTGTAGAAGACGTGCTGCAGCAGCTGCGCCGGGCAAAAAAACTCAAGTGGAACGAGGTGCAGCGCGTTCGGGGGCAGCGCCATGCTCGCGTCAAGTCCCTAGTCGCGGGAATGCTCGACGTCTCCCGCCAAAGTCGCCTCCGCACCGGCGATGACCACACGTACTCGTTGACATCCGTGTTGACTGACCTGACGTGGGCGCAGGGTGATCCACGAAGAGCACGACCTCGTTCTGGCGCACATGATGGAACTGCTTGAGACGTCGCCGCATGTACATGAGCGTGCTCTTGCAAATCATTTATTTTGCACCTAGGCACCCCATCAGCGCAAGATCCCAGAGTACTTGTTGTGCCCGATTGGCATGGACATCATGCTGGACCCCGTCTCGACGCCCAACGGAGTGTCGTACGACGTCACACGTGCAGCGCATGGCTCTATTGATGTCTGCTGTAGCTACGAGCGCAAGTGGATCGAGCAGCATCTGGACGTGCAAGCGATCGACCCGCTGACGCGAGAGAAGCTGACGCGGGCGCAATTGCGGCCGAACGTCGGTCTGCGCCACGCCATCGAAGATTTCTTGCACGAGTTCGTCGTTCCTGGACCCACCTCGCGCCTCATCGATCCGTAGGAACCCGTGGGCCTACGAAGACGAATAAAGTAAAGAACGCCGCATTTTCGAGAACGCATCCTGCTTGTCCGCTAGCAGTCGTTTTTTTTAGAGTACTAGCGTACGAAGAGAGTACTAGCTGTGACCAGATAAAACGCGTCCATTGCGTAGGTGCTTGGGGGGTCCTCTAGCTTAGATGTGTAGTCTTTCGTGTGAGTTGTGTTCATGCAGGATCCCTGCAATTTCACGAGCCGCCTCGGCCCAACTTCAAGTGGGGAATTCATTCTTTGCAACACGGTACCATGCTTTTTGTGAGAATCATGGATTGCGTTGTTGAGCTGCACTTTTTTTTGCCTGTCGACCCATGATGGACTTTGACAGCTACTTCCGCAGCCTCGTCGAGGTCCGTCGCGCGCTGCACGCGCAGCCAGAGGTGAGCTTCAAGGAGTTTAAGACCCAAGAAACTATCCGCGCGTACCTCATCAACGAGGCCAAGATCCCCGTCGAGACCATTCGCACCTGCGCCAACACTGGTACGCACCGACGCCAGATACTGCTGCTCGACGAGGCCTTTTCCAGGCCTGATTGTGGACATCGACGGTCCCGCAGACGAAGGCGCGTCGTCGCGCAAGTGTGTGGCCTTTCGCGCCGACATGGACGCGCTGCCGATGCAAGAGAACAATCCGCACCTCGAATATCACTCGACGCAGCCGCACGTACGCCTTCATTCTTATGCACTGCTTCATGTTTCTTAGGCTGCGCATATGTGTGGGCACGATGGGCACATGGCATCGCTTCTAGGCTTTGCCGTCTTGGTGAACCGGCAACGCCACTTGCTGCCACCCAACACCCGCGTTCGCCTTCTCTTCCAGCCCGCCGAGGAAGGTCACTTTGGTGCGGCGCCCTCTCTCTACTCGTATGGCATGATGACGCGTTACAAGGTGCTGTCGAGATGATCAAGGGCGGCTGCCTCGATGATGTCGACGAGGTGTACGGGTACCATAACATGCCCGCACGCTTTGGCTCGCTCCTCGTGCAGCCGGGCCCGATGATGTCGCACTCGAGCCGCTTCAGTATCCGACTTTCGGGTCCAGGCGGACACGGCTCTGCCCCCCACCAAACCACCGTCCGCCTCTCCATTGACGTGACAAGCCGCATCGTGATGCTGCATTTAGGACCCAATCGTTGCTGCGGGCCATATCATTGTCGCGATGCAGTCAGTTGTGAGCCGCAGCGTTGCGGCCCAGGACAGCGCGATTCTCTCGATCACGCAGGTGCACGGTGGCGAGGCCGACAACGTCATCCCGTCGTCTGTCGTACTCTCCGGCACGTGTCGTGACTTCTCGCCCGCAGTCTTCGACATCCTCCAAGCGCGTACACCATCTCTTGCGACACCGACCGAGCTGAGAACCGCCACTGCGGCTAGGCATGCACGCGATCGTTGCGCACACGGCCGCGGCGCACAACGTGAAGGGCGAGCTTAGCTTTCGGGAAGGCTACCCCGTTACGTTCAACACGACAGACGAGGCCAACGCTGTTCGCGACGTTGCCCAAGCTGCGGTCCGCACCTCACCGATACGTGCGTACTGACGATGTACATAGCTGGGTGTTGAGAATGTCACCTCTGCGGGGCTACCGAACCCTGCGTCCGAAGACTTTTCCTACTACCTCCAAGCACGTCCCGGCGCCTTCTTCTTCCTTGGGACAAAGGACGCGGTAGCTCCCTCAATGAAGCATGAGCTCACGCATAAGTGCAACTTTAGGCGATTGGTCAGAACCGCAACCTGCACAGCGACACGGTGCGCAAGAGGCATGGACTACGAGACTCACGAAATGCTATAGTTTGACTTCAACGATGGGGTACTCCCCATCGCGGCACGTATCTTTCTGGGCATCGTGCACCATCGCCTTGGTTGCTCGCTGTACTCGGACGCGGACCTGGCCGCCATTCTGAAGTCGCTGCAGTAGTTTTCCACATTTCCAAGAGAGTGCAGTCCTCGCATTTAACCTTCGAGGAATTCAAGCCTTTGGAGCTGCTGGAACATTCTTGACCTGTTCAGTCAATCCTGTAATGGCCAAAATGCCTTGGCGACCCCTGGCCAAGTCTATCTTTCGAGCTCACACACACCAACGCGCTCACTCACGCTGGTGTGTCTGCCTTCGAACTTCGCTCCCGATCGGATTGGCGCAAATGTACCAGAACGGACCAATCCAACCTTTCTTCGAAGTTCGGCATTCGGTTGCAGTACCATTGAGCGCAAGCCAGAGCATGGCGACGAGCTCTTTGACGACACCGGGAAAGGCCAGCTGAGCTACTACCTCCCGACAACTGAGACGCCGCCTCCGTCACTCCACAGCCTGCGCAAGCCCAATCAATGCCGCTTCGAAGGCGGCTGCTCCAAGTATGCCCAAGCAGGTACGATTTGCCCCTCGAGGTGCGAGGAGCTCATGTCGGACCAGGTGGCATGTGCATCGCCCATGGCGGTGGCCGGCTCTGCACCGTCGCCACGTGCCCACAGTTTGATATGCGCACATGTAAAAAACATGGCGGAACGAAAAAGTGCATGCTGCCCGACTGCACGAACGCTGCCGTCGGCAAAGCGCGTGTCTGCTGCAAGCATGGCGGTGGCCGCAAGTGCCAGGTTTCTTGAGGCCCTCTCGTAAGACAATGACTACTTACGTCGTGCATAGACGGAAGGGTGCACCAAGTACGACGCCGGCAAAGGCTTTTGCCTCGGCCATGGCGGTGGCCGGCTCTGCAAACAGGACAACTGCCCAAAGAAGCAGTACCGCCAAGGCTTTTGCTACGAGCACACCACCAAACCCATGTGCAAGCACGAGGCTGCCCGCGCTTGGATCTCGGCAAAGGGTGCGCCGAACCACGATGTGTGCAACGACCTCACGTCACCGTAGCTTTTGCAAGACGCACGGAGGCGGCTACACGTGCAAGGCCGACGGGTGCACCAAGAAGGACAAAGGCGGCGGGTTCTGCATCGCCCACGGCGGCGGCACGCGTTGCCGGTCGCCCGGGTACCTCCGTTGTCCAAGAAGTTGCTGCAAACGATGGTCATACGTAGGTGCAACAAGGTAAACCGCGGCGGCGGTTTTTGCAAAGCCCACGGTGGTGGTACGACCCATGCTCCCGCAGAATTTAGCGTGAGACTTGTGTGACGCAGGCAAGAAGTGTCAATTCACCGAATGCGGCGAGTGGGTCCTGAACGGCGGCTTTTGCAAGGCGCATGGCGGCGGCGCAGGCAAGCGCTGCTCGGTCAAGGGCTGCCTGAAGTTCAATCAAGGAGGTGGCTTTTGCCTTGCCCATGGCGGAGGTGTCAACTGCTCCGTTGACGGCTGCACAAAGAAGCAGGTGCGTCGCGTCTTGCCCGGATAAAGATTGACGTCGGCTCAGACGCGGTTTGGGCTCTGCTGTGCGCATGGCGGCAAGGCCCGGTGCAAGGTCCCGCAGTGCGAAAAAGCTGTCCAGACCAAAGGTCTTTGCAAGGCCCACGGAGGCGTCAAACCCTGCAGGTACAACGCCGGACAAGCGCATGTTGTCATGCGTGTTTAGCGCCCCCGAGTGCACGAGGCAGGCCAAGAGCCGGGGCTTCTGTATCAACCATGGTGGCGGCCAGCAGTGCAAAGCGGCCGAGTGTCAAAAGACTCAGCGGGGTGGTGGCTTTTGCAAGGCTCACGGCGGTGGCCAAAAATGCAGTCACGTGCGTCCGAATCCTGTCTTTCTGTCTGTTTAAGCTAGGCCACAGGTCGCGTGCACCAACTGGGCGATCAACGGCGGTCAGTGCGACGACCATCCGGCGGTACTGCCAATGGTAAACGACCAACCTCTTATCCATGCTTCTGACATGACAGAGAAGACGCCGTCGGGGGGACTGCTCATTCCACGCACCAACGCGGCATCTGCACCGGTACTGGCAACTGCGCCGTTCCCAGCTTTCCAGAACGTCATCCACCCGGCGCTCGTTCAGTACTCGACGGCCATTTCGATTCTAAATCCAGCCGAAGTTGATATGACGATGATCTGGTCGACAACCCTAACCGCGACGTTAGACACCGGCGGCATCGGCCAATACGCTGACCAATCTTCTCGACACGATGCAGCTACCCCCGTATATGTACCACCCGCTGCCGTCGTTGCGGTCATCCGACGCCCTCCTCTTCAGCGACGCCACAACGCCCGAAAAAGAGGTACGCCGTGAGAATACCGAAGCTCCAGCACGCACGAATGCGCAGGCGCCCCGCCCCACGAGCGCAAACCGACTTCAGCACCAGCTCAATCCGATGGCGGACGACGACGACGATCCGCACGAGTCGCGGCTCAACCAAGACGCCGCCGTTGCCATGACATCCTTGTGGTAGGACGCTTGCATTCGCGCATTAGATGGTGTACGGGATGGCAGAAAAAGCTCAAACAGTGTATGCGTGTTTGAACGATTGATTCGAGTAAAATACCTACGATGGGCGCAGGTCCATTTGGGCCGTTGCATTTACAGCATCCAGTGCGCCGCAGCGACCGCAAGCGACGCGGCCGAGAGAGAAACGCCGATCGCACTCGACAGCGCCGGCGTCGGCGTCACCTTTTGATCGTCGCAAACGTCGGCACAGGCGTCGGTGCCAACGTAATGATCGGCTCCTCCGTCGTGTTGCCAGACATCGAGCCCGACGACGGCGGCTTAGTCGTCGCCGGCTTGGTCGTGACAGGCAGCGTCGTCACGTTCGCGACCGCGGGGGTTGTCGTCGCCGGCAACGTCACCGGCAACGTCTTCGTGGTGGGTGCGTTCGATGGCATGGCCGCGCCCGCCTTGATGGCCGCGAGCGCACTGAACGAGAGCACTCTCGCGTCAGCATAGTTGACGTCCCAAAGCGAGCACGTCGGTCCAGGCACAGCCTGGAAGCGTTCATAGAGGTCCTTGCAGTCGAGTGACGACTGGAACGCGATCACGTCGTCTTTGGCAGGGACCGCGGTTGTCGTGAAAAAGTCGACGAGGCTCACGCCGCTTGCCTTCTTACAGCCCGAGTAGCTCATCTGGGCCACGAGGTACGTCGTAATGGGAGAGAGGTCGGCGGTCGAGCACGGCGCTGCGAGCGCAGCTGCGGCCGAGGCCACGGACGTCGCCACGAGCACAAGCTTCATCATCGTCGTCGAGCCAACTTGGTAGTGTGCAACAGACACCGATCGCCTGCCCGCGTGACTCACAACGGCGTCTTTTATTGCGCGTGTCGAAAGATATCGGCGCATTTGTATGCGAACTGGCGATTGGGTGCATTTTAGTACACAAATCGCCAGTTGTTGACGAGGGCCAGACGGCGGCGCCAAGAGCAACCACGGCGCCCATGTCGGTTGGCGTCCTATGCAGTACAATTACTACCATGGAGCAATGCTTTGTGTTCAGATACTACACGCTCGCTCGCACGTGGTTGCGGAATTAGGCTTCAGAGGCAAGAGACGCGGTTATCACCAGATCCCTCAGAGACGTCGCCTGGTGCGTCGTGAAACATGACGGATCCTAGACGGTCTTCGGCAGCGGTGACCGCATCGACTGCAACCCAATCCCGCATGGGTGTCGGCAAATCTTTCGCAATCGAGAAAATCCGAGTCGACGCAAGAAGACATGCAGCATCAGACGCAAAACATCGAGAGAACGCGGTGTTGCGCGAGAACTGCCACGTCACCGTGTCGACGATGTCAAACGGAGAAGCAAATTGCACTCACGCGGGCCTCTACATTAGCGAAGAAATCGCCATCCTTCGATGTATCGTCATTCCTTGTCATCGAGAAGACGCAATGATTGGCGCGCCGAAATTCGATGGACCAATCCGAAAAGTCGGTCGGCAATATGGGCGCCGCCACGTCATGATGCTCCCCAACGTCACGAAAGATATATGGGTTGCTCCTGATAGCGACATTGGGACTGCAGAGTGTTCTATCAAGGTGTTCTTAAAGTCAAAGCTTCGTTCTTGGAGAAAGCGCTTTGCTCACAGCTAATCACTAATCCCTGGCCGTGTGCTTTTGCCAACCACAATTTTGGCCAGTTTAACGCGTTTTAGCGCCAGCGTTAAACAACGTTTTTGTCCGTTTAACCTCGTGGCCAATGGGTGCACGCCGGCCGAGCGAGGCGCACTGGTTCGCCTCCGTGTACGACCCGATCGCTGCCGGGTCTATCGACGGCGCCGAGGCCGACGTCGCGCACGACAAGGCTCTCCTCCGCGCCCTCCACGCGCCGTACGACGCGGCGCGCGATCCCAAGATCGTTGGCGACCCGCTCTGCACGCTCTTTGTCGGGCGCCTCAACTACGCGACGACCGAGGAGACGCTGCGCGGCGTCTTTGGTCGCTTTGGCGAGATCCGTCACTTGCGATTGGTGCGGCACGTCGTGACGCAGGAGAGCCGCGGGTACGCCTTCATCGCGTACGCCCGCGAGAAGGACTTTGAAGCCGCCTATCGAGCCACGAACCGGTACGACGCTTCCTGCGGACGCTGTGCGACAACGATGTCGTGGCGCTGTGTAGAATGCTTCTCGATGGACGTCGAATCCTCGTCGAGTTTGAGCGGGAGCGCGTCATGCCCGGCTGGAAGCCTCGGCGTCTCGGCGGGGGCCTCGGTGGGAGAAAAGAGTCTGGTCAGCTACGTTTTGGCGGCCGCGATCGGCCATTCCGCGTGCCACGATCCTAGTATAACTGTATTGTGTGGCAGCAGCCGATCGAATTTGCGCCCGAGTCGCTGTGCACATGGGTCTCCTCTTAATTGCCATCATCGAATCCAAGCTTCTTGTTTGTGTGAAACCAAGGGTGGCTAGTACTGACGAAAGCGGTCCCGACACACAGCACTGCCGTGCTCGAGGTACTCGGCGCGTGTGACGGTGGTTGCAGACAGCGCGTCGTGGTCCGTTGCCAGGACCTGGCAGCCTTCCCACACGGCGCCAATTGGACTAGAACACACACTTGAGCCTAATCTGTCGACCGTACAATGATGCGGCGTACTCTATCGTGCTGGAAATCCCGAGCGCGTACTCGGAGGGTACAAGGGGTCGAAGGTCCGCCTCCAATCGCTCGCGAAGTCGCGGCAGCTTTGAGGTTCCACCCGTGAGTACAATGTTCAAGAAGAGGAGCCCCTATGTCACGTCACGTTGTGATCTCATCGAGAGTGATCAAAAATTACATGGGCGTAGTCTGGGCAGGCCAGAATCGCATCTGCAATACCAGAAGCGAGCCCGGCTTGGTCCACGCCAATGTCCGACGGATGGAAGAGGATCTCTGGCACGGTGATTTGCTCGACACCGAGCCGCAGCACCTGCAAACGAATTCATCCATCCAATCACGTCCACAGATCGCGTCTACTTGTGTCGAGTCGTGCAGCATCGAGTCGGGGGTCTACAAGTACTTAGACCAGCGACATACTGTAGCAGAATACGAGTCGTACAACAATGGCGCCGTGCTTCGTGTGGACGTAGTCGGGCAGCGCCCACTGCACAACGGGTGCGTCGCGCGACGCAAAGGCGTGCATGTCGGCTGTAAAGTCCAGCGAACAGCTGCAGACCGCCTCCTTGACCTCGTCGATGATCTCGAACGAATCCATCATGTTCCACTGCCGGTAGCTCACGCACTCCTTCAGGTAGTTGGTCAGGAGCTTTCCACCGACGTTCAGTCGCCGCACTGCACTCAGCACGACGTGACCTAGTCGCTTGCATGAGCACACACTGCATGCGTCGCGTGGACCTTGGATGACGGGTACGATGTACGTGCACGAAAAGCCCATATCGACGATACACGTGACGGGCGGCTGCCGCGAGAGCCCATGCGCAGCCATGGCTTGGGGCACAACAGACGCATACGCGCTATACTCGAACTCTTCAAAGACAACCTCGTCCTGCGTCGCAAGGAGCTTCTCGGGCGTAAAGAGAGGCGACGTCAGCAGCAGCGTGTGGTCCTTGCCCGGCGGGACGAGGTCCTGCAGCAGATCGCCCTATGTGCGCGTGAGTTGCGAAGGCCCGTGGCAGCTTTTGCCTGGAGCGTCCAGTTGACGACGTAGCCGCGCTCAACGGGCCGGCGGATCTGGACGGCGCTCGCCTTGGCGCTCATTCGCATGTAGTTGGGCGTCGTCGTGTACGTCGGGCTCGTCGCCAGGCCATGCTTGAGCGACGCGCCGCCCACGTCCACAATGTACACGGCCATTTGCCAAATCTTGGTAGCGAGCCGGATACCGTGTGATCGCTAACCGGATTTACGTTTTGGTGGAAGTTGAAGTTGCAATCTTTTTGACGTGTTCGAACTCAGTGCCCCATGAACGACTGCAGCCTGTCGCCATCCCACTTGGAGGCGCCAGGAAGCCTGCGCTAGTAAAATGACCGACATTAACACACGATAGAGAGAGACCTTGGACACATGAAATGGATTTAATTTGGTGTGCCTACTCTTCGTCGCATTCGTCGTCTAGGCCGTACGCCGCGAGAAGCTCGTGGCGGTTGGTTGGGGTGTTCTCAACGAGGGTCTTGAGAAGCGCGGCTTCTTCGCTCTCGCGGCCGCTGCAGATGCAAGAGAGGTCGTAGGCTTGTTGGTACGTCTCTTTGGCCGCCGCGGCGTCGCCGGAGCCAACGTAGCTCTGCGCCAATTGATCGAGGAGCTGGACTTTGTTGTCGTGCGGGTACGGCACCGCGTAGTCGGCCGACTCGAGCATCATCTTGTAGGCGATGACCATGTCCGAGGCTGGCACGTCCTCCGACACGAGCCAGGCCCCGGTGAGGTGGTCGAGCGCGTGGTACACTGCACTGTGGTACTTGTGCACGAGGGACTTGGCAACAAGGTCTTGGAGACCAGCGATAGACTCAACGGCGTCAAGCTGGTCCATGAGCAGATCGTCCGCGATCGCAGCTTCGGCTTCGGACATCGTTGCGCTGCAGGTAGTACACGCAAACACAACATTGGTCGGGTGCACGATACCGGGGCAGCCAGGCGTGTGGCACTTGTACGCGCCTACGTAGTATTCGCTAAGGTCTTGAATCGACCATACAACAATAACGTACGCGACTGATCGGGAAGGGCACCCGTGCACCATTCGCAGGCACACGTGAGTCCCATCATGGTCATGGCGCCGATGCGCTCCGCGGCCGTGCTCAAGAAGAGGTCGAATGTGTCAAGCGTGAGGACTTCGCCAGCCGCAATCGACTTGATGGCAGTCACCCAGATCGTCGTGCCATCGGTCGAGAGGTTGCAGTTGGGAATACAGCGGTGCTCGAGGCGCGCCACGTCCAGAAACAAGCCCGTGCCCGCGATCTAGTGCACTGTGAGCCATTGTTGAGCCGCAGAGTAGATAAGTACATCTTCGAGTTCGTGGCTGTGGCCGTGCAGGACGCCAATCATGTGGGCGACATCGTCATCGGTCAGAAAAGAGGGCACGACGCTGGGAAACTCGGCGCGGAGCGAGACGGCGGCGTCCAGGTACTCGGCATCAGGTTGCACCTTGAGAATGCGAAGGCGGTTTAAGAGGGACGCGTCGTCCGTCGCGAGTTTGAAGAGCTTAAACAGGTTCTTACTCAGGTCCACCATGTGCAGCACTTCGTGCGACGAGCAAAACGCCATGAGCGCATCAAAGTGCTCGACCACCGCGGGGCTCACCTACACGAGGGCATCAGCGACGTGCTGCACACTGCACCGCACCAAGTCGATTTCGAGCTCATCGAGCTCTTCCGCCTCGGCATCTTCGTCGTCGTCCTCGACCTCTTTGCAGCCGCCGCACTCCTCGTCATCGCAGTCAATGTCGTGCTCGTCCTCCTCGACACCCGCGCTCGACGAGACGACCGCGACTTCGTAAAAGATGACGTCGCCCGCAGAAATGGCCGTGGTCGCAGCAACAGGCGCCGAGGCGTCGTGCGTCACAGCGGCGTCGTGGAAGGTCGGGGCGGCGACGGACAGGGCCATTGCAATCGAGAAGTGGTCGGCTCGATGGGGCAAGTGCGATGGGTACCTCTATACCGTGTCGCATCCTCTCTACGCGGCAGATGGACAACCACGCGTCCACGTGGCGGCCAGGGCCTGGTTCGCCACCTGTCAAGACGCAGCTGCCGTCATCACCACCAGTCGTATCGAGAGTTGGATTCGGTCGTCGGCAAAGAACGCTTGGGCGACGCTGGTTCACGCCCCAGCGTTGCCAGGAGCCTCTCCTCAATGACCAACAACTGCGATGTACTACATCAACTCGCGCTGCATCTCTCAGCTGCAGTCTCTAGGCGCATGCTCCGCAATGTGTCAATGACATTGCGCGTGATCGATTTCCATCACAAACATGTGACAAACCAAAATAAAACTTAGATTGAGGCGATTCGGAGCACGAATTACGCCGTCTCGTCAACAAGCTCGTAGCCGTACACAGCCATCATCTCCTCCGGCGTCGTCGGCGTGTGTTCCATGAGCTGCTTGAACATTGTCGTCTCTTCGTAGTCAGCGCCGTAGCACGTCTTGGCCATGTTGTAGGCGGCCGTGTACGCCTCCGTGGCCGCAGGGATATCGCCCGTCGAAATGTTCATCTGCGCGATCGAGTTGTACACAGACACCTTCTCGCCGTGCGGGACGTCGATGACGTACTCGAGGCAGTCGAGAATGCGCCGGTAAATCGCGATCGCATCCGCCTCCGTGAGGTTCTCGTCTTCGACAGCTTCCTCGACCATGGCCGTGAGCGCCGCGTGGAAGACGTAGTGGTACTTGTGGAGGGGCGACGCGGCGATGGCAGCATCGAGCTCCTCGACGGACGTCGCATCGATCTCCTCGGGCAGCGTAACCTCGAGCGTCTCAACTTCCTCGACTTGCTCGTTGGTAAACGTCTTGCCGCACGCCGTGCAAGCAAACGTGCTCTTGATTGGGTGCACAATGCCGGCGCACGCAGCGTCCTTGCACTTGAAGGCGCGGCACTTGTCCGGAAGCGTGCCGGCGCAGATGCCACAGTTGCACGTGGCCTCGTCTTCGAGGAGCGACTTGGTGCGTTCGGCCTGCGGCTGGTACGTGAGATCGTACAGGTCGACGGTCAGCGTCTCGCCGGCAGCGATGGGCTTGATGGCCGTGACCCAGATGTTCTTGCCCGAATCCGTGAAGTTGCAGTTAGGCGTGCAGCTGTGCGTGAGCTTGGCGACGTACATGAAGAGGCCCGAGCCGCGGATGTCGTCAAGCGGGATGCAGTACTTGTTGAGGACACCAATGACGTGCGCGACCTGGTCGTCCGTGAGGCCGGCGGGGATGACCGTGGGGACCGCGGCGCGAAGGCCGACAGCCGCCTCGAGGTAATCGGCTGCTTCCTTAGCGCTGACCTTGAAGCCAAAGATCGTCTGGAGCGCGTTCGCGTCGTTCTCGTAGAGGCGGAAGAGCTTGAGCATGTTCTTGCGCACGTCCACCATGCCGAGCACGTCCGTCGACTCGCAGTAAATGTTGAGCTCGTCAAAGGCCGCCGCGGCCGCAGGCGAGACCTAAGATACGCCAGCGTGAGATTCATTTGCTTTCGAGTTTATAACTGTACCGCCGCGACGTCCTCATCGTCGAGCTCTTCCTTCTCGTCCTCGTCGACTTCACGGCAGCCACCGCAGTTGTCGTCGTCGCAGTCGTCTTCGTGGTCCTCTTCGTCCATGAGGCCGAACGAGGACGACACGAGCGCCTCTTCGGCAAAGATGACGTCGCCGGCAGCAAAGGCCGACGCGGCGATGATCGGCGCCGAAACGTCCTGCGAGACCTTGGCGGAGGTGAAAGCAGGGGCGTTGAAGTTCAAGGTCATGACTGCGGTGTCGAGTTCAAGAAGAAAAGTGATGCGGCCTGACGATCTTCGTCGTCCCCGCCACCGAAGCGGTATCCGGTTACGCGCCTCCGGTTGCGGGACATCAATCTTGCCTAAAAGCTTGAAGGTAAAGACACGGGGCGGCTTGGGTGGCCAGCATCCGCATGGGACGATGCTGGCCTCTCCCGCAGCAGAGGCGCTGGCAGTCGCGCCTGCTGGATCCTCTGCGAATGGAGTGGCGCCCAGAGCCCGATGCTCCTGGCGCCAATGGGCGACGGCGCCGGCATCGTCGACGTCCTGCTGCACTGCGTATCTTTGCCTCCCGTGGAGTGCGCGACGGGGCGGCGACGTCAATGACGCGGCAATCTGTTACGCACGAGTGCCATGTACTGTTGGGAGCTTTTCGTGGTCGACAAGTGGGTCACCCAATCAATTTGCACACTGTGTCGTCGAAGCGATCGGCGCGCAATCGATTCCCGACCGGCTGCACATATTGGCTCTCCACGTCGGCAGGCAGCACCCACTGGGCAGCACCGGGTACTAGAGTGTCGAGCACAATTTTGATGGATGGACATTTAAAGATACGCAGCGTCGAGACCGCAACTGTCGAGACTTGTCGAAAGGGCCCAAGGCCGAGACACCCATCTCGTTCAACGGCAGAATCGTGAACTTGTCCGACGAGAGTTGAGAAAGCGGTGTCAAGGCTTGCAATATCCTCTTCCCAGCGCACCGTTGCCAAGACCTCGATCAAATTCACAGTGATCCAATTCTACAATCCGGGGAATTTGGTGGTGGTGTGCGTGGCGCTGAAGCGGCGGCGGGACACCATGGCATGCACGACAGATCCAATGCAAGCTCTTCGTTGCACTTCAAGTGATCGCACAGCTAAAATCGGGAGATGCTCTCGGTTTTAGCTGCGTTGGTAGGTGGACCGTGATGGGAAGGAGCCCTTTGATGGGAACTTCACCCGAAACATACCGGTACGATTGCATGTGAAAAGGGAGTTTGTGGCGCCTTCGCGGTCGTTGCGATGGGCGCCGAGAAGAACGAAGAGAGAATGCTGCAACTCAGACGCCCGTGAACTCGGTCACGACCCTGGAGTGCACATCCCTCTTTGTGTTTGCGCCAATAGCCTCTCACCAGCGCAGAAGCTCAGCACAGGGAGGTGCTGCTTACTACCCCGCTAACCAACCACAGCCAATTGAATCGGCCAAGGGCTTCCGGGGGAGAAGCGTCAGAGGTGCACGATGCCGGTCTCGGTCGGCCTCGGCACTCCACCTCCAGCGAAGCTCGGAACAATCCGCGCATCAACTTGAAGTTGCTGGAAGGCCCGGAAGAACAAAACAGAGCCGACCCAAGGCCATTCCCAATGTAGAAGCTGTCGACAGGCACCGTCACGAGGCTGCGATCCAAAGGATGGTGCTCGTACCCGCTCGTTCCTCTTTTCCAGGACGCAAAGCCGTCGTAGAGGGTGACCGATCCCTCTCAGCTCGCTCACCCCGTCCACGACCGCAGTGGGACCGTGTGATAGCTGCAAGTGGCACTCAAAATCGAAGCTCGGCCTACTGTACGGCAGCCTCCATCACGGGTTCGTTGGCTCATTTCCCAACTTGCCACAACGAAGCCAAGCCATGTCCTTTGAGACGCACAAGGTGTCCTCCCTACCTGGCTACGCCGATGACGCGCCGATCAACTTTGACCAGTACGCGGGCAACGTCGCGTTGCCGTCGAACGGCCAGAAGATGTTCTACTGGCTCGTCGAGTCGGAAGAAAGTCCGTCGACGGCGCCGCTCGTGCTCTGGCTCAACGGCGGGCCTGGCTGCTCGTCGCTCGGCGGCTTCTTCACGGAGCTCGGCCCGTTCGTCGTCAACAGCGACTTGAGCGTGAAGCGCAACCCGTATGCGTGGAACCGCAAGGCCAACATGGTCTTCCTCGAGTCGCCGTCCGGCGTCGGCTTTAGCCAGCCTCTCCTCGACGGCGCCAACTACAACGACGATTTTACCACCGCGCGCATCTACGAGTTCCTCGAGCAGTTCCTCGCCCTGTACCCGACGTACCGCGGCCGGGACTTCTACATCACGGGCGAGAGCTACGCGGGCATGTACGTGCCTTGGCTCGCGCACGCGCTCGTGACCAAGCCGATTCCGTCGCTCGCCTTCTCTGGCTTCGCGATTGGGAATGCGTACACGGACACGGCGATCGACAACCCGTCGGTCATCGACTACTACTACCACCACGCGCTCATGTCGATCGAGGACTACAAGGCGATTCAAGCGGGCTGCCCGAACGCGACCGTCACCAACGCGTGCCTGAACGAAGACGCCAAGAAGTGCCCGTCGGCGTGCGGCAAGCCTCTCAACGCCGCCCTCGACGCCATCCAGACCGACAAGATGGACGCCTACTACATTTACGGCGACGTGTGTTTCCTCAGCGAGGGCCAGACCCTCGCCCTGCACAACATTCGGCCCATGAACCGCGGTGTCTACGGTCCTTGCCGCGACGTCTTTACGCAAGACTACCTGCGCCAGCCCAAGGTCCAGTCGGCGCTGCACGTCGAGACCAACAACGCCAACTGGACCGATTGCAACGACGCTGTGAGCAACCTGTACCGCAGCAGCGCCTCTTCGCTGCCCAAGTACCCGGCGATCCTCAGCGCAGGCTTGAAGGCCCTGATTTACAGCGGCGACGCCGACACGGTCGTCAACTTTCTCGGCACCCAGCGCTGGCTCACGACCGATGGCCTCAACTTGTCTGTTGAGAGCAAGTGGAAGGCGTGGTTCGGCCCGGACAAGCAGCTCGCGGGCTACACGGAAGGCTACACCAACCTCACGTTTACGACGATCAAGGGCGCGGGCCACATGGTGCCCTCGGTGCGTCCGCTTCACGCGCTCTACATGTTCGAGTGCTTCCTCTTTGGCAACGACGTCTGCAAGACGTTCACGTACCCCAAAGACGACCTCGAGTACATTACGGGCGCCGAGACGGACGTCGACTTTGGCAGTAGCACGTTCTGGCCATGGCTTCTCATTTTCGCGGCGGCGTTTGCGGCGCTCGTTGCGGGCATTCTGTACGCCAAGAAGCAGACAACCGAGAAGAAGAAGTACACGGAGCTCACGGCCGTCGTCCATACCGGCTACACCAACTAGTCGTCCACATTGTTTTGTCGGTAATTTTGAACATGACGACCGATGTATGCCTTGGAGCTACCGGTATGCCTCGGGGTGCAAGTGATCTTTCCGAGGCGTATCAAAATCCTTGTGACAAAAAGAGAGTTTCTACTCTGTCAACACAAACCGATCGGCCTGGTAAACTCCCAGTTCCCTCGGAAGACATCACGGAGTTTATGCGCCGCTGGTTCTATAGGGCGAAGCGTCAGATCACGCTGCAACCACCTGTGCAGTAGGTACGCGATGACTGGCCTTGGCCGCTCATGACCGTGCTTCAACCGCGCAGTCTGAGTACTCAGCCGCGATGCGACTAAATTTTGAACTGATTCGAACGGCTTCGGTGGAGCACCAAACAAATGGTCTTCGCACCGTCGGTCGACTGCGACGCCGCACCGAGCACCGAGTCGGTGGTTCCGTTGTGGGGCACGGACTCACGCACCCTTTTTTGGCACATCTTCTGATTGGCAACTTGAAGCTGGCGTGCGCCAATGAAAACGAAAAGATCTTCCCCATCACGCGCGCGCTGCTCACTTTGCCTTTGTCTGCGAACCATGCACATTGTGAGTGCGCTCGTTGCGGCGGCCGCCTTTGTCGCCGTCGACGCCGTCGTCCCCGAGCACAAGATCGCGTCTCTGCCCGGCTACGCTGACGACATCAGCTTTGACCAGTACGCGGGCCACCTCTCGCTGCCGTCGAACGGCCAGAAGATGTTCTACTGGCTCGTCGAGTCGGAAGAAAGTCCGTCGACGGCGCCGCTCGTGCTCTGGCTCAACGGCGGGCCTGGCTGCTCGTCGCTCGGCGGCTTCTTCACGGAGCTCGGCCCGTTCGTCGTCAACAGCGACTTGAGCGTGCAGCGCAACCCGTATGCGTGGAACCGCAAGGCCAACATGGTCTTCCTCGAGTCGCCGGCCGGCGTCGGCTTTAGCACACCGCTGCTCAACGCAAGCAACTACACGGATGACTTTACGACGGCGCGCACGTACGAGTTCCTCGAGCAGTTCTTCGCGGCGTACCCATCATACCACGGCCGGGACTTTTACATCACGGGCGAGAGCTACGCTGGTGTGTACATTCCGTTTTTGGTCCACGAGCTCGTCAAGGCGCCGCTGCCGTATATCACGCTCCAGGGCTTTGCGCTTGGGAATCCCTTCACGGACGAAGTCATCGACTCGAATGCGCAAATGGACTACGACTACACACACGGCCTCATCTCGATCGAGAGCTACTCGACCTTGCAGAACGCGTGCAAGCACACGGTGCTCGCGCAGTGCTTGTACTACGACAAGTGCGACGACGCCTGCGGCCGCGCTATCGACGTGGCCAACGCCGAAGCCAACACGTCATTTCTCGATCCCTATTACCTCAACGGCGACAAGTGCCTTCTCCGCAACGACCAGCTCTCAGCACTGCAGTATCGCTACGTCCGCCCGATGCACCGGGGCGTCATTGGCCCTTGCCAAGCCTCGTTCGCGGCGGCGTACTTGAGCCAGGCGTCCGTACAGACCGCGATCCACGCTTCGAGCGCCAACGTCAGCGCGTGGACGCAGTGCAACAATCGCGTGAGCTCTGCGTACACGCGCACGTTCTCTGCCTTGCCCAAGTACCCGACGATCCTTCGCGCGGGCTTGAAGGCCCTTATTTACAGCGGCGATGCAGACTCCGTCGTCAACTTTATCGGCACCCAGCGCTGGCTCACGAACGGCGGCCTCAACTTGTCGGTCGAAGCCAAGTGGAAGGCATGGTTTGGCCCGGACAAGCAGCTCGCGGGCTACACGGAAGGCTACACCAACATGACGTTCACGACGATCAAGGGCGCGGGCCACATGGTGCCGGCCGTGCGGCCACTCCACGGTCTCTACTTGTTCGAGTGCTTCCTCTACGGTGACGACGTCTGCAAGACGTTCACGTACCCCACGGACGAGCTCGAGTACTTGACGGGCGCGGTGTCCGATTTCTTTGACCAAGCAAGTGGCTCCTTGTGGCTTCTCCTCGGTGCCGCCGGCATCGTGGCACTCGCTGTTGGCGCGGTGGCGTGGCACCGGCGCACTCTGCGCAAAAAGTCGGCATATGTCGAGCTTAAGGCGACCGGCCAGCCGACGCAGTATGGTAGCGATGCCGCGCCGTAGTGCAGCGGTAGGACCATGATGTAAGAGGCAAAATAAGTGAACACAGGTCCTCTGCAAGAAACGACTTGAGCTCGGCTAGACAGTGCAAAACTCTGCTGGGAAGCAGTCAGCAACATGATCTTGTCGCGATCCCACGCGCTGTCGCTGCATGGACCCACGATCTGTCCAATCAAAATCAACACGACCACAACTTTTGCACGTGGCGCAGAAGGGATACAGACTTCGAGTTGTCCCGATCCACGACCACTTTCAAACACCTGCGCGTCGCCTCGCCCGCTAAAGAGGCGACACCCGAGCAGCGCCGCACACGAAGCGTGCCGAATGGCCACTCTACGATGTACCCACAAGTTGACTCGCGCAGGTGATGGGTGTGCATGGTGACTTTGCACTTGCGCGCCAGCTGGTGTCTGGCGTCACTTTCATTTTTGCCATGACCGACCACAAGATCACGTCGCTGCCGGGGCTGAACGCGTCCGTCCCCTTTGACCAGTACGCGGGCCAGCTCACACTGCCATCGAACGGCCAGCGCATGTTCTATTGGCTCGTCGAGGCCGAGGAGAGCCCGTCGACGGCACCGCTCGTGCTCTGGCTCAACGGCGGTCCCGGCTGCTCGTCCCTCATCGGCTTCTTCACGGAGCTCGGTCCGTTCGTTGTGAATAGCGACCTCTCGCTGAAGCGCAACCCGTATGCGTGGAACCGCAAGGTCAACATGGTCTTCCTCGAGTCGCCGGCAGGCGTCGGCTTTAGCCAACCCATTCTCAACACGACTGACTACAACGACGACGTGACAACGGCGCGCACGTACGAGTTCCTGCAGCAACTCTTTGCCAAGTACTCCAAGTTCACCAACCGGGACTTTTACATTACGGGCGAGAGCTACGCCGGCATGTACCTTCCGTGGCTTGCCAGCAAGCTCGTCTCGACGCCGCTGGCCTCCGTGGCCTTCAAGGGCTTTGCGCTCGGCAACGGCTACACGGACGAAACCATCGACGGCAACTCGTACATTGACTACCTCTACACGCACGCGCTTCTTTCACTCTCCGACTACTCGGCCATCAACACGGCGTGCCCGGGTTCTGGCATCGCCGAGTGCCAAGTGACCGATGACTGCCCCGCCAAGTGCAAGACCACGATGAGCTCTGTCCTTGACCGTGTCAACATGACGGCCATGAACGAGTATTACATCTACGGCGACGTATGCCTCTTCAGCAACATGGACCAGGTCGCTGCGTTGCGCCCGCGCAATGACATTCGCCCGATGCACCGCGGCGTCTACGGTCCCTGCGCCGACCTGTACACCGACGCCTACTTGCACCAGGCTACCGTGCACGCCGCGCTGCACCTCCCGGCGTCTGATACTGTTGTGCCGTGGGCAAGCTGCAACGACGCTGTCAGTGACGCCTACACACGGTCGTCCTCGGCGCTCGCCAAGTACCCCATGATCCTCCAGGCCGGCCTGAAGGTGCTTGTGTACAGCGGCGACGCGGACTCAAACGTCAACTTTATGGGCACGCAGCGCTGGCTCGCCAACGATGGCCTAAACTTGTCCGTCGAGAGCAAGTGGAAGGCGTGGTTCGGCCCGGACAAGCAGCTCGCGGGCTACACGGAGGGCTACACCAACCTTACGTTTACGACGATCAAGGGCGCGGGCCACATGGTGCCGGCGACGCGGCCTCTCCACGCGCTCTACATGTTCGAGTGTTTTATCTTTGGCGACGACGTCTGCAAGTCGTTCACGTACCCTGTGGACGACCTCGAATACTTGACGGGCGCTGTGACGTCGACGGACGGTCTCTCGCTCTGGCAAGCGCACACGTCGCGCGATGTCGGTGTCTTCTTGGCTGTGGTTGCGATCGCCGTGCTCGTCTTTGGCACTGTGCTTCGCGGTGTGCGCAGTCGCAAGGCCCAGTACACGCGCATTTATACGTAGAGCTTTGACGTGCGATTAACACGATATAATTCAACAAAGCAACTGCATCGTGATTTTGTTAGCTTCACCATTGTTACGGCATGAACATGGTACCAGCTTGGAATTATCAGACTTCATGTCGGAGGACATGGAATCTGGGCGCGCCATGAGGCAGGTATTGCGCCAGGACCGGAGGCATCCAAGGCTTGCGAGTCTGCCAGAAGAAACGCGACAACTACTCTGTGGGATATACTGCGGGACACACAGAATAGTGTGAACGCGCATAGTGACCCTCAGCGTCATCTTTGAACTCGCCGTAGGAGAAGTAACAAGATGAGGATGCACGCCGTCGCTCTGCCAAGGAACTTATCATCCCACGCATACAGCATTCTGCTCGCTCCATGCACAAGGTCTCTTGCAGTCGTTCGCATACCCAGATCGGGAAGCGAAAGCCGAGTGTCTGGTACTAAGTCACAACTATCGTACTAATTTATCGACCACTGACGAGCTTCGTAGTTTGCGGCTGTGTTTGCTCATGCCATTCTCCGATGTAGCTGTCGGAGTTCCCACTGATCTTGTTGATACGGCTGTGTGTGCCGTGGTAGCCTGGTCCGTAGCACCAAGGAAATCATTTCTCTGGTAGCATGGGCATCCGTCGGACGACAACAAAATGTTCACTGCATCCCAACCATAAACTAAACGTCAATCAAAAAGCCAAAGCCCATCACTCTACGCACAATGCAGGTCACGACGCGCCAAAACCGGTACCGGACGTAATTTCTCACTTTGCCTTTGTCTGCGAGCCATGCACATTGTGAGTGCACTCGTTGCGGCGGCCGCCTTTGTCGCCGTCGACGCCGTCGTCCCCGAGCACAAGATCGCGTCTCTGCCCGGCTACGCTGACGACATCAGCTTTGACCAGTACGCGGGCCACCTCTCGCTGCCGTCGAACGGCCAGAAGATGTTCTACTGGCTCGTCGAGTCGGAAGAAAGTCCATCGACGGCGCCGCTCGTGCTCTGGCTCAACGGCGGCCCTGGCTGCTCGTCGCTCGGCGGCTTCTTCACGGAGCTCGGCCCGTTCGTCGTCAACAGCGACTTGAGCGTGCAGCGCAACCCGTATGCGTGGAACCGCAAGGCCAACATGGTCTTCCTCGAGTCGCCGGCAGGCGTCGGCTTTAGCACACCACTGCTCAACGCAACCGACTACAATGACGACTTTACTGCCAACCGCACGTACGAGTTCCTCGAGCAGTTCTTCGCGGCGTACCCCTCGTACCACGGCCGGGACTTTTATATCACGGGCGAGAGCTACGCGGGCATTTACATTCCGTACTTGGCCGCCAAGCTCGTGATGTCGCCCTTGCCGTCGATGACCTTCAAGGGCGTCGCAATCGGCAACGCGTACACGGACGTCGCCGTTGAAGCGCCCGCATTTTTCGAGTACATGTACAGCCACGCGCTCATCTCGTACGAGACGCACGCCTCGATCCAAAAACACTGTGGCAAAGAGGGCATCATCGGATGCATCACTGGCAACAAGACGACGTGCACAAATGCGTGCGCGCAGCCGCTTGTCGAAGGCTACCTCGAGTCCGACTCGTTTGCGATGGACCCGTACTATATCTACGGCGACGTGTGCCAGCTCTCGAGCAGCCAAGCGTCGTTGCTGCCGTCGCCGTCGCTGCGTCCGATGCACCGCGGCGTCATCGGGCCGTGTCAAGCACAGTACACGGCATCGTACTTGCGCCAAGCCGCGGTGCAAGTCGCGATCCACGCGTCTGATGACGTTGTCGAGTGGACGGACTGCAGCGGCGACGTGTCAATGGCCTACCACAGTAGTCCGTCCTCGCTGCCAAAGTACCCCACGATCCTCCAGTCGGGTCTCAAGGTCCTCATCTACAGCGGCGACGCTGACACGGTCGTCAACTTTATGGGCACGCAGCGCTGGCTCGCCAACGATGGCCTCAACTTGTCCGTCGAGAGCAAGTGGAAGGCGTGGTTCGGCCCGGACAAGCAGCTCGCGGGCTACACGGAGGGCTACACCAACCTTACGTTTACGACGATCAAGGGCGCGGGCCACATGGTGCCGGCGATGCGGCCTCTCCACGGCCTCTACATGTTCGAGTGCTTCCTCTTTGGCAACGACGTCTGCAAGGCATTCTCGTACCCTGTGGACGACTTTGAACTGCTGACAGGCGCCGCCGTCACCAAGCAAGACGACGTTACGACGACGAGCAGCGCGTCCACGAGTGCCACGTCATCCCCCGCCATCTTGTGGATTGGCGGAATTGTTGGTGGCCTTCTCGTTGTGGGCGGAATTACCTTGTACGCCTACAAGCGCACAGCCCGTCGCGCCGAGTACACGCACCTCACTGCTTGAAGCAGATTGCCACCCATTTCCTCCCCTTTGGACGCGCTTGTAAAACGTTAGTGTCTCGCTTGCTTTTGTCTAAAACTCTGAAAAATGTCACTCAGTTCAAATGGCACCAGAAATATGACCGCACATGCCGGCGAGCCTTTCCTTTTAAGTTTCAAATTTTGGCGGGATTCGAAGCTGGGGCCAGTGATGGTGCAACTGTCGTGGACGTTGCCCATCTCGACGTCTGCATGGAAGAGCATTGCTGAATCGAGACCCTATCACGATCACCCCAAGGGCGGAATAGCGTCCACACGCGCCCAAGCAGCGTCGTGACTGCTTGCCACCCACGCCACGTCAATCTAAGGTCCAAGATGTGGGTACATCTGCGAAAGATTCCATGACAGCCACGTCTCGACAAGCACGTCGAGAGCTGCGTCACGTCACCCGTGGACGGGCAGTCGTCGGTCCAATGGCAACTCCAGTGTTACTCACGCCAACTGGGTGCCAGCCCTGTCTTCACTTTTGCTTTTCATCGCCATGGGTCTTGTCTTGGCCTTGGCGGCGATGCTCGCCGTGGCAGTCGCCGCCACCAAGCCCACGCACAAGATCGCGTCGCTGCCCGGCTACGTTGACGACATCAGCTTTGACCAGTACGCGGGCCACATCTCGCTGCCGTCGAACGACCAGAAGATGTTCTACTGGCTCGTCGAGGCCGCCGAAGCCAACGCGTCGACGGCGCCGCTCGTGCTTTGGCTCAACGGCGGCCCCGGCTGCTCGTCGCTCAACGGCTTCTTCACGGAGCTCGGCCCGTTCGTCGTGAATAGCGACCTCACGCTGACCCGCAACCCGTATGCGTGGAACCGCAAGGTCAATGTCCTCTTCTTGGAGTCGCCGTCCGGCGTCGGCTTCAGCACACCCGTGCTCGAGGACGACGACGACTACAACGATACGGCGACGACAAACCGCGCCCACGAGTTCTTGCGCGAGTTTTACTCTGCGTACCCTGCGTACATGCACCGGGATCTGTTCATCTTTGGCGAAAGCTATGCCGGGATATACATCCCTCTCCTCGTGCAAAAGCTGCTGTCCGCGCCGCTAGCCGGGGTCACCTTGCGTGGCTTTGGCGTCGGCAACCCGTTTACGGACGCCCGCATCGACGGCGGCGCCACCTTTGACTACCTCTACAGCCACGGCATGATCGCGCTCGAGACGTACAAGGCGATCCAGACCCATTGCCCGCCGTCGCTCCTTGCCACGTGCCTTGCGGGCACTGGGTGCACGGACCGCTGCGCGTTGGCACTCGTCGACGGCTTTCTCGGCGCCGACGAAGCTGCAATGGACCCGTACGATATCTACGGCGACGTGTGCCTCCTCACGCAGGCGCGCCTTCTCGCGCCCAAGCAAGTCCGGCCGCTGCACCGCGGCGTCGTCGGTCCGTGTACGGCCAAGTTCATGACCGCGTACCTCAACCAGGCGTCGGTGCAGGCCGCGATCCACGCCACGTCGACGCATGCTCTCGAGTGGGCCAACTGCAACGTGGACGTCAACGCCGCGTACGACCGGACGCTGTCGGCGCTCCCGGCGTACAAGCAGATCCTCTCGGCCGGCTTGAAGGCGCTCGTGTACAGCGGCGACACGGACGCCGTCGTCAACTTTATGGGCACGCAGCGCTGGCTCGCAGCCCTCGAGCTGCCGATCGAAGCCGAGTGGCACGCGTGGTTTGGCCCGGACCAGCAGCTCGCCGGCTACACCGAGCGGTATACCAACTTGACCTTCTCGACGGTGAAAGGCGCGGGGCACATGGTCCCCGCGACGCGACCGCTCCACGCGCTCGCGACGCGACCGCTCCACGCGCTCTACCTCTTTGAGTGCTTCCTCTTCGGCGACGACGCTTGCAGAACGTTCTCGTATCCGCGGGACGACCTCGAAGAGCTCTCGGGTCTGCAGGTTGTGCTCGACCAACCGTCGACGTCGACGTCGTGGCGATGGCTCGTGCTCGCCGTCGTCAGCGCTGTGGCACTGCTCGGCACGGCAGCGTGCGTGCGCCGTCGGCGCCAGGCGTACGTCCCCCTGCGCACCACCCGCTACTCGGCGCGGCAGCCGTAGACAGATAAACACAAGCAACAAGACGGTTTTTGACAGATTGTGCATTCCGCGCACCCAGTTACGTGAGCAGCGTCGCATGCATGACCGGGAACCGCGCCGGGTCCGCGTCCGCGTCGCCCTGGACGTGGCGCCGCAGCGACGCCTGCAATTCCTTGGCGTAAATGGCGTCGATGCCTCGCTCGCGAAGCTCCGTGTGCACGCGCAGCTGGTTCTTCTCCCACGTCGCCGACGGCGTGACCTTGGCCGAGCGCACAGCGTCGAGAAGCAGCTCCTGCATGAGCGTCGCGGCTTGGAGATGATCGCTCGGCAGCTTCGTGTCCTTTGTGCGGTACGAGCGACTGAGGTTCGTGCGGGGCTTGGCCGTTCGGGCTGCTTGCTGCCTACGACGGCGATGAGCTTGACAGATCAAAGTCGCTTGCGTACCGCGCCTCGTCGCGCTGGATCGTCTCGACCCACGACGCCACCTCGTCCGCCGGCACGTGGTCCGCGACGACGTCTTCCATCGCGCGCATCACGCGGCGGTTCGGCTGCATGCCCGCGTTGCCGCCAAACATTTGCGACATCATTGGCATCATCTGCGCCATCATCTTGCTCAGGTCTGGCATTGGGGCGGCGCCACGCGGCGCGATCGGAGCCATCTGCGTGCGCGCCGGAGCTGCCGGGCGCACGGTCGCCACAGCACGGGGCGCGGGCGTCGGCGCCGTCATCTCGTTGATCATGTCTTCGAACATCTCGTCGTCCGAGGACAAGGACATGTCGTCGAGCATCTCATCGCGGTCCAAGTCCATTGCGTCAATCACCGCAAGCTTGTTTTCGGCATCTGCCGCGTGAAAACCGGACGACCTAAAATTAGGATGTTGCCTTACTGTCTAGGAGCCTATTTTCAGGCCACCACTGCCAGTCAAAGACAGTGTTTGATACAGGAATCTACGACGACTCGACGGCGGGTCGAAGGAGCGAAAAGTGGCAGAAGAGCGTCGCAAACTCGTACGGCCCCGTGCGCATACCGTTGGCAGCGTAGAGCGGCACGTTGCGGTACCTATTCGAGTCTCTATCTATCGATATGCAGTAATAGTCATGGCGCACCCTTCTCGGATCGACGAGAGCGGAAGCGCCGCAAAGCCAATCATGTCGTCGAAGTCGAGGTCCTTCTCCATGACCGTCAGCACCACGAGGTGCAGCGCGGCTTCGAGCCCGACCTGCGCGAGCTACTTTACGGAAAGACGCCGCCAGCTCCGTAATACCTCAAAGGTCATGGTGGCGTTCCAGACCGGGTTCAACCCGTTGTTGTCGATCGCGGACGTCGTCTTGCGTAACGAGCTCGTCTCGCTCACCACGTCGACCACCACGTACGGGTCAATGATCTCGCCTACACAGAGTACGAGATTTCGCTCGTTGACCGTGATCGAACGACCTGTCTTCGCGCCCGCCGGTTTGGGCAAATGCTGGCCGCTGAGGACGCGGACAGTGATGGCGAGGACGTCTCGGTTGAACGACCCCACGCGCTGCCGCATCGAGTCGGGCTTGAGGACGTACCCAGCCTTGCCGTTCTGCGAAAAGAGGCCGTGGTTCATGAACATGGGCAGCTACAGTTTGACATGAGCCTCGAACGCGCTCCGTCGAGTCGACATCGGCGGTCTGGTAGTTGAGCGCAACGAGCTGCATGCCTGCACTCCACCCGAGCATCGGGTTGTAGTTGGACGAGTCGATGCGGACGCCCGAGGGGTACATGCGCGAGACGTGACGTGCGTTCAGCTGCGTAAACTGGAGCTTGGTGTCGTTCGTGGCCGATAGGTTTTTCACTTTGCCTACTCGCACACGTTAGCGATTTGATGGCCTCGGGATGATGATACCTTCGCTGAAGGACGACATTTGGTGGGCGCGCCAGCCGCTGCACTCGCCAAACGAGTGGAAGTGCGTGCCCTTGAAGAAGAGGAGCGCGTCGAGCTCCGCGGCGACGCTCGACTTTTTCGGCGGCGGTTGTTTGGATTTGTCGGCGGCATCGTCCGAGTCCGAGTCGGACACGGCGTCTGCGTCCGCCTTGGCCACTCTTCCTTTGCCCTTGAGCAGGATCTTGCGGCGTAGCGCGTAGGGCGACGGTAAAACGTCTTCGGCCGGCGCCTGCTCCTTGCTGTAAAGTCACTGATCCGCAGAAGAAGACAGCGTACGATCGAGTAGAGAGCGTCGCCGAAGACGCCGACCATGATGGCTGCCATCTTGATTTGCTGAGGCTCTCCACAGTGATTCTCGAGCGACAAGATGACGGGAAATGGCGACGTCTCAAAGGCGTGGGCGTGGATGGCCTACTACAGTCGTCAACAGAATGCACCGAGTCCCGTGTACCTCGATGACATCGAGAAACTTGATTTTGGTCGTGAGCGTGTGGCCGTGGTATACGATGGGCTCGCCGTCGTCGCCATCCCAGCTGTCTAGAACAAGCGCTCTTAGTCGTGACGGCCATTTGCGGCGTCGCACCAATCTCTACGCAACGGCAGCTCTGCAGAAGGGCAGAGATGTACATGTGCACAGACGACGAGCTCTGGAGCTGGTCCCCTGCAACACCATGCGTCTCAAGAAGCGACGAGCTTGCGACAGTCGTACCCTCGAGGTACGTGTTGTGCGACGATGCGATCCAGTAGTGCGCAAGAGGCTGTGTCATGTCTTGGTGCAGCTCCATCATCTCGGGCTTGGACCATGCGTTGCCCGGACTGGAGAGGTACCGGCGCAGCCTGCTCTTGTGTCGCACGTAGTCGCATGAAACCACACGTACCCTTCGTAGGTGTTCAGAGCTGCGTACTTGGCTACAAGCAGTGGAATCGTCGCGGTGCCGTGGCCTTGGTCCGTCAAAAACGTCTTCCAGACCTCCTCGGTCCACCCCTCGAGTGCCTACGCGCGTCTGGATGCCGTGACGAGTGCGCAGAAGGCGTACGTAGAGGTCGCGAAGGCTGTCAATCTCGCTCCGGTGCCGCACGGTGGTCATGAACGAGCAGTACTCGTCAAAGTCGAGTTCGCCGTCGGCGTCGGCGTCGGCCGTCGCAAACGACGCGAGCATCGTCTGCTTGGCTACAAGCAGCGTTAAGAAGTGGCCCTTCGACGCTACTTGTCGTCGTACCGGCGCTGGCGTGATTGAGACGGTGCGTGACCTTGAGCACTTCGGCGCGGCTGAGCATACCGTCGCGGTTGACGTCGGCGTGGATCCATTGCTGGTACAAAAAGGCCCGCTCCGGGTCCTGCGCCCGCGCGAGTCGCTGGCGCTCGACGAGCGACCGCAGTCCCTACAGCACCATCATGACCCTTGGACGTTTTATTGAGTCGTCGTACGTGGAACCAGCGGCTAAACTGGCCAGCGTCTGTGCACAGAATGTCGATGCACTTGCCCGACGCGAGCACGATCGAGAAGCAGAGGTCACGCGGCAGCGCCTGCTTGGCGTCCATCTTGTGGAGACGAGCGGTCGTGACGCCGGGCTGGATGCGCTGGATCGTGGGCATGTCGACTAGTCAAAGCGCGATGCATCCGTGCTACATGCACGAGAGAGCGTACTCGTGCACGAACTCCGGAAGAGGGCGTCCGTGAGCTTGGCCAGGGACCCCTTGGACTCCCACTTGAGGCTAAAGAGGTCCTCCGAGATGTAGTATTTGCGCGACGCCACCTTGCCGCCGCGGTCCACCTTGCGCAGCACCTCGCCTACGTCGTCCACTGTTGACAGAACATCGTGGTGGGTGGTCGGGAGCGACCTGCGAGCAGCGGCTCGTCCGACGGTAGCCCAGTGCAGCTCTGGAGTTTGCGCGAGTTGGCTTTGAAGAGCTGTCCCTTCCGCCCGCTGCTCGTCATGGCCACGGGCGGCGGCAGGGCGGCGGCCGTGTCTTCGTCTTTCTCCATACCAAGCTCCGGTCACAATTCGACGACTTGGGCCTTTCCGAAACGTCCATTCCAGTGTTTTATCCAGTGTGTATGCATCCAGTGTTTCAAATCGTATGCTGGCAGTCGTTGTTCGTGGCGTAGCTCCGGTCGGGAAACATCTCAAGTTGTCGACGCAGCATGAACAGTAAGTAGTGATACGTGACCGGTTGGTCACTGACGCCGGTCGAGGTCTGCAACGCAACGTGCAGCTTTGCGCAGTGTTACGTGGCGATTACCCAGCGTTCTAGCTTTCATCGGGCGAATCTCTCCCCCGGTTTACATGCACGCGAACGAATCGTGGTGGGCGCATCTGACACCACCAAACGGATGGTCACCATAGGTGTAGCGCAGGCTTCGATTCTGACCACGTGGCTAGCTGCGCTACGTCAGGACGAGTCGGCTTCATTGGTCGTCTGGAAGTTTGCTTGACCGTTTTGTCACCAAACTGCTACAAGCGTGTTGCGCTACTATCTCGGGTCTGGTGATTACTCGCGACTTGCGTAGAGGTGTCGTCATCGCACTCACGCCAATGCATTGCCGGCCCGGTCGTCGTCTGAATGTCTGGCATGTATCTCGTGCTGCGAGTGTATCTATACTGGAGGCCCATACAACGCATGGGACGCTTTCTGGTGCAGGCAGAGAGACTCATCCATCTGGTGCCACTCCGAGTGTCTGTTGGGCGTGGTGAGTCTCGCGGCCGCGTGCGTGGGTTCGACGTGGTTGGGGGGCGCGCCCAAAATACGGCCAATGGCCCGTACTTGGGTGACACAAAATCGGGGGGAGGGGCCCTTGAAACGAAAAGGAACCAATCAAACTAGGCCGCCGAGCGCCGAGCAGTAGACCACTACGGCATCTGCGTCGGCGATGGCAAGTGTCAGCTTCTTCGTCGACTGTTCGCACACGACGCTCTTCGTGCCGACTTATGCACGGTACGACCGCCCACCCTGCGCACGCAGCTCACGCTATCTCTCTGCAGCGGCAACGAGAACGGCGGCGTCAAGGTACTCGGGTCGACTACAACGTAGACTCATCGCGACCCTGTCTACGTAGAGAATACAGTACGCGACGCGACGTGGCCGTCGTCACTAGACTCTTGTCGCTTCTAGGGATTTCCCGCACGAGTGCCACGTCACAAAGGCGCTGAGCGTCAAAGTTGAGCTGGCATCGCCCATGCGATCGTCGCACTTGGCTGTGTTCGCGCAGTTTGAGCTGGCCGACGACCCCTCGGCACTCAGTCTCGGGCGACATTTGCGCGTCGACGAGCTGGACGCCCAAGTTCGCAGTCGCCAGGACCCATTGCGCGTGTGGATCAAGGGGCGGGCCGACGATGCGACCGACAAACCGTCCAGCGTACGAAACCTTCGCCTGCTGGTTTGCTTTAACAAAAGTGCAGGTGCAAGTGTTTCACTTGAACGAGGGCAACCAAGCCGGCTGGCACTACCCGTGGAAGAGCGGACGTGGCCAAGCCGTACGCGAAACCAAGCACTGTCTTCGGGTCACCCGCATCTCACGAGGAAGACGATGCGAACCTTTCGTGTAGGCGTACGTGATGACTCGCGAGGACGTCAATCTCTGCCGCGTACTGCAAGTAGCCTCGACACCGGCGTTCACGATCGAGTCGTCGCGGCGCAAGGCCGAGCCGCTCGGCCCCGACGTGCTCGTAACGTTCTCCAAGCTCTTCGCCCCCGAGTCCAGCATTCGCGTCAAGGCCATGCAGCTCCAGACGCTCTACGACTTTCTCTCGACGATGGCGCTCCCGCAACTCGTCTTCGTGCAGCCGCAAATCCAAAAGCAGCTCCACGAGCTCATCTACAAGCCTCCTCGCGCCGCGTCGAAACGCAAGCGCGCGATCACGGGCGACGCCAGCGTTTTTGCCGCGCTCTGGAGCGCGTATGCGCCGGCTGCGACGGCGCCGACCGCCAAGGCGCGGGTAGAAGTGGGCGTCAACCTCCTCTACGACATTGTTCGCCACCTCCCGTTCATGCACAAGCTCATCTTCCAGCGTGACGGCCCGTGGCGGCTCGGAGCGACGCCCGAGCTCTACAACTGCTGGGTCGAAAACACGGCGAGAGCCATGGACGCCCTCCTGGCCAAGCCGGGCTTGACGCTCGCCGGTTTCTGCGCCAAGCTCGACACGCCGCTCTCGGAGCCTGTGCCACTGGACCAGTTCCTTCGCCTCCTACCTACGCTCCACGTACGCGGATGTTATTCCAATGGCTATCCATATCGTTGTGCTAGCCGACCGACTATGTCGACCCACCGAGCCTGCCCCACCAAGGTGCATTCACGGCGTCCTGGACCCTCGATCCGGCGCGTCTCGAGCTCCGTCACGTGGCCGCGCTGCCAACGCTCTCGCTGATGACAGTGCTGCGATCCATTTCCATGCTGTCGGGCTTTTCGCTCAGCCTCGTGCAGCCAACGCTTCATGTGCTCCTCGTTATGCCTGGTGGAGCATACTAATATGGCGCTGTAGATGCGATCGTACGCCGAGTGGCTTCCAACGGCGTGGACCACCTACGTGCTGGACGGCCGGCTGCATCCGTGCGATGCTGTTCTGCCCAATGGTGAGCCCGTGGGCATGATTGCCCTCGACCACTACATCGGCTGGCACAAGGACACAAAGCTACGCGTCGACCTCTTTGGCCCGAACCTGCGTCTCTCTGTGCGCTGCGCTCTCACCAAGGAGACCGAGATGGACATGGACGTGATGGCGTGGGCGACACCGAGTGGCGACGACGGCGCCGCCGACTTGCCCGACGACGTCCTCGACGCGCGCTGCGCCCGGCTCCTCCACGCGACTGGCGGCTTTGCGGCCGAAGGCTAGGTACTGGCTGAGCGAATTTGAGGATGCAGCGCCCAATGAAATGCGGTCACTGTAACGAATAAGCGTGACAAGTTGCCATGTTAGTGGGTGCTGTATCACGATCAGTACTGCGGCGGCGGCGGTCGGGCAGTGACCATGAGCTCGCCCGATGGCAGCGTGCTTGCGAGCACCTCGGCGACGTCGTCGAGGTCTTCCACGTGGGCGCAGAAGGCCGTGACGTAGTCGACCGCCACGTCGAGGCGAGAGACCTTGAAGTGCATATCCATCGCAATGTGGAGCTCGACCGGCACGTGCAGGCGCGAGCCGAGGAGTCGCGACGGCAGCGACGGGTGCGAGTAGACGTGCGGGTAGAGCGCCTGCAGCGTATAGTCCGAGATCTCAAGGGCCACGAGAATGTGCGCGCGCATGAAACGGTGGTCGATGGGCACAAGGTCCCGCAGGCTCATGTGAAAGGCACCAAAGCACGTGCAGCATCGTCGCCACTGCTCCATGACCTTTTCGATGCCACTCTCGGTATCGCCCATAAAGACGACGTCGGGTCGCAGAAGCGTTCGGAGCTCGACGTCCAGTTGTTCGTGTCGCGACGGATCCCAGCCGCTTGCAAAGAGCTCAAAGTAGTGGCGCAGGAGACTCTCCATGGCCATCGACGACGCGGGCGCCGCAGGCAACGCGCTTGTCATGTCGTACAAGTGGTGCTGCAGCTGGTTCGTGTCAATCGTCAAAGCGGCGACATCGTCTTCGAGGGACTCGGTCCGGCGCTTCTGTTCGGCCCGCAGCTTGCGCTTGTTCATCTTCCGTCGGTGCCGGACATAGAGCAGGTGCTCGTCCTCGGTCGGTGGCGGCGGGCGCGGCGGACGCCTGCGGGCATCGGGCGGCGGCGCGCTCATCAAGGAGTCCAAAATGGCCCACTCGTTGTTTCATTGCCACCGTGTCTAATCGGTAGCGGGCTCGCTTATTATTGGCGCGTATTTTATTCCTCGAGGCACAGGAAATATAGTACCGTCCCTGGTTCGATCGACCACGCGGCGGCTTGTCTTGGGTGCAAGGCGTTCGTTCTGTTCGTGTCTTTCCCTCGGTTTAAGAACCCACAGAGTTTGTGTGAGGGTGTGAAACGTCGTGCTGGCATTTAATGCAGCTTGGCTGGCGACGCGGCTGACGTGTGTGGCCAGGAGCCGCTGTCACAGCCGACGAATTATATTGGACTTGAATTGTCCATTCAAGTGAATGCGCCGCAGCCATCGTGGGCTTTGTAGCGTTCAGCTGCCAGTAGCATTGCGACCATCGTGTCTTTACCAGATCCGCTGCGACCGAGGCGCGGGCGCTGCGCAGCCCAAAACAGCCGTTGGCGCGAAGTTCGAAGCTGTCGACGCGCGGCTACCTGGTACTGGAACGAAGTTTATCAACCTCGATTTACGTGCGCACACAAGGCATTGCGTGCATGGCGTCGCCGCGACAAGCCGCGCCGCGACCACGATCCAACGCCGCGCTGGGCGAGGGCGAAACGAGCGGTCCACAGCGGTACCCACCTTGTATCACACACCAATGATACACCGGCTGGGATTGTCCAACCTTTGGACACCTCGAACCAAATCTCTCGTCACGCTTGGGCTGACAGGCTCACAGAACCAGTTTGGCGATTGCTCAGTTGGTAGGAGGTGTCTCTAATCGGACGAGGGCTATAAATCGACTTGGATTTGTTTCCACACACGAGTCTTGGTGGTCTAGCAGTAGAACCGTCTTCATCGAGCATGGCCACACCGATCGATGAGCGTGGGAGGATCCATTCTCAGCTTCGAGGGTACATGCACGGTACCGGAGCTGGATTTGAAAGGAGCAAGTGTCAAGAGACACGAGCGCAACCCGGGTTGCTTTACTGGTTGCTCAACAGGCTGACAACGAGCCATAGAGTATCGCCAGGCCACCTTGCTGAGTCCACGACTTACATTGTATACGTAATACACTGTACAGACTGTAGGTGGTTTATAGCTGGATGGCGTTGCTGTCCTCGTGCAGCTACCTGGACTACGCTGGGTCATAGCTCCTGCATATCCGCGCGGATCATCTGCACAGATCGATGAGTTGGAGCTCGACATTACATGATGAGCTTGAAGTGCGCGCACTTCGTGGCTTCCATGGGCTCATATTTCAACCAATCCAATAGTACTATTTTGCCTGCGTGCAGCCGATTGGCAGAAATGCTTGGCGGCCTCGCAAAAAAAGAACGGAGACGAAGGCGACAATAATAATATTCAAAACACATCAAAATAATGGGCACTCCGCCTGTCGCTTTTATACCATCCTGAGGGAGATATATACAAAATACAAGTGAATCAGATGGGACGTTTGTATTCTGCATAAAAATGCGGTATTGTATTACAAAATAATACTATACTAGAATTCACGCATTGAACAGAGGTATTTCCAACTTGCCTGCGGCGCCGCCATGAGCTCGTCGCCGCCCTCGACGACCGCGGTCCAGACCAAGGCGCCGGCCAAGGTCGTCGACTGCGATGTCTGCCTCGGCTTCACCATCTACACAAGGTACATGCCATCATCACCCCGCTCCACGCCTCATGCGAAGCGACTGCTAGTGCCATGCGCGACGCCAAGGAAGACCCAAAGTGCATTGGCGTCCTACGCACCAAGTCTGCCCGCATTGAAGGAGAGTTCACCGAGGTAGCTAATGGCCAATGCAGCAGATTGGGCTCATGCTGGCGAAGGTGGGCGGGAAGGACGACGGCCGCCAGAAGCGCCTGGTTGTCGACCAGCATGTGAAGGCCTTCGTCGCTGGTCTCGCCGAGGTAGCAGCAGGTGACTGTGGCACCAGAACCGCTCATCTCGTGCATAATAGCAACCCCATCCGCCGTACAACAAGTCGTTCCGCGACCTCATCTATGTTCCAGCCACGGGCTCGTTCCGGTGCGAGCGCATTTGTCAATCATCCACCTCATGCGGGGCATGTAGGTTCACCTTTGTTGGTGTCACGCTCTACTCGAAGAAGACGCTGAGTGGAAACAACATGGTGCTGCCCATTTGCCTCGGGTACAGCCGGCTAAAAGTCACACGGGACGATGCTCCTGTGCCCGACGCTGCGCCTGCCGTGTCGCGCACCCACGCCGCCTTGTCGACCCCAATTGTACCAGGGTATACATGGCCGTACATTCTAGATACCAGATCTGATGTTTGTGACTAGACCCAGCATCTTCAACAAGCTTCAAGCTGCCTGCTCGTTCACGGCGATGGCGATGTGGAAATATGGCCACCGCACGGCCGATGGTTTTGGCGAGCGCTACGTCCAGGTACCTCGTACCTCAAAGCCACTTCGGCTAAGGTGGCTGCGTAGTCGATGGAGCGGCTCGTGGGCAACATGCACAAGCAAATCGACTACATGGCCAAGATGACTCTCCGCATTGTGACCTTTGGGGGCAGCCGCAAGTCAAGTGAGTGAGCCGGTCGATTGAAAACCGAGAACAACTAACTACTACTATATATAATCGTCTAGCACAATCTGACTACAGAGAGAGCATCGACCTCAAAAGGTACCGGTGATAGCTACCGTATAGTAAAACGAGAGATGTACACTTCGTGCAACGGCAGTGGCGTGGTACCAGCCCCTGGCTACCCCTAATAGCATACCGTAAGGTGATCGATCCGTGGTCGAAGCAGCGAATAAGGGTGATTCGTCGTCACACATGAGCCTTCCCAGACCTAAAGGCGGATTATCCGCCGCCGGTCTAAAGACACAAAAAGGGTTGGTTTACTGTACAACGATGTACAGTAAATCAACCCTTCGAGGATAATCCTATACCTTTATCTTCCAGGAATGTGGTTAAACCGAATTCCACCAATTATGGTGGCACTACACTTTACACAAGTGCACGCTGTCGCACAATTCGTTTTGACAATCACGTCTCGTTGACCAAGGCCCTCTCTAGTAGTAGTAGTAGTAGTTGTTGTTGTTGAAGTGGGTCGTCTATTACAATAGATAAAACTATGCTAAATAAAATTGTCGAACTTTCTTCGTTGTGTGTACTCGGTTGAGGGACTTGATTTGGGCAGGCGGAGGCAGGAGCGCGATCCGCGGGACGAGGTGACGTCGCGGCCACTCGTGTTGGGCGAGGAGCTGGAGAAGACGACGAAGAGCAGGCTGCTCGGGCTCTTGTACGAGGCTGTGGTGCACGTGCAGTTGAGCGACACGTGCCGCCTTGACGGCAATCGTCCATGGACTTGGCAGCGGTAGGTCGGCGCGGAAGACGCGGTCGTTCTGGACTCGCCAGACGTTGAACCAGACGCAGGTGCGGAGCACGGGCCAGAGGTAGCGGAACGCGGCTTGGTGCATGTTGGAGGCTGTCTTGGACGTCGAGTAGAGGTAGTCCGGAGAGCG